TATTAAACCTATATATACTATTATCTTAATATACCTTTTAAATCTAGTTATTAATACTACTAGTTATACTAATAATTAGATTAAAGAGAAAAGAAACTATAATAATTACTTTAAAAGAAAATTATTAGTTTTATAACTTAATATAAAACTTTATATATAAAAAGAAGATAAACCTAATAATCTAATTACTATTCTATAAGATCTATAAGGATCTTAATAAATAGTAAATATAGTTATCTATTTTAAATACTAAAAATATATATTTTAAAGAATTAAATAAACTCCTATAACTAAAGAAAAAATATACTATTTAACCAGATCTAAATAAACTCTTTATTAAGATATCTAATATTATTAATATAAGGGAATAGTATAAGAATTAATTAGATATTAAGATTTTAACTTAGGAATTAGAAAATTATATCTTTAAAGAATTATATTTTACCTAGTAACTTAAATAGCTTTATTTAAAAATAATAGATTTTTTTATATTAAGAAAGATAAAGTTATATTATATAATTTAATCTATAAAAGTAGGCGATTGAGGGGGGTGGGCGATTGACTAGGGTGGCGACTTATACCCACCCTCGGTCTGGACGTAGAAACAAGCAGTGGAGAATTACGGCTACGGTAATCGGTAAAACGACCTCGGCTGCGGTGCCGAAAGACCCAGATGCCTCAAAAGCAACATACGTATACCAACGTCCTTAGCCGTCGAGAACTAGCCACTATACATATGTGTCTGTTTCCTGCTCAGAACAGCTTGTGTATCGCATAAAGCCGCGTCCATCTAAATATCTAATCCTACATTTCTTACTACCCAGAGTGAACCATTCCAGACACCGATATGGCAGGAGAAGTTCGCCAGGCGATTGATGAAAAGACTTTCACAAAGTTTCTGGCCGACAATGTCCCTGAGATCACATTACCAGTTCAGCTTAGGCAGGTGAGCAGGATGGCCTTGAAGTCACCCAACAAGCTTTCATAGCCGGCTAACAGGTAGAATTCAGTTCGGGCTCGGTCAGTCCAACCCAACATATCAACTTACTGCCTCCGATGGCCAGCGCTTCGTGATGCGGAAAAAGCCGCCGGGAACTCTGATTTCCAAGACAGCCCACAAGGTCGAGAGGGAGTATCTCGTCATCAATGCTCTCGGGAAGACGGAGGTAGCGGTACCCAAAACGTACTGCTTATGCGAAGATGAGAGCATTGTTGGTACGCCTTTCTATATCATGGAGTTTCTGGACGGTCGCATCTTTGAGGATTATACAATGCCAGACGTGGATCATCAGCAGCGCACTCAGATGTGGCGCGCGGCTGTAACCACCCTGGCGCGTCTGCACGCCGTAGATTACAAAGCTATTGGCCTAGAGAGATTTGGCAAATCAGAGAGGTTTTACGATCGCCAAGTCCAGACATGGACGACCATCTGCACAAGTCAAGCAAAGGTGGTGGATATGGAGACATCGGAGCCCGTGGGCCAGTTGCCATACTTCGAAGAAATGGCCAGATTTTTTCAAAACAAAGAGTCGCAACCTCGTGAGCGAACAACATTGGTGCATGGGGACTTCAAAATTGACAATTTGGTGTTCCACAAAACGGAACCACGTGTCATTGGCATATTAGAGTAAGTGTCTGGTCTCACTTTTCCCCCCACCCCCCCGATCATACACTGATATCTCCATAGCTGGGAGATGGCGACCCTCGGACACCCTTTATCAGACATATGTAATCTAATAGCCAACTTCTACACATCGAGGTTTAAAGGAGCAACGACCTTTGATGGGTCGAAATTCATGCCTGGCTACACGCCCGGGCTTCCGCCGCCAGAGCAGATCTTAGCATGGTATAGAGCAATGGCGGGCTGGGACCCAGCTCCTGACGTACAATGGGGCATGTCATTTCATACCTGGAAGTTTGCTGGTATCTGTCAAGGCATTGCGGCGCGACATGCGGCCAGACAGGCGAGCAGCAAGCAAGCCTTGCGCTACGCCGCGACCAGGGTACCGCTTGCGGAGTTTTCTCGGGAGCTGGCGCAAGATATAGTGAGCCGCTTAAGGCCCAAGTTATAATCACGTGCTCATCAGGTCCTAGAAAGGATTAAAATAATAATTATTCCATAGGCACATAGCGAAGATGTTGGGAGTGATTTATCCGCAGACGCGGTGTAAAGAGCGTGTTTATCCGAGGCGATAACAATCAGCCCCATAAAGCAAGTAGCTAACCTTTGCCTCTGTTAGCACAAATTATCTTATGAATTTCTCATTTTATCCTAATTGTTTGTTTTGTTAATCGCAATCAAAAAGGAGCGACTAGGATTGAACTCACGTGAGACTAAACTCAACCTTCTCCAGCGAGGAAATAGAAATGTACTGTGCTGGATGTGAACAGGCATCAACACGTTAGAAAAAAAAATCCAGAGTGCTGGCCAATATATATGAAATGAGAGAAAGAAATCACTAGATAGTATATAGAGGTTATGCTATGTAGCAATTAATAATGATGTGTGCCTTTGCAGTTAGACAGAAGCTATAGGGTAGGCTAACCTCACATACATGGCACGTGACTCCCTCCAACAACTTCAAAGACAAAGAATGTCTGAGATGCTTTATGTATCGACCTTTCCGACGGTAAATTGTAGTTTATTAAGCGATTCATTGTTATAGACACTCATATTAGGCCATTGTTGCCAAGTATGCGGAAAGATCTGCTGCCATCATCCATCCGTAAGACCCGTGAACATATTACGGCTAAGATCCATACTGAGCTAACATCTCCGGCATGCCATTTGGATCAAAATGACCCTCTGCAATAGTCTGCCAGAACGGATTTTGTAAATCCTGGAAGTAGTTGAAGCCCAATGATTCCCAAGAACCGTCCAAAGTTTCTAGGGAGGAAGTTACATCGGGATATTCCGTTGTCGGTCTGAGAGGGCGGTTTTGATGGATGCTGGCCATGTCGATCCGCTGCAGCACGATTTCAATGGCTTGGGCCGCTCCGGCTAACAAAGCATAGTTGGCATCATCTGAATCGACTAGGCTTCCCTTCTCTACCACTGCTACAAGGACAGTGAGATCTTTGACAACCTGGCTGGCGTCGACTTGTTCTTCCGTAAACACGAACGGAGTTCTTAGCAAGGCAAGACAGAGGATACCTGCCGCTGATAATCCATAGTACACAACCTGATTATATTGTCAGACTTATCAATTTATTGCCAAGGACAAATCACTCAAATATGAATAGTCAACCCACCTTCCAGACCAAGGACGTGCCAGAGTCGATGATCCGGTCCCTGAGCAGCAAAGCTTCAACCACGAGCCCAATCATCTCCGCTGATACACAAACTATAGCTGCATCCGGCTCCATTATCTTGTGAAGGAGGGCGAACTGGAGAAGAAACGTCACATGAAGGTGATTCAGCTTCATTCCCAATAATAAATCAAGCTCCGTGGCATCTCGATCGTGGGACTTGAGTGGGCCGTCTAATCGAAAGTTCGGTGGAAGAGATGACCATTGCAAAGCCGCCGTCTGTCTGATTTGTCTGGAGAAATTAACAAGTCTGGTCTGGTCATTTTCTCTTCTGATAATGTACCTGGATTTCCCACTCGTATTCTCATGTCCCCGTTCCTTGAGCAGTTCAAGGCAATCCTCTTTTAAAGCTGCACACATAGCTGCCCAGCGGGCCTCTGCGTGAAAGTCCAATGGAGTGTCTTCTGCCCACTCATGCGAGAAGTATGACTCCAGACCTATCGGGGGAAATCCACAGAGACGCTTAGAAAGCCGAAAGGGCCGCCCTAGAAACACAGAGACATTTTTGTCGGAAGAGAAAGAGTGAGCGAATGCTGATTGGCGAGTTCGCTTGAGTATGGCTGGTAGTGACGCGTCAGTAGCGACTTCTTGGTGGTATCCAAGGGCGAAGATGGAGCTGGCGACATCACCCAGCTTTCTGTAACATCCGAAATCTATGCGGTATAAGTCAGTTACTGGTTGTCAGCTATTGATCATTAAAGGCCGATAGGCTTCTAGCAACCAATAAGACTCACTCTGATCCCCATCTACAAGCGAGTGTGCTAAGAAATTCTCATATTGACAAATAAGCTGAAGATCGTTCAAACAATCCAACGAGAGTGAAAGGTCAAGGCTTTGGCGTGCGTAATGTAGACTCAACTTTAGGATGCGGTTTCGTTGTTCACGCAAACGTAGAGTGGAGTGTAAATAGGGGATGGTTAAGGAGGCTCGGCCAACGGCGATGAAAAATAGACAGAGATACTCCCACCTAGGGTCATTCGAATTCAATGTTGTGCCAATGCCGTCCGTAGTAGTTGTAGAGGCACCCTCAAGTGGGAGTGATGAGTTGCGAAATAATTGTTGAGAAAGAATGGCTCGACCACTAGGATCCGCGGCGAGCTTCTCCACAGCTTCGACTGAAGCTGTTGTAAATGCATGCCCAAGAGGCAGATTAGCTCCAGTATCTAGCCATGCCTTGGCTAGCTTGATGCACAATTTTAATGGGCAAATCCGGAAGAGATGCTCCAAAACATCCTCGCCCAATGAGACATCTGCATCAGAGATCGACCGGACGGCTAGATTGTCGGAGCCGGGCCTGTCCCTCCTGGCATCTAGGGGTGACTCGTGCTCTCGGCCGAGCCCCAGTTGACTGAATAGAGCCGTGTGGCTGGAAGAACCCAGGTAACCCGGGTCGGGATACCGTCGGGGCCGGGGTTGCGTTATCGGGGTTCGTATTTGGCTCGGCGAGGTGGTGTTGGGTATGCTTGTAGGTTCTTCACCTTGCCTTTGAACAGTAAGTCAAGAGATATAGACTCTACTTTGCAAGGGAAGTCGGGGGCAAGAGATAATTATCACCAGCCCCTGAAGCTAGATAGTTGAACCCCTCGGAGAACACTTACCCACCATCGGTAGTTTGGGCTCGATCCAGCAGCAGCGAGGGTAGAGACGGCCCTGCCTCGACACCCCTTTTCTTGAAGGGCCTCGATCTATACGAGCATATATCTTCCCGCTTGTTCCTCCGGCATCGTGTACACGCCGGGCGCTGATGATCACAGGCGAGCTTCCTGGAGCGACAGGGTTCGCAAGCAGCGAACCGCCGAGGGCGATCCTGCATCTGGCCACGTACGGTTGAATTTCGAGTGCGTAGCATCGGTACGTTGCATGAATGCGTTGGTGCGGAGTGATCGTTGCCCTGGAAAATTCAAGCGTCAGAGAACGGCTTGTCTCATGTTCTTCGGGATCGGCGAAAACCTTGTCGATGACTCCGGTAGCGGAGTAAACCGAAGGCGGTCACGTGTAGCAAAACATGCTGGTATAAACTTAGGCAAGATTATTACCGCTCGGGACGGGCTAACAACCTAGCTATACTTTGAATGTGCACGGAGTGATCTTTTATCAGTTTTCAAGGACCACAGTAACCTTTGTATGTACCGGTGGCTCTCACCTTAGCCGCTCTCTTCAGCTTGTTGGTTTTCTCTCCACCTGAGTACTCGTAGGCGTCTCTATCATTCTACACGCATCATCATATATCACCACAACTCGGGCCAAGCCGGTAATCGAAGCCCGGTAATCAATGACGCAACCAGTAAACCCTGTCAAGTCATGAACGCACTTGTTGATTGGCCTTCCTACCTAGAGTTATTGGGATGATTGTGATAATGTCAGGTCTGCTATGATGGTAGAGGCAGATCATGTATAGATTCAGATCGCAGCTTCTTCGACTATCTCAACCCAGTCATTCTCCACGTCGCCGAGCATGATTCCGGCCAGCTTCTCACGGATGTATGCGACGTGGGGTGCTTTAGAAATGTTAATGCGAATCTCCCGGCCGTCATGGCCAATCTCCTCTACCTCTTGAATCCATGCTGCCGTTCCCACGGCGAAAGCACCTAGCACAAGGCCTTCCCCAACCGCACATTCAATATCTGACATGGTAATCCTCCTCTCCAGTACGTTACAAGGCTCAAGCGGGCTTGACGCTGACGACGCAAAACTAGTCCTAAACAGCTCCAAAATGGTTTGTCGTGTGTTGCCAGCAAGGATTAGCCCCTCGTTATCTAGAGGCGGCGTAGTCAGCTCTAGCTCACCCGCAGGAGTCCTCCACAGAATGAAAAAGTTGGTCGACCCAGCTTCGGTGATTCGACGATCTGGGCCATACAGCCACAGGACTTGGTCGTAGCCCCTGGCCTTGGCCTTGTTGTGCTCGAATAGCGTAGGACCGTAATTACCGCCGATCTTGGCGAGTCCAGTGCCGCCGGGCCATGAGCGGACTGCAGCCTCGCTGCTCGTGAGCAGTCTCATGCCACGGCGAGACACTGACTGGGTCGGGTCGGTAACCATGCTTGGCGAGGGCCAGTACAGCATGAAGATGCACAGCTGTGCTTCTTCGGGGACTTTGAAACCCAGACTGCTATCAGTGCCAACCATAGTTGGCCTAATATACAACGCTGAGCCTGTTCGGTCTCTGGGCAGCCACTTTGGCGCCTCCATGGCGCAAAGCCGACGTATCAACTTGAGCAGCTCATCTGGCTCAAATTGTGGTAACGAGATTCTTGAAGCAGACGAAAGCATTCTCTGGCAATTGTACAGAGGTCGGAACAGGCGAAGGCGGCCATCATGGCCACGGAAGAGCTTCATGCCCTCGAAACACTCGGTGGCATACTGCAACGCACTCGCGGTAGGCATTAAAGACAAGGGTCCGTAGGGAACCAGCTGGGGGCTTGCCCAGCCCTCCGCCGCGGTCCAAGAGACTGTGATCATACGATCAGTTGTCGTCTTCAATGCGGAAATAGATGAATCGTCAGGAGTTGGGACGGGTTTGGGGCTGTCCAATGGCAGCACCTCAAGTTTGGAGGCATCCAAACTCGAAACGGCCTTTGTGACCGTCATGATGCAAAAGAAAATGTGGCGTAACGAGAAGTTGCAGATATAGATGTCTCAGAATCTTGGTGAGTTTTATGTCCAGATCCGAGCGGTCGCGACTATAAGTACGACGCTCCGTGGGTACATTTACTATGTCGACTTAATGATCAACCGATCTTTTTCTGTGCAAAAATGTATTCCGGAGTGCTCCGACGGATTCTCCGTTACACCGAATCCAGACTTCCGAATTCATATTATCGCAAATGAGCGTATTGGCACGGCTTATGCCTAGTGAACCATCGGAGAGGGCCTTCGAACTCCTTAGAAAGACTATATCTACTGGAAAGACTGATGAATCATATTGATGTTGAAGTCGCTGCCTTCAATCTCCCCGGCTTATTGTGACCTCGAACTGATAGAATTTCAAACGCTGTACATCGGTCTGCATATTCGCCGCTGTGAACTGTCTTAGCTCGGCGTGTTTGTCCCAATCCGCCGGCGGAGAAGCCCCTTTCACGCCGACCTAGGGGGATGAGGCCGCTCCTCGCCACCGGTACAGACAACGAATGAACCACGGGAAGATCAGGAAGTATTGACAACACATATTATGGAGATCGCGACAGTACCCACTGGCACAAGTCCCGAGGTTCGACTAGAGCTCAGTTGGAAAGGGGTACACACTGATTGCATGAGACTGAACCCATATCCTCCACCATCTTACCTCGGTCCTTGGACATTCCATTGCTAACCGCTAATTGTGGTCCTGGAGCTTCTTTCGCTGCTCCATGCATAGATTAAAGAACATAACAAAGGTGTGACCAAAACAACCTCCCCAGCTGGGCTACTCATTATCGTCTTGTTCCCATATCCATAGGTCAACTCTCGAACCAAGATAACAAAAAAGATGGATATTGCCGCTTCGACTAGGATTCCCGCAATAGCGCTGACGGGGGTTAGTCCTGCCGCAAGAAGAAAGCTAGACGAGGTATGGACACTGCATCGAGAGCTTCGGATGACTTGAGATAGACTTCAATACTAATCAGCAGAGCAGGTGGAAGAGTTCGTTCAGAACAGATGCATTCCCGCAGAAACTGTTTTTGCGCAGCAGTTAGGCGTTGAGACGAAACAGCGGTTTGCGACGCATCACTCGATTGTTGAAGATCTAAAGGAAGAAGCCCGAAGCCGCGGACTATGGAATTTGTTCATGGCCAAGGAATACTGTGAAGACGGGGCCGGGTTTTCAAATCTGGAATATGCGCTCATGGCTGAACAGCTTGGGCAAAGTTTCATCGCTAGCGAGGTAAGTGCTCGACGAACATGCGTTAAGAGCTGACCACGATCTAACCAGTTGCATCGTCTGAGCAGTGCATGAACTGCTCTGCTCCGGATACGGGAAATATGGAAGTGCTGCTGAAATATGGAAATCTAGAGCAGAAAAAGGAGTGGCTACAACCCTTAATTGACGGCGAAATCCGGAGCGCGTTCTTGATGTCGGAGCCAGATGTGGCCTCGAGTGATGCTACGAATATCCAATTCGATATCAAGAGGGATGGGAAGGACTACATTTTGAATGGAAGCGTGAGTATGGGCTCATTTAACACCCTGCCGGTAGAATACCAAGCTACCACTACGGGATTCAAATAATGTCTGGAGAACAGACTGTATGCTAACCTCGAGTGCAGAAGTGGTGGAGCAGTGGTGCTGGGGATCCGCGATGCGAGCTATACATTGTCATGGGGAAGACTGATCCTTGTAATCCAAACCCACATCGACAACAGTCTGTTATTCTCGTGCCATCTCGAACTGCTGGGATTACTGTCCATCGCATGCTCTCGGTGTTTGGATATGATGATGCACCACATGGTCATGGCCACATCACGTTTGATAATGTCCGTGTTCCAACGGCCAACCTGGTCCTAGACGAGGGCAGAGGCTTTGAGATCATCCAGGGCCGCTTGGGCCCTGGGAGAATCCATCATGCTATGAGATGTATCGGCGTGGTAAGTTGACAATACCCAGAGATGGTGAAAGCTACCAACCGAAGGACCTGGCCAACCTTTTTCTAATCCTATGATGCGGTATACTAGGCAGAACGAGCATTGAACCTCATGGTGTCCCGAGCAGCTGAGCCTAAGAAGAAGCCGTTTGGCAAGATGCTGTCTCAGCATGATATAGTCATGGCCCGCATCGCGCGCGCACGAGCCGAAATTGATGCAGCCCGACTGGTTGTTCTCAATGCAGCGCTCAAGATAGACAATGGGGACCCCAAGTCAGCCATAGGCGAAATTGCAGAAGCAAAGATTCTCGTCCCGGAAGTACTCCTACGCGTGCTTGACGATGCCATCCAGCTGTTTGGCGCTGCCGGAGTCAGTCAAGACACACCGTTAGCATATATGTGGGCGTCTGCTCGTACTATGCGGCTCGTGGATGGTCCAGATGAGGTGCATTTACTACAGCTCGCCAAGCGGGAGACTCGAAGGGCTTCAGTAATCCGTCAAAAACAGGCACGTCAAGAAACGATCATGGCCGAGATCTGTCAAGACCGTGGTATAACAAGGGTCGATCCGCTTCACTTGGGCTGGACCGCTCAAACGAAGCCACGGCTTTGATTAAGTACGTGATTATTGTATCCTAATTGCGTCGCCCGAAGATCAGGGTGCTATTGCTATCAGTCAATAACCAAGATTGCGTTATTTCGATTTTAGCTTAGCCAAGACAGTGTCGTATCTCATTGGAATGCCTTGCGAGTAGGAATATAGGACTGACTGACAATGATTGATAGTTTTTTATTTTCTAAGTACCGCAGATATTTTTCATTTTCTGTTCTCTCTTTGGGAGAGGGGGTGCATGCAAGCAGAAGACATGATACATATGGCTGTCATCTCCCCGGAGCTAATGCTCCATTAGAGTTGTAGTCTGGTCGACATGCTTCCCAGTCTCTAGAGTAGATTTATACGCGCGTTTGTTGAGACCAGGTGATGCCTACATTGGAATTTTGACACAAACTGTGGCCTGCCCAAACTTAGCCACGCTTCAGATCATACATACAAGTTGGGCGTTGGGCACGGTCATCTTTGCCTCCAAGAACTCTAATAAGTTGTGAGTCAATATGATCTGCGCTTCTCAATGTGGCTTTAAAACGTTTGCCACGGCCTCGAGCAACCTTTCTCGCTACTAGGAATCGCATTTGCTGATGCGCAGATTCGTCGACACTTCAGTCCGGAGCCATAATGTTTTTTGAGATGATACTCCCTAAATCCTAGGCAGGGAAATTGTGGCTGAGCCGTGCCATTGAACCCAATCAAAGCCGCAGAGAACTTATCACTGTGCATGGGTGGAAAGATTAAACCATGAAAAGCAAACTATAACACTGTAAAAAGATATATTGGGCGCAGGCAAATCCCGAAGAGTGCCACTAAATCAAACTCAACGAATTGTCGTCTAACTGAACTGGAAATCAAATTGCCAAGCTTAAGTCATGCCCAGTTATATAAAACACCTTGTTTCTGCTCTTCCTGATTGATTTATTTTCAACTGAATAGCGAATGCTTGCTTATTTCTTATTTCTTTTTTTCTTTTCTTTTGGACATCTCTTGAGTTGGTTTGCAGACTGATATTTACTACCTCCCTTGTCCAGCCTTTCGCTAACCATTGCTTCTCTTTGTGCGACAAAATGGAGTTTCTGAAGAAGACACTTAACAAGCTGTTTCGGCGTGATACGGCGGTGAAAGAAACACATCGGCGCCAAAGGATAATGGAATGGCGGAGAGAGACAGACGCCGTGATCTCTTCACTGGAGGAAGAGTTCGATCCATTGATCGCCAGAGGGGTTTTCAACATGCGCTACTCTAGCAAGTTATACCAGCTCCCGGACGAAATATGGCTTCAGATCATTGGACATGTTGCCCCAAGCAGAGAGTCATTCTTCATGCTCCGCCAGGTCTGTAGACGCTTCCGAACCCTCATGGAAGGGCCCGATTTCCGCGATCATCGGTTCACGTCAGAGCATGACTGCGACCGCATCCATTGCGACGGGCGAGAAACATTCTGCCCAGGCTCGGGGTTCGTACCCGGCTTGCCATCAGCTTTGCGTCATCGCTACAGACTGCCTATGACGAGAGGCTGGCTACAGGACAAAGTGGGAGAGCTGTTGCATATCGACACGCTCTGCGTGCGATGTAGCAAACTTGCCTCGTTTAATTCGCAATACAATAGCAGATGCAAGTTTCACGAAGAATCTCAGCGTGGTCTATGTCATGATGGGACCAGCTGCCCTCTTTTCATGTTTAGACACACCAACATCCAGCATCGATCATGTATCGGAACCAAGGGCTATGTGAGATTGTGTGAACACAAGAAGATCAAGTGGAAGGAAGTCAAGAAGCATCTTGTCGAATGCAGAAAAGTCATTGAGAGCAAAAGAGGACTCCAAGACCATCGGGTCGTTGTCAAACAATGTAATCACCCAAGCCATCGGACAGCCGGATGCTCTGAGGCGACAGGCCCCGAGGCCACACTTGTCTTGAGCAAGCAGGGGGCTTACACGCTGAATTTGAAATGGAGTCCACATTCTGGTACTGGGGCTTTTCCATCTTACCAAAATGGACAGATCAAGGCTAGTGAGATGCGGGATATGTTTCGAAAATATCGTCGCGAAGGAGCAGGCTTCATTGTGCCCGAGATGGCTCATGGCCAACTCCCCGAAATGACTTGTTTCCCTCTTGGCGAGTGCACCTGTCTCAACTACGGTAGTGACGAAGAAACGGAGTTGGTTCTGTACGGGGCACAGAAAGACAGTATCTGCCGGGACATGAACAACAACCCCGACCACACACCACTTTGCAGCAGGGAAGGACTTCATCCGAGCAAAGTTCATGACGGCCTCTGTCGCTCACATGTGTATATTGATCGTTGTTCATCCTGCGAGCAAGAAGAGATGGGAACTTCGCCGTGTATTGTCACAAACTACCACCGTTTTATCGAAGGCTGTTATTTGGAGTCGCAGAAGTACCCAAAGGTCAGCCACGCCTGGCTGCATGCCATGGATCGTTCTTCCTACTATTGGCCAAAAGCTGAATTGATGGCCATGGAAACTTGCAAGACGCCCGGATGTCGAAATTATTATTCAATGAGCGTATATGGATGTTACGAAAGACCCTACGACGTGCTTTTTAGCGCGTTGAAAGATGGGTAAAGGCGAAGCGAATTTGCGAAGCTCCCTCCATAATCATAGAAGTAGCTTTTAATGTCTATTATAGCGCATTATTTCAAAACTTTACAACTTTGCCCGAAATCTGTTGTAGCTATCGATGATCGACTGCCAGTACTTTGCCTTCTTCTCCAACAATGCGAGGCCCTCTTCTGCCAAGGAATTCTGCCACTTTGGCAATCTGTAACCATTCGAGTCTTGGGATGGCTCTCCAGCAAATTCCGCCAGCCAATTAAAGTACGGCTCGAAGTCTGGCAGGATTTCGTGAAAGTTGCTGGACGGCCCTTTGAGCGCTAGACGCTCTGTCTCCCACTTCCTCTGGTCGTCCTTTGACGGCAGCGCTGCAGAGCGGCCAGCCAAGAATCGAGCTATGGCAACTGCCTGATATTCATTGACGCGGAAGGTCAGGCCAGCCTTGACGTTACCAACAAAAGCCAAAGTTGGATCCTCGATATTGAAGACGTGCTGGTATAGCCCTGTGACTCTGTTCGACTCTCTTGTGCTTGCCACAAGATCCGGCTTCAAGTATGGGTAGGAGAAGCGATACCCAGTTGCAAATATAAGATGGTTTACATTATGAATTATCTCACCATCGACGAATGTTACCGTGACCCCTCCATCTTGTGATGACGATATGGACTTCACCTCGGGCCGCAGTTGAACGTTGGGCAAGTTGTATGCTGCCTGTAGAAGTTCACTCTGAGTGCGAACTGCCAATTGTAGTTTTCCTTTGACAATTTCGTGGAGATCGGTGATGAAGTCAGTCGCTGATATGCTCCCTCCAACGATAAGAACATTCTAATGATTGTTAATCCATAGTCTCGAATCCAAACATCTCAGAATGATCTCGTACCTTGTTGACATATTTGTCAGCTTTTCGATATGATTTTGAATGCTCGAAAGCCCCGGGCAAACGTTTCGAGGTCTCAATTAACCCCGGAATGTTGGGAATGTAAGGCGAGCTGTAGTGGCCTGAAGCCACAAGAACAGCATCAAACTTTTCTGTCCACCAGTAATCCTCATCTTTGCCTCCGTAATGTTGATGCGACTTTCTCAGGGTGAGAACCCATTCACCATCGATTTTCTCAGCCCTTTCAACCGTCGTAGAGAGCGATAGCCAAGGCAGGAAAGGCTTAAAGTTATCCTCGATCCAGCTTTTGATCGCGTGATGCGGACGCGATGCGTTGTTCAGCCCAAGGCGACGGACCGAATTGGGGGAATTGGTCTCGGGGAAAGGTGCCCATGTAAACGCCATTGTCGACGCCCCTACATTGCTGTCCAGTCCGTAATACAAAGCCGTCCGGGAATCTGGATCAGCGGCAGCTGCAGGGGCGAACCCGGGAAGGCTTTCTGGGCGGTTTAATTCTCTTGACGGTAATGATCCATCTGTCGCCTGCGGAAACACATCAGGCTCTTGGTCGTAGTTCCTGGTAAGCTGGTTAGCATTTGGAGCCTTGAGAAGGTGTTGTTAGGGCGTTCTATTACCATAATCCTCCCACTTCTGCTCGTCGATCAAATATTCGGATGGTATCGAATATCTTTTCACTGGCCAAAGCGTGAGTCGCGGCCAGCCCTGACGGGCCAGCACCAATGACAGCGACGCGGCGTGGGATGGGCGACATTTTCGTATACCAAGGGTTGTATGAGATAAAAAAGTCTGATATGTAATACAAGACGTGAGACAGGATTCAAATTGTAAGAGTGTAGATATATGAGGAACATTAGTGCTTTCGGCTCCTCTTCCCCGTCCGTTTCATAGCCATCGTCACGTTTCTAAGCTTGCATCTGACGACATTGCTCGATTTGTAACACCGCATACCCCCTTGGCAGATTCCCCATTCTTTCTTCCACGCTTTGCCGAAATCATGGCATCTAGGCGCCGTGAAATGCGTACATTCCCCGAGAGCACGCCTGAGAGGGGAAAGATGACGTGTTGGCCGGGGGGAAGATAAGTGCCATGCAGTGTGAATAAAATTACTCTTTATGGATATGTCGTAGCTACCTAATGTGAAATACGGACAAGATCTATCTAAACGGAACCACAAACTCGTTGGGAGCGGCAGCGAACAGTACAGTTGGTCTTAGTATCGAAGTGTTGACAGGAAAGTCTATCAAAGTTACTTATAGTTTGAGAAATACGATCAATTGGTTATTGCAGGAAGGGAGGATGGCGATGAGATTGCTCCATCAGCGCCAAGGTTTATCTTTATGTTGCCCTATTATCCTCTGGCTATTGAGCTACTTGTTACGCATGCCCTATAGTTGCAACTTTGGTTTTCTCTACAGTATGTTTCTTCCTTAGTTTTGTTATGAACCCGTCGTCTTCGAGGAGTGGGCTGATCTCTTCGAGAGAGTATCCAAGTGTCTCTGGGAAAGTGAAATAAATAACGACGACTTCAGTGGCGAGCCACGCAATGTAGACCTGCACCGGGATAAGTCAGCCTATGGATTTGAGGTATTTGTGAGAAACGGGATATGGCGGTACTTACAATGTAATATCTCCAACCAATGTTTGCTAATCCGATTGGGTTGACATATGTGTTGAAAAAGCCGGCAATCGTGCAAGCAAACAGAATTGTTGACTGTCCAATGAGACGCAGGTTATATGGCAGGACTAATTCAGTAAGTAAGCTGCGACCTCCAAGAGCTTAGACTGAAGACTGGACTTACTCTCCGGAGGGTAGGAGTATGCTAGAGGGTTGAAGGCCCAGTTGTAGCCACTCATAAAGAGGAAAATAAAGAAAATTACTGAAACTGACGCATGTTTGCTATATGGCTCCCGAGCAACCACTGAATTAGAGATAGTGACGGCAGTGAAGGAGGCGAGCATCACGAGAGATGAAGTTAAGAATTGCGTGCGACGTCCGATGCGGCCTGCCGACCAGGAAGCAACAATGCAGGTTAACCAAGATGTAATGGACAGAATGCCGTTGATGAGTGTCTGTTCATCTTGAGATGTGATGCCGACAGTCGCCAACACTTTGGAAAGGTAATAGGACACCAGCCCATTCCCTGACCAGTTCATGGAGAATCCGAGAAAGATGAGGATAAACAGGCGCTTTCGGTTAGATGAAGAGGAGTAGATGTCTCTCCATGGGTTGTCGTTTTTCAGTAGCCGAATGTTCTCTTTAATCTCGTGCAGTTCAGCTCTCACGAGCGGATCATCGAGGTCTCCATTAGCATGAGCATCTGCCAAGACATGCGACGCTTCACCCACTCTGCCCTTGGCAACGAGCCAACGAGGGGATTCGGGCACAAAGGGTAGAAACAGGACATTGATAACCGCACAGACACCCTGTAACAGGCTGGGAATTCTCCATGACCAAGAACTCGCAATAGCACCAGTGCCGAACGTCGTCCAGGCTGCAAGGATAGCGCCGATGTAATAGTTCGAATTGTACGATGCTGTTAATACGTTGCGATCCCGAGGGTGGACCGACTCAGCCACCAGGACAGAAGCTGAGTTGCCCGAAAGAATGGCAGTGAAACCAAACAGAACACGAGACACTACAAACATCGGTACTGTAGACACATCCTCGTGTTAGAATATGAGAACCCCAAGGTTGATAAGCAACTCACCGTTTTGAGCCGCTGCTTGAAGGACGGTTGCAATGACGGAGACGACTGCTCCAACATAAATGACTCTCTTTCTTCCCCAATGATCTCCGATAAATTGGGTGAATGGGTAGCTAATTATTGCACCCAGCCAGTAAGTTGCATTAATCAGTGCCGTGGATGACGTGGTTGGTTGAAAGTCTACAATTGTCAGCAGTGCATTTTATGGGGTGAATATATCGAATGCATTTACACGAATTCCATTGCTCCAGTGATTGTATTCCATTTATCATTGATCCCTCGTAGCCCACAGTGGAAGAGACTACATGGGTTCGATGGTCAGTTTCGAATCGTGCATGACTGGGAATGTATAACTGTACCCATGAGTACTCCCGGAACCAGTAGCGAATAAAGTCTGATTGCGCCCTTGTCTTTGTACCATGGTTTGGGAGGATGTCTCTCCAAAACCTCAGCCACCGTAAGGGTCGGTTCAGGCATGGATGCCACGACCGCTGATACATCTTGCTTCGAAGATTGCGAAGACATGATGACAAGAACAGAGAAGAACTGTGAAGGAAGCTTCAACCACTTTGATCAACGCTTGACTTGCCCAGCTGGTTGCCCACTCCTATAAAAGCTGCACATCTCAAACGATGAGGCTGCTAAAGTTTAGTGACTAATATCATCCCTGGTTGTCGGTTATAAGCGACTCTGCTGTGGATCTTGCAGGAGCAAATGGCACGCAATCGAATCTGAAAATTAGGAAGCTCTCGCAATCACAGCCAACAGTAACGAAATTCAGGTTATTTGAGCTAATTCTCCTGAGATTCTCCTCGCTTATATGGAATATATGATGTGACTGATGGTCTCAAGCACGCGAGACCATGACTGTGGAAACAGACGTCAAGCCGTTGGTCCAATGGAGACCTCTGGTTACCGTTCCTAACCAGTCTACTGGGATGTGAATATCAACATCGTTTTGGGCCTTTATTCCCGTGGCATCTTGCATCTCGCATCTGACTAGACACTATTGGAAGCTTAGCGTTCAGTTAACCGCGTTTCAGCCGCCAATCGAGTCATTTTTTATCCACTTTCAATGGCCATATGACTCTCGGAGTATCTATGGAGGCCCCTGTCACCACCAAATGACGAAGAGTTGAAAGCCCATGATGTGCTAATGACCCGTTGAACCGTCCGAGATCGGGCTTTGCACAAAGTAGCAAGTTCATAACTCATGGATAAGTAATAATAAGCCCTGGTTTCATCAGAAGTACCCCGCTGCACAGCAAGAGCCAAAATTATCTCATCCAAAATGTCATCCATATCTAAATTCATTAGCAGATTTTTCTCTTCTGAGAAGCAAAAAGCAATCAAGCACTGGCAGTTCAAAGATGATCTTGAAAAGGCCGACTTGGGCGATGAGTTCATCCAGCTCAAGATTGATATTTTGAGCAAGTATGGAGTCGAAAATATTCGCAAAGCCTGGCTTTCAGTCACCTCAGCCCTTGAAGCCGAAGCCCAGACAATAAAGAAGCAGGGGGCCTCCGTGTGGCCAGAGGTGAACTATGTAGACATCGAAAATGCCACTGTTTCGAAAGATATTCTTGACGCTATTCATCGGACGGGAATTGTCATTATTCGCAATGTTCTCCCCCAGACACAAGCCACTGAATTGGGAGAGGAGCTTGCGAAGTATCTTCATGAAAACCCGACAGTTATTGAAGGTAAAGTTGAGATCTGCCTTGTGCTTTACATTACTAAAATGTCTTCTTTCACAGGGCTTCCAAAGCAGAACCCTTGGCTTTATCGCTCGTATTTTTCACCAACCCAGAACACCGTCAGGACTCATACAAATAGTATCAAAGTACACCGATTTCTCAATGAGCTTTGGGAAGGGTATGACGGTGAAAGGGCACACCCCACTCCTCTTTCATATGCTGACGCACTTCGATACCGCCAACCTGGTGGATTTTCTGCCGTCCTTCAACCACATATAGATGCCGGGAGTCTGGATAGATGGGCGGATGATGAGTATCAAACCTTCTATAGCAAGATCTTTGAGAACAAGTGGCAAGATCACAAGCCATTCGATATTGAGGCTCGCTTAAAAGTCAACCAAGCTAAATTCCCCGGACCTCACCAATCAACTGTTCTAAGAACATTCCAGGGATGGACTGCCCTCTCGCCCTCTGGTGGAAGCTTTGGTCAAAGCGCCCTGGCTGTCTTTCCGAATGTGACCCTTGGTATCGCATATGTTCTGCTTCGCAGCTTCTTCAAACCGCCTGCCAATGGCTCGACGGACCCAAATCTTTGGGAGCTTGATATTAGCGACAGCTTTCCAGGCGCTGCCAAGGGCTTGAGTCAGAGGATCTCTCCTTCAACACATCCGCATCTCCGCTTCAATGAGACCCTCAGCCTGACGCCTCAAATTAACCCAGGGGATCTTGTTTTCTGGCATCCAGATGTAAGTCAATATTTTCATTCGTTGAGATTCATTTCCTTTTTGTCATTATGAAAATCGATTCTGAGTTTATCCCTAACAATATGCTTAAGATTATTCATGCTGTCGATCCGACTTTGAACTCGGATAAACCAGCCACAGTGCTCTACATCCCTTCCGTACCTTTAACGAAATACAACCTGGACTATGTTAAAAGGCAAAGAGATGCGTTTCTTGACAATGGGAAAACGCCCCCAGATTTTCAAGAATGGTTCGTTCAGAATGAAGGGGTGGCCAAGGGCTGGAAGCCGGTCCAGGACTTTGCCCAAAACAGCGAAGCACGACAGTCACTTGGCCTTGAAAAGCTGACCGGTGATTTTGACATCGTCAAAACAGCAAATAAGATTCTCGGCCTATAATGCGTTCCTTTGTAGATAGTTCAGAGAATCAACGAAGCTTCCACTCGTGGCAATACGCTTCATACAGAAGGATATTTATATCTCGACATAATTGTACACTAGCCGACAGGTCGCACTCTGGTCGCCTTTGGTGATTAAAGTACGAGAACAATATCGTCTCTCCGAATCGATCACCTGAAAGCCACATATCTGAACAGCCTCCCAACCATTTTTATGGTTCTTCACATGAGTTCGGACCAGCCTTTCGTCTTCCTCCCAATCCTGCTTTAGCCATTCACTCTCAGTAATCTCATTAACATCGACCCAGCGAGAATGGCATTTGAGCGACCCGAATAGCCAATCCGTGTGGTCTCGAATTTCACCATCGAGGACTCTCAACTCGGACGTGCCCTTGAGGCCTGAAGCGGATTGGCTCACACTCAGGAACGTCGTCGGGTCAGTGGACTTGCTTGGTGGTGTAGGTGTATCACTATATTGATTGATTTCAATGGAAATCGACGCCACACCAATCGCTTTGCGTGTAAGAAAACCGATACCTTGAAGTTGAAGTGCTGGCTCTGGATTGTCCGAAAGTTGCTTGTTCTGTTACGGATGCAAATTAGTCACCATGAATTGTATTATACATCCTGGAGGTGAGCCGGGTTTCTTACTAGCCCCCATTGTCCACTCAAATCCTGGGATGTCTTTGTCGTCGGTGCTGCCATGTTCAGACGAGTTGAAACGCGGAGTTCAATAGGCCTTTATTGGAAGAAGAAGTCGAGAAAAGAAAGGCCCATTCCTGAGCATCTCTTCCCTTTATTAACCACAACAGCCTCTTCAATAGATCTTATGTGCTGCGGGGAAGCTGCCAACCATGTGCCGAGGCTCGAGATAATGATGGCTGCAAGAGAACAGAAACGGAATCCAGATCGCGTCGATCCCCACCCCCTCATCTAGGTAAAGGGAAACCCTAACTGATGGGTGTTGGAGATGAGTCAGTTGTCACCATCCACTGACCCTGAGCCGAGGCATACACATCCAAGCTCTTCGGCGCATGACGAACATGATTTGCAAGGAGAGACTGGAAAACCGGAGACAATCGAAAGCCTTTCTATAACAGGGTCCAACCTTTAACATCTAGAATGCTATACCTTTAAAACTAAAATCATTATACAAAGACACAATGGATTGAAAAACATGCTTTCGATTGAACACAAAATGCTGCGCAGTCTAGGTATTATTTAACTATGCCATTCATAGGATCCATTCAGAATACAGTTTACTCCTTTCAATGATCTTATCTTCTAGTATCGAACTACTTTGCCAACTCCTGCTTAACCTTGGCAAGCCCGCCCTTTTCCTTGATGTTCTTTTCCAAAACATCAATCCCGGCCATCTTCTTGTGGATACTATCCACAGTACCAATAGGCAAAACTGCCACAAGCCTTCCCGTGCCTGCCATCGTTCCCCTATACACCATATGCGGCGGCTTCTTCTGACTGATATCCTTCACTACCTGCTTTGCCCACGTCTCAGCATCAACATGTTCCGATTGGTTGCCCCCCATGTGCCCCTCAATGGCCTCCTTTGCAATGTTGTACATCGAATCGGCCGGGAGAATGTGGTCGGGGGCGTTTTTAAAGAAGGTTGACTTGACACCGCCGGTAACGAGATTGATGGCTTTGATCCCAAAAGGCTGGAGCTCCAGGCGAAGAGCCTCGGTCAAGCTGCAAGCTGCGGCTTTGGAGGAATTGTATGCTCCTGTGAATGCCGATCCGCATCCGAGGATGCCATTGCCCGAGGTGTTGTTTACGATGATGGCGCCGTGCTCCGACTTAAGAAGAAGTGGAAGAAAGGCCTGTGTGACTCTGACGATGGAAAACACATTCAGTTCGTAAACCTCGTGGGCCTTTGCGATGTCGATGTGGATAACGGGCGTGTTATAGGCGGCTCCTGCGTTGTTGATGAGGCCATCGAGGGAGCCGCCCGTCAGCTTCTTGACATGGTCCACCGCGGCAGAGACAGACTCGTCCGAGCAGACGTCCATTATCACGCTCTCAATCCCGGCAGCCTCGGTGGCTGTCAACTTGGAGGCGTTGCGTGCGGAAGCGAAGACACGCCATCCGTAGGCGTGTAGAGCCAGAGCCAGCGCAGAGCCCAGACTTCCATCTGAGCAGCCGGTCACGAGGATTGTTCGTTTGTCAGACATTTCGTGCTTTCTTGGTGGGTCTTGATTCCTGATATCAAGAGTAGTTTGTAACTTGACTGCAAGAGAGCACCCTACCGTTTATATACGCCATAGGCATCATTTCTTTGGCCTATGTCAATACTTATATCGCGAGGTCCGCTATCCAAATGTAGAATATTCTGTCAGCCGCCAGAGCGTATAATTCACACAAGGCGCGCCCCACAGATGAAAGTCCGCAACTGTTAATAATAAGGACCACTCCACGCCGCCGACGGTATCCTCGATTGAAACCGGAGAATGGGATGGAACTTGTATGTCGGAAGAAACATCCTGCCGAAAGATTAACTTTCGTCGCGTACCTGATTTCACGGCGCAATTATTGCGCCGCTGGTGTCAGCCAGGAAGCGTATAAATCCACCAGGGGTAAGTTTTCGCGAGTCTAAGCAGGACGCTGTCCCGCCACCATGATACATAGCCAAGTGTACATAAACAAAACGCCTAGAAACCCTTGACCAACTGTTAATAAAGGGAGCGAGCTTCGAGGAAATTCTGCAAATCTCTAAGCTGCCTTAACTCAAGGAGATTGAGGCCCGAGGCTGTGATGTGATCATCTGCACGAATTTTCTTTGTTTCTTCGTACTCAGCTCGTACGACCAAATTGTTTCAGTTGAGTTTTTGGACTTGACAATTTTCATTAGTTACTTAGCCCTTCATGTCCCTGCACTTATGCCGACCAATACATATCGAGTTCCTTGTGAATCCCTCATTTCATCATGTGGGAAGCGCCAATTCACGTACAGTATCCTTCTGATACAATATCACAGTTCATAGATACGGGAGAAAGTAGCTGAAAGTGAGTGTTCCTCTATCAAATTCAACGGTTCCACAAATTCACACTCGCATTGTTCCTGACTAGTTCTCGTCGCGAGTGACTGAGAAAAAGCATTTCGAGACAGATTCACTGCCTGTTCCTCTACCGTAAATGAAGTTCAGAAACTTCACGAGAGACTGTACTTGCGTTTCCTCTTTTGCCCGTGCTCGAATTTTTGGCATCTGGCTTCTCTGCCCCAAGTATAAATAGTGTGCTCAACTCCCAGCATAGGATTCTTCATCTCTCATCATCCGACACCTAGATCATCTTGCCAGAATTCAAGCAACGAAAACATCTCTCAACACGAATTGCATCTTCAAACTTCCTCGCGCTTTCAACCATTACCACCCAATCAAACACAATGGAGTACACTACGGTATCCACCGGTGCCACAGGTTGGAAGTGCAAATCTCGCAAGACCATGTTTTGCAAGGAGAATATGCTTCAGTACACCGCCAACTGCGCGTACTGCAAGGCAAGCAGGCCGGCGGCGGCTGCGCCTCCGCCAGTGATCACCGAGGACAAGACCGAAGACAGGTCGACCACACCTACCCCAAAGGCCTCCTAAAAAGACTTAGAAGCCACGCTTTGATGTAGGCCTCTGATTTCGCCCCGACCAGACAAACTCTCACATTACATTCGAAGTGGATCACCCGAATGTGGTCACTCGGTCATGGCTAGGAGCAGGCCGCGTGTTCAAAGTTTCACATTTGGAAGGTGTACTTTTTTTCTTTTTCTTTTTCTTCTTGGTAGATATCACATTTAGGATCTGTTGAGCTTAGGCAGACACGAGACTATTAGGTGGATTACTGTTTTGGCATCAAGATTGACGCCCAGGCGGAAAATCGTTTATGTAGCCAAATCAACCAGACCATTCGCAATTACCCAAGTTGACTCTAACTCGAGATGGTGCCCCTCAACCCAGTGACACTTATATTAATAGCGCAGAAACAAGTGATGCCTTCCTTTAGACTATGGAACTTATCCAAGCGTAGGCTGTGATGACATGGAAGCCTGATGGCGGCTGTGAGATGCGTTTCGCGTGAACTTCCGACTAATGACGGCCTAGATTTCTATAACTTCTATTTTTTAATGATCTCTCATCATGAAATAAAGCCCTATGCCCGTTTTGCTATAACACGGCAGAGTAGATGTAAACGTAAGGCAACGATCTCGCATTGTAATCACTCAGAGACGGTGGATTTACTACCAAGTTGTTTCGCCAAGACATTAAATAGTGTATCGTACCAACAGCTGCGCAACGAAAGCATTATATCACACCACTACACGTAGAAATATCTTATTATACTAATAGCTATGCATTATGATCCTAATATCACGGTATAAGATGCACATGTCATGAAACCATGGAGCGATGCAATGCAGTGTAGGGTAGCTACAAGTTTGTGTGGATCGGAAAATCTCTATCATCCGATCCGAACCAAGTTAGCGGCTGAATCGGAGCATTAGCTCAATTTGGCCGGTGCATGTGTGATGGGACCCGATGCTTACTTTGGCGAGTGAGACCTGGCAGTGGGTTCGGGACGGAATGCACAGCAGTGTCGTCGGGTTCCGACAAACAAACTCAGCAGCTGCAAACTCCCTGTTTGCTGTTTGTTCTGCTGTGTTTGCCACAAGGGTGAGCCGTCTCAAGAGGTCGCATCTTCGCCAGTAGGGCGCAGCGGGGCTTTGGAGGCCCCCAAAAACACAAAAATCACAAGATCATGTTTTGGATGGTTGTAATTGGATCCAAGACGCATTCTCGGTTGTTTGGCATTGATTTGATGCATGAAACGGACTGGACGAAGACGAGGGAGACCTGCCTGATGTGAAATGGGTGGCTTTAGCGGGTGCATCACTGGAGAAACAGCGATTGGCTGCCCTGTGCACCCTGAACGGGCGATCCTTGCCACTGTAGTGCGCTGGACTTTAGTGGACTTGCGCTGGGGCCAATCGCCGAACAATCAAACACGCGACAGGCCACAATCAGTTGAAATCCGAAACATCTGAGACGAGACTGGATGCAAACATCCGCATCTATGCTCATCATCGTGGAACGAGTGGCATGAACCGGCTTGTTGGATCCCATCGAGTTTCCCGTCCCGATCACAAGCACTCTATCCCCGACACTCGCGCACGGTCTGCCGCATTCATGCCGTGAGCCTGCTCCCCATAGGCCTCATTCCGACCGTGTATCTGGCCACTTGCTTCTGCCTCCCGCGGTGCTACGTTGCAGGCCAGAAGCCGCCCCTTCTTGGTGTTGCTGGCAACTAAAATTAGGTTGCTGTACTCCTGCATTCCTGGAGTCCTCCTGCGTCGATCACTGCAGTCTTCCGCATCCATGATTCCCATATCATCCATCAATCTGCCATGACACACGAAACAAGCAAACGGCCAATCAGTCTCCCCGCCTTCATAGCACTCTGGTGGGATGAGCCCATCAGGTGAGGCGAGATGTCTTTGAAGGAGTCCCAACAGGGGGCATTCATGAAGGGCATAACGCAGGGGCACTGCCGATTCGCGACATGCCTTTGTAAATTCGGTATCCTACTGTCCTACCGCTGATTCCTTGAGGAAGAGGTAGGATGTTAGTGGCGCAATGTCATAAGTCATGAATCGCAGAGCTAGTTTCAGCCCCCAATATATTCAAATTACCCTCCCGCACTTAGTTGCGGAGCAAAATTAATATGAATGATTAACAGATATGCAGGTGATGCTCGCAAGATCTCGGGAAATATGGGAAATAAGGTATATCAGCGCTGATTATTTAATTTTCGCCTGGGCTTTATATGCCTGTGTCAGGGTTATGCTTACGTGCATGCGCTGACACTCATTCCTTGGGGCGATGCATATTGCGTTGAAGACGGACAAGCAGCGGTCCTTGGAATGACTCTTTGATGCATAGTGATTCCTGCTTCCCCTGCAGCTCATATTCTGCTTTGTTGGCTCTGATTCTACGCATTGTTTAGGTAAAGTGACTCGCAGACACAGACTACGACCGGATCAAAGATGCCGTGCGGATTGTCTGCTCTCGTCCCTTGTTACGTTGCAGGATCTCACCCCGGTCTAAATTTAGTCCCTCCTCTCTCTCCCACAATGGATTTGCCTGCTGTGACTTGGGGTCCCTACTCAGTCCCTGCGGCGTGCCGATCACTTGAAACACACATGTTAGCTGCCGCTAATGGGCCTCTGCCACCAGCCTATTTCGGCCACAAGACAATCAAAACTGACATTGTCATGCTTCTAGCGGCGCTGATTGTCCCTCCACGGCGGCAACTGGCAAATAACCTGCTCGTGGGCTGCGACGTTGCACCCCCTGGCCGCTCAACTGCCTTGTCATACGGCAGCCGATCCATGACAAACAAGCAAGAGATCGTCATGAAGCTGCCCTGCTTGGCTAGTCCAAGCTCTTTGTGTCGTCCCAACTCCCCCAAAGGTTACGTTAGACTGGGCGAGCCCTGTAGGATTGCCCACCACATGGAACAGTAACCGCGCGATCTGGGCGAAGTTTTAGCCGTGAAGCACTGACCAGACTTCCCGTCAGTGTGGAGGAGGATGCGTGTGATATGGATTTACGACGTCGTGACCACCTATAACTATCAGCACATGCCCTCTCTCAGGATGTGTTTCTTTTCTCCTCAGTAGGCTTTGCTACCTCTCCCTAACCTTCCTTTCTTTTTACACGTAAACACGAGCTTTGGGCCTCGTTTTCATTCATTACACACTCACCATTCATTCCTTCTTTTCGGAAGCTTAGCAAAGACATTATCATGCGTTCCTCTATGGTTTCCATGCTCGGCGCTGCTGCCACGGTGGCTGCCGCCCCCAGCTATGTCATGTACTTTGACCAGTAAGTGTTGCCCAATATATCAAGGCTTTATAGCTTCAGCAAGTACTAATAGCATTCAAACTAGATGGCACAAGGACTCTCTCCCTGACAAGAGCGTCACTGCTGGCGTCAACTATGTCATCACCTCCTTCGCCACCTCCGATCTGTTCGTCAGCGGTGGCACCTACACTCCCTTCATGCCCCTCGACCAAGTCCGCGCCCTCTTTGACGCGGGCACCAAGGTCTGCATGGCCATTGGTGGATGGGGTGACACTGCCGGCTTCAGCACTGGCTCAGCCTCCGAGCAGTCTCGTCAGACTTATGCTGCCAACATTGCCGCCACCCTTGATCGTCTTGGTTACGACTGCGTGGATGTGGACTGGGAGTACCCCGGTGGTAACGGTAAGCAGAATACCAACAAATGAGTGTTGTGTCCTGTTGATACTGACTACTTCTTCTCAGGCCAGGACTACCGCCAGATCCCTAACGACCAGAAGGTCCAGGAGATTGACAACTACCCCCTCCTTCTCAAAGCTATCAAGGAAGCCATAGGCACCAAGGAGCTCTCCATCGCCGTCCCCGCCCGCCCAGGCGACATGATCGCCTACACCAAGGAGAAGGTCCCCGAAATTAACAAATGGGTCGACCATGTGAATGTAAGTTGTCCTCCATATCTACCCCCGGATCCTCATCTGACCTCAACCCACCAGGTTATGACCTACGACCTCATGAACCGCCGCGACAACGTCACCGCCCACCACACCAGCGTCAAGGGCTCCGCCCAGGCCATCGACATCTACATCGAGCGCGGCATGGACGCCAGCAAGCTCATCCTCGGCTTCCCCTTTTACGCCAAGTTCTTCACCACCAAGGCCGGCGTCCAGTGCACCGCCCCCACCGGCTGCGAGACGGCCGTCCTCGAGCTCCCCGACGGCTCCGACCCGGGTCTCTCCGGCGCCGTCACCTTCGAGACCGCCAACTGGGTCCAGGGCAGCGACTTCGTCAACGCCGTCACAAACGGGCAGGAGGACGCCGAGGAGGGTGGGCAGTGGTACTGGGACGCGGCCAAGGGCGTCTACTGGACTTGGGACACGCCCAAGCTGATTGCACGCAAGTTTGAGGAGATTGTCAAGGCCAAGAACTTGGGCGGCGTCATGGCGTGGAGCTTGGCGCAGGATAGCCATGACTGGAGTCACTTCAAGGCTCTGCAGGAGGGTGTCAAGGGCTTGAGCTCGTAAGTCTATGCTTCTGAGGAGGAGGTCGGGTCGATTGATTTATAGAATGTAGCTAAATATAATGGCAATCTATAGAAACACTCCTTCGCCTAGCAGCTCGGCTGCTGTCACTCCCCCTGCTACTCCCATTGTCACTCCCACTTCTACACCTATCGGCACACCTACCACCACTGCCACCGTCTCTCCTACTGCCACGCCCACCAGCAAGTGTGGACGCCGCCGCAAGTGAGCTTGCCCGTGTTATGTTGGATTTCTTTTCACGTCGAACGAAAGCGCCGCATAGAGTGGCGTAGGAATGACTTCAATTACGAAGTGACAAGCGGGCAGCGATTGAATCGCTATGCCCTGTAACGTTCTGGATAACGAATTATTATTCTCTATTGAGCTGGTCTACTTCTGCATGTACAATATACTTAGAAGACTATTACCGTCCGTTTCATCATGACCCTCATTGTGCCGTAGTCTTGAGATTTTAAATTCCCAAGCTATGAGACTCTAACTCACTGTATGTGAGGCTTGTCTATTATAGCCTGAGTGAGATCATGCTGGCAAAGGATGGTGAGGGTGGAGGCCATTGGGCATCCTCCAATCAAAGTCCCTGTGTTTCACATCATAAACATTAGCAACTATCCTTGGCCCATAATCTAATCCAAAAGATCCGAGAGAAGCTATACGTCAAATATCCAAAGCTTGTTGGTTTTATGTTGAAATATAAGGAAGCGCTTTCCGCGCCGTGGGATGTCTATCTGCTCTATCAGTGTCCAGCAAAGCATCACTTCAAACTTCCCATTTATCCATTCCGCCTCCATTTTGGAGTTGTCGAATCTTCGAGAGGAACATTTCCCTTCCGCTCAACCTCTCCCGGCCAAATCTCCCTCATGAGCGAGTTGATATCCAGCCCCCTATCCCTCGGACCCTGCCACTGCCGCGGATATCCAAGGCTCACCTCCTCGAACCGACACCCATCCCTCCAATCCGTCCGCGGTACATGCAGATGCCCCGTCACCACCACCTTGGCCCCAAACTCGCGATGCCACGCCTCCGTCTGCACGCTCCCGCACCAGATCTCGAACCGCGGCGCAAGCGGGATGTATATCAGGTCCCGCCGCAGTGGCCAGTGGTTCACCAGAACCAGCGGCAGATCCGGATGCTTCTCCTTTGCCTCCTCCAGGCGCTGCCGGCTGATCGCCTGCCTCGCCAGCCCCCACTCGACCTTGTGATCGTACGGGTCGGCGTGGAGCAGTACCTCGTCCGTCGCGACGGTGCCCACCTCCTCCGCCCACGCCAGCGCCTTCTCCGGCGACTCGTCGTGCGGCGGCGGCGCGAAGGTATAGTCGTAGAGAGTAAACAGCAGGCAGATCAACACCGGCCCTCCCTCTCCACCGTCGTGTACGGCAAACTCATCCTCCGGCGTCAGGACACCGTAGCGCCGCGCGACCTCGACGCACTCCTCGTACTTCTTGACGCCTCGAGGGGTGGGGTTGCTGTCGTCCCCGGAGGCAACGGAGTAGAGCTCATGGTTGCCGGGCACCCAGTACACCGTTTTAAAGCGCTTCGTGGCGACCTCGAAGGCGAGCTCGAGGTGCTCGGCCTTCTCGCCCAGGTCGCCGGCGAGGATGAGCGAGTCGTCGGGGCAGTAGTCAAGCTTGGCGAGCTCTTGGCGGTTCAGATCCCAGGACAGGTGGAGGTCCGCGATGGCGTAGAGGCGGCCCATGGTGATGGAGATGCTGCTGATGGGCTCAGTTGCTCTCCAGGTCCCGGTTTGATGAATGCAGAGAGCCGTTATTCACAGCTGGCATCGATGACAAATGAATGTGGGGATCATTTGAGCCAGACGACAGATAAGAAACGAAACTTGAGTTGGACGAAGGATGACTGGCCAACAAAGCCCCGCATATGATGCAACCACAACTCTTCCAAGCTCCAAGGCGACGATGAGAGATGGATTGAGATAACTTGCAAAAACGTGTTCCAATTATGCTGCACTGAATGTTTCTTGAATATAGCATCTAGTATATCATCTACTAACATATACTAAAACCCCCGGTATAGCCAATCAAGTAAATACCAGTCGGCAGTTGTACCTATCTTGCCCCAGGATACCTCCTGAATTATACCCTTGCCAGTGTCTTATTGTCAAGATCCTCCAATCACTACATAATCTATGGTTTCCAGCGGCGAACCAGGATATGCATTGTAATATACACGCCTACACCGAAGCCAAGCATCCCAGAGATGACACCAAAGCCCATGTAATATTGCGGAGCATCTTTGAAAGGAAACAAGTACGCACCATATATCTGGGCCAGGTTTCCCAGGCCGTTCATGACGGCGAGTGCGATGGCACGAACCTTAGCATCTATAGAACCGAATGTAGAAGAGGCAAAGCTCAGGGAAAGTGCGTTGGACGACCAGAGTCCGGCAGCCATGAGGACAAGCAAAGCGTAACGGACGGTGAACTTGTGCAAGACACAGACCAGAATCGAGGTGATCATTGAGAATGTGAGTCAACAAGCAATGATGACACCACGCCACTAAGGGACTTTGTCTGCAAAATAGTCGCTGATTGCCGTGCAGACAAAGGCGACGGCGTATATGAGCACTGTCATGTACTGAGTTAGGACAGTTTAGATGTAACCGAGATCATTAACAAGAGTGGGATAAAAGTAGGTCAAGGGACCCGACGATGACCTATAATATTCCAGTTCAGGAGAATGAGTCTCAAGCTCATCTATCGAAGTTTCACTCACCATGTGTCCACGGATGAAATCAATTGTCCTCCGGTCCTTGACAGCCAACACAAAAGACCTCAGAACTCCAACCTTCTCCTCCTTGGTACGGACAGTGACGTTGTCCTCCTGAATCTCGCAATAGCGATCGCACGCTCCCCATCCGACATCCCCTCTGAGTTGGCAGGGAAGTCAAGGAGAATAAACACGGCAATTCCGGCAAATCAGAAGTGATGGCACCAGCTAAAAGTCCACCGAACGCACCAGATGGAATGGCGGCGGACATGAAGACGGCGAAGCGTCGTGATTGCTCTTTTCGCTTGTACAAAGATGAAAAGATGAGCAAAACTCCAGGGGCGAAGCCGGCCTCGATGATGCCGACGAATACACGCAGGACAAACGCTGGCAATGGAGTGGGCCAAACACAGCATCAGGGTCAATTGGATTTCTCCCGGCCTTGTGAAAACAGCCATGACACAATTTATTGATCAGACTCCTGATTGGAACCTCAAGATGCAATACTATGGCGGCATGCCTCCCCTAGCTGACCCCAAGGAGCTTGGTGGTGCTTATGTCTATCTTCTTTCCGATGTTGCATCTAACACTGTAAGTCTCTTCTATTTTGTCTAATGTCTTTCCTTTTGCTTCCTCTTTTGAAGATCATTGGCCAGCTGAATCATGAGCGGCAGGATTTCAATTGGCGCCCAAAAGGGCCCATCGATCTTTTATTCGTTCAAAATTGTTTTCATCCTACTTGACCCATAGCTTCCTCCTTGTAGCTAACAATCACAAACCCGTACAGGAATGGATATACCAGTAGCTGGTGGCGTAGGGGCATGGTAAAGCCATGACTTCCTCCTAAGACAGTGTGAATATGGACCCTCGATATCCCCCTATATCTTGTCGTGTTATGCACTTTCTACGGAACTTATCTTCCAAACCCCTGCTTAGCAGTATCTGTATAAATACGACAAATATTACATCAAGCGGTATCGACGTCATAGAGAAAAATTATAAATCAGACTGCTACTTGTTGCTTCTTGGAATTTGGTCAAAATGGCAGGATTGGGCGGTACCACATGGTATAGATGAGGTTAAATACAGTATTAGATTCATCTGATATACCTTCTATAGGTTTCCATTAATACCTTTCTCTAGATACTGTTCTCTAGATGTGTTTGGCTTTGCAATTGGTTAATGACTGGTTGCAGCCAATCTTCTCCTTTTCAATCACTCTCATTTGTTATTAGTTTATAGATAATAAGAAATTAAACCTCGGTTGAATAATACTTAGTTTCTGTTTTGCAGACTTGAAAGTTGTGACGTGCGGTTTGCCAACTCTCTGAGCCCTATTGGCCATTAGCTCAAGGCCTCATTTTTAGCACATATAACTACGGATGTATAGATATGGTATTGAATACACCTAATTTTATGACAAGACGCCTTCTCGGATGAAGTGGTATGGGTTTTTCTTTTGGCGACAATGAATCAAATTTGGTCGCCTTTGCTGGCATTGCATCTAAGAGTGGGTTACCCTATATCTCCTTCAGTGAGATACCTCCCGCTCCTCCTCTTACGCCTGGGTTGAAATTCAGGTTACATGACAAGTGTTCCAAAAAAAAAATCATGATTTAACCGCATTTGTATTTAAACAGTCAGAGCTATGTGCCCTTGTCGTTCCTTGTTCAATGATTAAACGCATGGTAGTTGTTTCACCATCTTTTCTTGTCCTGTATTGAACGTGAGTTTGACTTGGCGAAGGCGTGACCTAAAAAAAATGTAAAGAGATTTAAGCATGTGGCTTTTAAAGGTAGATCGACAGCGATGGAAAGGAGTTTGAGCATAAACTCCAACAGCAATGGAAGATGATAAACCCGACAATTCAACACAATGAATAAGATCGACAGCTATTATGCGCAACATATAGAGTTATCAGGCTTTAGCCAAGTTGCTATGTTCTATTTATCTATGATTTGATAGCATTGGCTACCGGCGGAAGGGCAAGGACGGTTCCTAAATACATTTATCTACTCCTTAACTAACAGTTCCACAGGGTTGTGATCCTCCATGGCTGCGACAAGTCGCGATACGATGGCGAACACTCGTTCCTTCTTTTGCATGGTGTAAGGGCAGAGGACCCAGGAATATCCAGCCATAAGAGACTTTCGGTACTCCGCCATCACCTCAGGATCCTCCCTTGAGAGCTTCGGTGCACCATACTCATGTAGCTTCGCGAGATAATGATCGATCAGGTCCTTCTCGTGTGCTCTGCGGTCTTCGATGGTCAGGGCCGTCATGATGTAGTAAGCGATGTCGGTGAAGCAGGATCCGCGGTGGATGATCTGCCAGTCAACAATCATGGGGGCCTTGGTCTGCTCAGACCAAGCTGTGTTGCCGATATGGGCGTCACCGTGCAGGATGCAACCGAACTTGGGGTTTCGGGTCCCAAACCACGACTTGATGGCGGGTATCATCCGCTCCTTGTCCTTCATGTATTCGGGGACAGGAGGCCTATCCTCGGCGAGCACAATGGCGTCCCACATACCACAGAGTCCTAGGACGGCTTCCTCATAGTGGTCATTTAACCAGGGAGCATCTTCGGCCTTGGTTCCCCAAGTGGCGGCGTGAAGGGCAGCGAACTGCTCAACGACCAACTTGACTCGTTCAACAGGCCAAGTGTCAACAGGATCAGCAAACACATAGCCTGCCGTGGTGGCGACGTCTGTCATGACGAGGAGGGCATTTTCGGCAGTCTTGCCAGACCACAGCATCTTTGGCAAGTTCAGCTGTGGCACTTTGGGCGCCACATTGCTGTAGAAGTCAAGTTCTCGCGTGTAGAGGCCGAGGACAAAAGGGTAGGCCGCCAGCATATCTGGGTTGAAGCCACCCTTGACGCAGATGTTCAGAGCGGGCTTTGTAGTTCCATCCTCTTCTTCCGGTGTGACGGTCATGAGGATCAAGGAGGCCGTGCCGGCAATAACCTTGTTTGTCTCAATCTTGGCCTTCTGGAGGCCAAGCTTGGGTAAGAGCCATTCTGATGTGACATCTTCGACAACGCGGGGAAGAGCTTCAGATCCGGACATTTTCGTGTTCTTAGCGGTATACGCGGGTAAAACCAAAGGTAGATGAGTGGGAGTGTGTGGTACGAGACTTGTGTGTGAAATAGATGAAGGGGGATGGCTTCTTGTCGGAGGATTTCTGTAGCTAGGCTACATGGATAACGGATCAGCGAGTTTATGATTGAGAGAAGAGAGACAACACTAGAGGCCATTGCCAGGTCATCCTTGTTTATTGCATATTCATACCGGTCTCGTACGTTCTACTCTTTGTGGCAAAAATTCTCTGGACTTGGACTTGAGCCGCCCCCCATTCCTATCTCAGGCGACTAGTGTGTCTTCATCAGGTCACCGTCGCTTTTATCACCAGGGATTTGCCTATATTAGGGTCAGAATCACCAGAAACGAGCCTAAGAAGGCCCAGCTTCTGGTGGGTGGAAGATGGATGTCGAGGCTAGAGAGCCGCGATATGTTCTCGATTCCCTGCTTCGTATTGGTCGTTCGAGCCTCCATCCCTGCTAAAAGAGGGCGGCCCCTGGCTTTAGAGCTGCACCTCGGATGATAGAACCCAAAAATTAAAACCAGGAGCACGCTAAGACGATGCTGACATCCGACAGGGATCGCGCGGCTGCTCCCCGGGAGAGCTTCGACCACCCGCGAGATATTCCTGCATTCAGTAATCAAATAATTAACTAAATTCCAACGGTGCGGACGGGGCCGGGAGACAACAACGGGTGTCCCTCAGCGGCAACCGCGCGCGGGAGATGTGGCCAACGACTGTCCAGCCCAAGCACACCATGAAATTATCACCGGTAGAGGTACCAATTTAGTTCTGAGATCTTCAGGATGATAAATTACCATCCCAGTGGTTACCCCCTCTCCCCTCTCTCCCTGTTACGTCCCCCTTATGCAGGTGTTCTCACGGCGAAGCACTCGGCACCCAAACTTGCCGGCCGTTCATGCAGCACGCGAACCATAAAGTAAGCCTCGAATGGAATAGCAGTCGTTGATCTTGTCTAGGACAGGAAGGTCTCGTCCGTCAACGGTCGCCTCCCCGAGGGCGGCCAAGTTCCCGGAATCCTCGTTCCCCACAAGTCCACACCAGTCCGTAGGACCCTGCTAGCCGTTACAATAAAAAGAAAGCAAGTATCAATGTATATTAGTTGCGTGATAAGTATGCGCAAATACCAAGGCTAGTTTAAATCCTTACCCCTCGGCAGTGGCCCAAAGGAATGGGTTGTTTCGCCTTGTGGCCCCTCCCCCGGAGCCGGTGACATCGATCATCCAGGAGAAAGGGGATCTTGAAGACCTTTTAACTCTCTTCCCCTCCGGTCTTGGAGAGCAGTCAGCAACGGAATCAACCCACACAAGACCGGAATCATGGCGGTGCGCGACACTCTCCCCTCCTTGATGGCGGCGTTCATCGCCGTCGACGTCGCCATTGTGCTCCTCCGAATGATCGTGCGCCTGAAGATGACCAGGCTCGGATACGACGACTATGTCATCGCTGTCGCTGTCGCTGCCTTCGTTCTCATGTGTACCTTTTGCTTCGTATCTCTCGACTATGGCTTCGGCCTCAGCGACCCAGCTGTCATTGCCACCTTCGCCAAATACAATCAGATGGAGGCTTCCCGATACTTCACCATTGCTCAGGTCACCTACGTCGCCGGATTCCCTGTCGTGCGAATCAGTTGCGCGCTTGTTCTGCACCGTATTGTCCAGGGGAAGCCTAAGATCCAGCGCCTCCTAGTCATCTCCATGGTCTTCGTGGGCATCTACGCTCTGGGCTGCCTTCTCGTCGATGTGCTGCAGTGCATCCCGCTCAAGGCCGTCTGGGGTGATGGCACGGGCAGGTGTCTCACAATCACACAGCTGGCAGGCCTGGGCTTTGCGGTATCGGCGCTGGACATTGCGTCGGCGCTCTTCTACGCCATCCTGCCCATCTTCCTCCTAAAGGGTCTACAGATGGGTACTAGAACCAAGATTGCGATCATGTTCTTGCTGGGCCTCGGTGCCGGAACAGTCGTGGTCAGTATTGTGCGCCTAAGGAGCTTGGTGTTGATCGTCAGCTCCACGGACATTGTACAGGCACTTGACCTCCAACTCGAATCTTTCATCTAGTGAGTCCATTCCATTCCGCCCTTTCTCCATCTTCTCTTCTAACCGCGTCGTCATCAGCTCTGTCCTAGAATTCGGATTATCCATTCTCTGCGCCTCCCTTGTTGCACTTCGCCCCCTCGTCAAATACTTGCCGTTTGGCAGCCACGGACGAAGCTCCGGCAAACAAGGACGCTCTGGAGGATATGGCACAGGCGGAGGTCTTCACAGCGGCACCGGCGAATTCGAAATGAACTCTCGGCGTCACAACCACAGCAAAGCAGCCGATGCAATCCCCCTCGATAGCGACGACGCCGAGAGCGAGCGAAACATTCTACAAGACCCCCAAGACCACCCTAGATCTGGTATCTGGAAGCACTCGAAAATCAATGTCACCTACGAAAAGAATTCGAAGGGCAAACTCGATAACCCTGCTGGCGTACCTCTATAAGCTTATGGCTGTATGGGTCACAAATCCTGGCGAGCAGGCATGTAATACTATTAAGGGAGCTAAAAATGGGATATGGTAATGTGAATTTGGTCTGTGTGTTCACTTGAATACGCAGAAGGGAATGGGAAAACTTGAAGATTTGGAAGGCTCGATGCCAACTTGATTCGATGCGAGTGAGACAAAAACACGAATGCGAGACATAGAAACAGAAAGAAAATCGAAGTGCAGTCTCTCCTGGATCAGGAAGATAGCGCGACGAGCCCTAACTGATAACTGAAACAATCTATCTTTTTATATGTCTTCTAACTCAAAGGTCCTGTATACTTTGCTGTCGAGTGTCATGAGGAGCGTAAGAGTCACTTTGATCACACATGGCTGGAGTACAAAACCTATCTGAAGCGAAGGCAAACTAAAAGCAAACGTGAGATGAGATCTGTAGTTTTCAACTCCCCGTAGCCTAACTGAATGGGCTACGCCTACTTTTACTTAGAGGAATGGACAGAATCTAGCTTATACTCTCGGGGCTTGACAGATGAGGTTTCCCCTGTGATTGTTCCATGCATTACGCTTGGTGATCAAGATGGAAAGTATAGACCTGTTTTTAGTTTCGAAAGACTATAAGTCTAGGCGAGATTGCGATCAGCAAGAACCAAGCAGTGGGAGAAAGGAGTCTTGCAATTCCAGGGACATCATAGAGCCCCTTGTTTACTTGGTTCACGCAACATGGGGCCTTGGAAGCCGGCATCTGGATCCCCGCACGTCAGGGAAGGATTATTATCTGAATTCTAAGCCCAGGTGGCTGGGTCAGTATTCAGGTGTCGCTTCTTACGGTGGTTTGAGATTTACGTCTCACCACCACGTGTATTAGGACCTCTATGTATTCTATGCTATACCCCCTGTGTTTCTCGGTATTGCCGCCAAATGACTAGGTTATGCAATATATTCCCCCCGCTATATATTAAATATTATTTCCAGTCCCGTTTCTAAATGCAGACGTGAAAAATATGCCAGTTTAGGTAACCTACTCCTGAAAAGCAAATCTGTTCTTGTTGGGTCGAAAATAATAACTGAGAGCACAGACTGCCAGGCGTTCACCGATACTCGAATGCTCGTAATAACTTAATTTTAAGTTCCATTAATAATCATTGGTTCCTGGGAGGTATTTGAAGAAGTTCTTTAGGCAAGGCTATATTCGAGCTCGGCACCACTCCCAGCCCACCCTACACCATTCTGATTTGTCCCAGCATTGTACGGGATTTCCATGATGACGAGTCTAGTTTTAAGTTAAGTAACACAGTAATGCGGGAGATTATTGAAGATGGGAGAGAAAACAAGTGAAAACGGTTGGGAATAGCATCTTGCTCGGCTCGTAGAGATGGAAGATACGTGATTCCACCTTACACTATTATGATGCATTAAGATTGAATATACATCGAACAGCATGTAGTGTCTAAGCTATTCAAAAATGATTTCTATAAATAGAAGAGTAATATACAGTGAGGCACTAAGACACGCTGGGTAATTCTCAATTACTATCTATCATCGGAGATCTATCCAACACACTAGCATTGGCTTGCCCCCTCAAAGAATGACTGGCCGATGGAGTCGTGAATTAAATCCACCCAGACAAAACTCTTGAGTATCTGGCGGGTTTCCTCCCAGGTCGAGATATTTAACGTTTGACATGCTTTAAGAAGCCAATTTTGGAGCCACGGAAGTTCTCCCTCGGTGCTCAACACCGATGCTCTGCTCATACACACTGACCAGACTTGCAGCTTTAATAGAGCTTTATCGTCCTGTGATTCCAGGTATCCCAGATCCTGCCTAAGCTGCATAGCCAGGGGTCGACACTGCGCTGGCAAGTCCATCGGCTTCATAAAGAGGGTGGTGCTGCACGCCAACATGACATGACGAATGATTTCTTGGACATCATGACGCTCGTAAACCAAGCATTGTAGCCGATATTGTAGGGAGATTAATATCTCTTGGAACTCTTTAGAAGCCAGTTTCTGACGAGTTTGCTGCGCCATGTTGAGCTTGTTTGTAAAATCTTGCAAGTCAAGCCAGACATTTACAAGTCGAATATCAGGGTTGCTGCAGACAGTGTGGATTGGTGTAACTGTAGACGTCTTCATGGGCTGCGCCAGGCTCGGTTTCCATTGGAAATCCTGCCCACGAAGGAAGACCGGCCTCGCTCCGGTCCTTAGGGCCAAGCGAAGGTCAAGTCTGTGTTGGGTTCGTAATGATTAGCATGTGCACGCTCGTATGTCGCCTTTGATTACAGACCTGCTGCATTTAACCCGGAGGGAATACTTTTCTGTCAGCCCGAGAAGGCCACCGCGGAGCTTTATTAGTTGCCAAAGGCCGTTGACGTGCTTTATAGCGGCATCTAGATCTCCAAGTGTATCTGATATTAATGCCAAACATAAAACGGTGAGAAGGACAGAGTCTGTAATGATGAAATTCGCCTCGGTAAGTTTCTTTCGCAACTCCGCCATGGCCTTGTTGATGAGGGTTACTCCCGTTAACATGTGGCCCTTTCCAACAGTATCAAGGTAGGATCTGGCGATGTGGAAAAGGGTATCGCTGTAGAGAGGATCGTGGCTCATGTCCTCGAGCCAGTATTGTTCATCCTTACTAAGATCGATGAAGTCATTGACGGGGTACATGCCCATCGTCATATATGAGATGACTACATTGTTTCGCGTCAGCAGCTACAACTTGAGTAGAAAATAGGAATATCAACCCTACATCTGCAGACAGTATGAAGCATCCCGGATGGTAAACCTGGATGCAAACTAGGGAGATAGACCATGTCGAGCGTCTGAAACAACACCGGCTCGACTATCGCATTGTGGAATGGGATGTGCCCTGTGATACTGGGTTGTAAACGTCTTGTATTGGGAGAACGAGCAGAAGTCTGTTTCCTGTTCTTCCCCCTCATAGCGTGATGGCGGATGAATTTCAAGGATTTGGCGTCGGGTTTAAGGCTGTCTCGCCCGGTGGCTATGATGAAAGGATCAGGAGCGGTATCTGTTTCCTCCTTCCTATTGCCACGCTGGATGCGCCATTTAGATTGGTAGGCTTGAGCCGCCATCCTCATGAGGTAGACACAGGCAACCTGGGCGTTCGTTCTCTTTGCATGTTGACAGGGCAGCTCTGGCACCATGATTCATCTTGTCTCGGAGTCCGCTGGGGCTGGGGATCAAACGTTAGTCAGCCAATTTCTCAGGATTTGACGCGGCAATCGGCTTCCAGACCCATAAACTAAATCCTAGAACGGCAAGCCAAGACATGAAGTGTTTCCTACTGAGGACTAGGACGAACCAGGATCGAGTCAGCAGCATGACTGGAGTTGGAGTCCTTTCAGCTCGGGCCATCTGGATGTCCATAACTCCTCGAATATGGCAAGACTTCATGTGAAATATTTCCTACTCTAGAGAAATATGAGTTTGTTTGGAATTTAATGTTTGCAATCTTCTGATTGCCCAGACATCACGGTCTGGGCGAAGAATAAATATCCGAGCGTGGCCCTGCTCATGGTAAACTATCATACTTCTGTCAATCTCCTACATCTCATAAACTGTATTTCTTGATTTCTTTTTGAGTTGGTGACGGAACAAAAAGGACGCCAGTCATGTCTTCAAAATCAATGGAAATAGGTCATCAGCCCAAATCTGGTGGCTTCAAACTGCCTTTTCGCACCAAAATAAGACGAGCACCAGCAGGTACGGATTTGACTGGCAAAACTGCGATCATCACAGGTGGTAATACTGGCCTGGGGCTTCATTGTGCGCGTCACCTTCTATCACTCAAGCTTTCTCATCTCATCTTGACCGTTCGATCACCCAAAAAGGGGGAGGCCGCAGCCGCCGGGCTGCGGGCTGACTACCCAGCAGCAACAGTTGATGTCTGGACACTAGAGATGACCTCCTACTCCTCCATACAGGACTTTTGCAAGCGAGCAGAGACGGACCTTAAGAGACTCGACTTTACGATCCTCAATGCCGGGGCAGTAAAGGTGGATTTTGGCATCTGCAGCACTGGTCACGAAGAGGTAATCCAGATCAACTACTTGTCGACGTTCCTCCTTGCAATCCTCATGCTGCCCATATGCAAAGACAAGGCGCCATCTGGGAGCCCTGGCCGACTTACTATTGTCAGCTCAGGGACGGCTTTGATGGCGAAGTTCTTGAACCGCGACAAAAGGCCGCTACTTGCATCATTTGACGACACGGCTATCCAACCTTGGGACGCTATTGAGAGATATTTCTCCTCCAAAATGTTAGGCCACTTGTTCTTTGCCAGATTGATCGACTATCTCAACCCGAATGACGTGATCGTCAACCTTGTCGAGCCTGGCATGTGCAAGGGATCAGAGTTGCATAGGGAAGTCCCAGGCGTTGCTGGAGTTTTTCTAAATACGTACAAGGCAATCGCTGGTCGTAATCCTGCCGACGGCGCGTGGACTTATGTTGATGCTGCAGTGGTGAAAGGCAAAGAGTCTCATGGTTGTTTCCTCTTGGACTGGGAGATCCATCCGTAAGTATCACTGCTATCGACAAAGTCTGGCCTTCTTGCTGACCACAGACGAATGTAGGTTTACTAAACTTGTCTATCTGCCGGAGGGAAAGCCAATCATTGATGCGCTTTGGGATGAGACAATGGCCGAATATGAGTTCGCTGGGGCGCGCGATATACTGAATAAGTGCAAAACGAAGGATAATGTGTAGTGCCTCACTAAATGAAAAGACTTGGTAACACATATCTTACTGGCTAGATAATAGCTTCAACTTCCCCTAATTACGGCAGAACACAAAAACTGATTTATAAACCTCGTAAATGCGAAATTATGATAGAGTCGTAGCATGGTGGTATATGGATAGCCCGCTTTGCGTGAAATGAAGAGGTCGGAGAGAGCAGATCGTCATTCTTGGGTTCATACGCTCGACGACGGCTCAGGCTGAGCTTCTTGTTGCTCTGCAGTGTCTTTGAATCACCTTTTCCAATTATCCTTTTAATCAATATAACTATATCCTCCAGTAACATCTCCCCCTCCTTGCGTTTCAGGTATGTTCTAGCTTTGGCTAACGAGGACTACACCTAGGTTATGCATACTCTAGTTTGTTTTGGGATGCTCTCCAACTACTGTCCCTATCTACTTCTTTTCCGGCTCTTGATATGGCAGATTCTGCTTCGTCATAGTTCTTGGCTAGCAATATCACACCAGTGAGTACATCACTTGTGTGAAGCGTTTTTTCATCAATCCTAACTATTCATTTCCGATCATAAAGCTGACTTGCTAGAAGAGAAAGGCCAATCTCACAGAGATCATCGATAAGAGATGTCTTGAAGCGATCAAGATCGATGGTTAAATTCTGCTCGCTGTTCTCAATATGTAGGAACACGTTTTCACATTCCCCCGCAGCCTCCTCAAATTTACCTTGTGAGTATAGTAACTCCACAAGACGCAGTAACGCAAGCCGTAAGATTTCCTCACCAGCGTGGAAGGTATTGGTTATGGTTTTGATGACTAGATCATACAGAGCTGCAGAGACAGGAAACTCTTCTCGGTGTGTGTATATGCGCGCAAGGGCGAGCGTAGCTGCCAGGGTCCCTTCGTGGTCCTTTCCAAGACTGTCAGTTTTAAGTTCAACAATCTTCTCGGCCACAATTGTGGCATCAATGAACTTTCTCTGTTCTGAGAGCACCTCTCTGAGCGTTTCCATGCTTTCAATTGTACGCGGATGTGATTCTCCTAATGCCTGTTGACGGCCAGCGATCACGTCTTGCAGCATCGTCTCCGCTGCGGGCAAGCGGTCAGTTCTTGTTAGGAAACTGTCAGCTCTTGCTAAGAAACAGGCCAGACTATTCATAGTATCAAGCGTATGGGGGTGTTTAGCACCCAATTCTGTCCTTTGAACCCGGATGACTTCCTTGTAAGTTGATTCTGCCTTTTCGTGATCCTTCACATTCGAATATACATGAGCCAAGTCAACGGTAGCTTGCAATGTATCTTCATGCTCGAAGCCTAGAGTTCTCTGCCGGCGATAGACAACTTCTTCAAGTAATAATAATGGCTCTCCTCCTGTTGCGCGCATTTCGTCGGACATGAGTTTCGCAAGGATATGCATGCTGTGAAGCGTAGCAGGATGGTCAATGCCATCGACCTTTTTCCGAATGTCGACGACTTCACGAGAGAAGCGTCTTGCTTCTGCCTCTTTACCCTGTTTGAAAAGTAACATAGCCAGGGCCTCCATGATGGTGAGCGTGCGTTGGTCAATCTTTTCCTCATCCTTTTGAATACGGAGCGCCTTTCTGTAGTATTGCTCGGCTTCGTCTTTCTTGCCTTCCCGGCTGAGATGCACTGCAAGGTCGTCGATTACATCAACGGCCTGTGCCTCGCCTAAGACGCGTATTTTAACCTCGACAAGTTCGCGGAGAAGCTCCTCGCACGCGTCGGCCTTGCCTTGCATGTGAAGAGCACTAGCAAGCCCCTCCATGATACCAAAAGCTTTCTTGTGATCCTTGCCGTACTTGCGCTGTATGATGTGCAGCGCGCAGTCAGAGAGAGCCTCGGCGTCGGCAAAGAGTCGCTGTTGGAGATACGCAGATGAAACCTTTTGCATGGCAAAAGCCGTCTCCTCGTGCTCGTCTCCAAGTGATTTTAGCCTGATGACGAGAACTTGTTCAAAGAGGTCCGCTGCTTCTTCCACTCTTTCCTCATCGTCATTCTCCTCGCCATTCAAGAGCAAGTCAGCGAGTCCATTCATCGTCTTGAGCGTGTCATCATGTTCGTCTCCCAATGCCTTCTTGTGTGCCGAAAGTACCCCCCTGAACATTCCCTCGGCTTCATCGTCCCTGTCCAAGCAACTTAGGGCACTCGCCAGATTCTGCTCCGCGAGGAGCGTGTCGCGGTGTCCGTCCCCCAATGTAGCTTTCCTGAGCTGCCAAACTTCTCGAAACATTGATTCGGCCATGAGAAGTTTCTGATCGTTTCCTTGTTCTGCCATTGCCTCTGCAAGTTTCATCTTGCTGTCCACTGTCTCGGGGTGATCATTTCCGAAGGTCCGTGTTTTTATTTTCCACGCGTCGCGGTATATCGTCTCAGCCAGCTGGTAATTCCCATCTTTGAAGGCTTCCTCTGCCTTGCCGTTTAGCTTTCGGCACTTCTCTAATGTATGGTGGTGGGTTCCGGGTACACCTGGATCTGCCGCTGTGTGGACTGAAGTATTGCTGGCTGACGGTTGAGAAGCCGGGCGGATCTGCGTGGAGGGGTCAATACTAAGCAGACTGGTTTGGTGCGGCGTACGAGCAGACCCTGAATAAGAGGTTGGGGTTGTTGAACCGGAATCAGGCCAGAGATTAGAATAGGTTGTCTGTTGCCATTGTGTTGCCATGGTTGAACGTTTATCTGGCCAAACATTAGAGTATGTTGAAGAGACAATTGTAATCGAGTTTTGATTGGACATAGATCGTGGACGGAAAGGAAGCGTTTGGTCTTTTGGGGTAGATTCAGATTGGTGCTGCTGTGGGAGAGGCACATCGATCCAGGGATGTTGCAATGCCTGCTCCGACGAAATCCTTTTCTCCGATTCGGGGGCCATCAATTTTGTGATGAACTGTATAGCAGCATTGCTGACCTTCAGACGGCGCAATGCTTCATCAGGGAAAGAAGCACGACCTTGCCAGTAGTCGAGCAAGGCATCCCCGTCAAACATCGGCTGGCTTGTGAACATCCGATATATCGTCGCGCCAAAACTCCACATGTCGGCAGCAAATGGTCGCGTACTGAGACGGGTACTGTGGAAACACAGCTCTGGAGGCATGAAGGATAGGGTTCCTCCGATGGTTGTCAGTTGTGACATTTCTCCGCCTCGCTTGCTGATTCCGAAGTCACCCAGTTTAACCCACCAAGGGTTTGGGGGCTGGTGTTTGATTAAAATATTCTAAGGGTAAAGATGTCAATTTCCTTTTGATCATACACCATGAGAATGTTTACGGCTATGACTCACTGCTGGCTTGAGGTCTCGATGAGAGAAGCCCTGTTCATGCATAAGGCACAAGGCATCCAGCACCTGAAGAGATATATCATGAACATCATGCTCCGGCAGCTGGTTGCTCGGACACTGAGAGGGATCGTTGAGGAAAGTCTGCAGATCTCCAAGCTCATGATATTCCATAGCGATGTAGATCAGTCCCTCGCTAACAAACCACCCATACGACTGGACGAACAGCTCAGAATACTGCCATATATTAGTCTGCGAAGAACTTCAACTTTTGCGGCTCGGTGAGAGGGTGTCGCATACCCTCGCCTGAGAAAACTTGAAGATGGCCTCCAGTTCTCGCTGAATCATCTTTGTCTGCCGGGCTTCCCCACGCTGGAGCCTGATTTTCTTGACTGCTCGGTGCTGGAGTGTCCCAGGTCTGCCCATGTCCTTGACCTGTAAGTCTACAGAGCCCTGGCCGCCTTGGCCCAGCACTTTCTCATGGACCCATCGCTCTTCGACATACCGAGACCGCCTGGTGGCAGCCTGCGGGTGGATGGTGTATCGTCGCTGTCCCTCATCTGCGAACCGGACATCCAGCCTCGAGTCCATCACAATCTCCGGGAGCCCGGTGAAATCCATGGCTGGCTGCCCGGATCAGATGTGTCGCTCCTTGAGGGCGAGAGTGATGGTCCACTCAGAGAATGGGATGACGCTTGTGCGTTATTTGGACGATGGGATGGTGTTTTCCTAGGCCTTGTTCCCCGCTCTGGTCATTGCGGCTGTGGTCGCCAGCCGATCCTAATACTGCGCAAAGATGTATGAGTGGGGGCTGGAACCAATAGTCTGCGCCTGGATAGATTCCATTCGCAGCTGACCGATTTAACGGGGCTTGTCCGACTTCTTGGCAATGATCAGCAGGGCATACATAATGAATTACAGCGCTGGCAACGGAAAGGACTGGAACCCTTCACCGGCCTCGGCTTCACAGCTTACTACAACGAAGAGGATCCTGAGGAGGTAATCTGGCAAGACAAATTCTACGGTGCCCAGTATAAGCGCCTACTATCTATCCAGCAACTCGTTGATCCCAATTGAGTCTTGGGGTTCCGTATAGGAATGTTTTTGATTACTTGGTCGCTCAAGCTAACAGGAAGGCATGTTAACAGGAAGGTATTATGTGTGTCAAAGCCTACAGCTCATAGGGGCGATAGTTGGTAACGTCTATACTTGGAAGCCCTTGGCTAAGATCCCATCACGCCAGACGCTTTTGATGTTGAGCGTAGCATCGATATCGTCCACTGGATTTCCTTCCACCAGAACCAGATCAGCCTTCAGCCCCTGAGCAACTTCTCCTCGGTCTTCCAAGCCAAACACCTCAGCCGTCACGGTGGTTGCAGAGCGGATTGCGTCTTGCGGTGAGAATCCGCACTCCTTCACGAGCAAATACATCTCTTGATGGACCGTAGCTCCGTATGCAGTGCCCAGCCCAGGGCCAACAGCATCGGATCCCCTGGAAAAGGTCAGCTTCGTTCCAAATGCCCAAGTCTCCCACTTACACAATGATTGGCACCCCCTCGGCCTTTAAGCGCCGCACTGTCTCATACGCATATTGGACGGTAGCATTAGCCGTTGCAAAACTCATGCAGCGACACATTGTGTCATGGTCTGTGGCTGCCAGCTTGTCCTTCACCCTCTCATCATTGGCAAATCGTTTCGCCAGTGCCTCTCCCTCAGTGGTGAAGCTCCCCAGTAGTGCTAGAGTTGGGTTGCACCATGCACCAGACTTCTTGTATCCTTTAATGATTTCTTCGTTGACTGGCTCATCCATGAAGGTATGAGCTAGCCCGTCTATTCCCAGAGAAAGCATCTCCAGCGTGTCAGCGCGGCCGAAGCAGTGCGCTACGGCAATCCGGCCAGCTTCGTGGGTCGCCTTTATCAGGGCCTTTTGGATATTTAGAGATGGCTTCGAGATGGATTTGCCCACGGCGGACCCGGACTCGTGCATCAGCTTGATGAAGTCTGCGCCACCGGCGGGAGAAAGATTGAACGCGACATATTCCTCAGCTTCAGCTGGAGATTTGAGTTTAGGCCAGGTTGCAACATCTGCAGCTGTCTGATTGAAGTCAGTTTTACGCTTAAGCTGAATAGGATTATACGGGCCATCTATTCTCACCTGTTCACTCTTATCAATGGCTAGAACCACGGCCATGGGCCAACCGCCTTCGATCGTAGCAGCCACACCTGCGGCCTTGAAATCGGAAGCTTCATCCTTTTTTGCTGCTGCAATCTTTTTCATTTTGTGTACGTTGGCTGTCTCATTGTGCATATCTTGCACGGTCGTGACTCCAAATTGAAGAGATTGGATCAAGGCAAGGTCGTTACCCTGAGCATGCATATGTGCATCTATCAAGCCAGGAATGACAGTATGACCAGGCCGAGAGATTACCAGGCCTACAGTTTCAGAAGGCGGTGATCCAGAAGACACATCTGAGATGATCCCATCGTTGACTGTGACATAGCCGAAGTCTATGACCTCTTTGCCCGTGAAGATTCGAACATCGGAGATTGTAAAGGTGGTGGGTGCCATCTCGAAAATTTGGTATTAGCTCAACAGTTTTCAGACAAATTCAAGTGTCGGTGTCATCCTTTCTTCTTCTTTAATTCAAGTACGACGGGCTTTTTATACGTTCATCTGGAAGGGCAAACTTGGGTGAATGACTAAACCCTTGAGACTGATTCACTGTGCCCCTGTCTCTGATGAGGAAGACATCAGCGTTTGGCCGCGAACCCTGTCAGCGCCCGACAATGTCCGACAGAATCCGACAGTGTCCGACGCTCCACAGATGTGGGATAGCCATAATAAGTAGGAGTTCCGACACGGCCGACGCTCTCTTATGCTAACCCTCCTCCGACATCAACAATGGCGGCCGACAGCAATCGAATGCGCGTACTTCGCCCCCTCCAGGCGTGTAATCTCTGCAAGACCCGCAAGAAGAAATGTGATAAATCTTTGCCATCTTGTGGATATTGTATAAGGTTTGTCAGCCGGAGATTGCGGCGTTTGGAACCGTCAACTGACATGATAGAAAACAAATCGATTGTGTCTATGGAGACGCTTCATTTCCTCGAAACCCGGCTCCGCCGACCACCAAGGATGCTTGTCCCAAGCAGCCGTCACTATGGCACTCGCCTGCTCGTAACATCATAAATCCAAAACATGCTCTACAGAGAGACGAGGGGTTCGGACGAGAGGTGTATTCGGAAGTTTATAGAGTCATTCGTGACAGTGGACAGTTTGTTGACGACATCACGGCTCACTTTTTCAATGGGTTTCATCACCAGATGCCCGTCATTTCGCGGACCTCCTTTTATAATAGTTTATCTGCTTCAGAAGGAGCCTCCTCCGACAGTTCACTGCTCCTCTTAGCCATGTCTCTCTTCACAAGGACCCCTGATGCCCATGCACAAAAGGCCATCAGCGTTGAGAAGCAGCGAGCGCTATATCTTTCCTTGAAGTCTCTTTATGCTCAAGCTCAAGCTTTCAGTCCGCCCTCTCTTCCTTTAATTCAAACAGGACTTCTCCTCGGTATGCACGAGTATATGAACGGGCAGCCGTACAATGCATTCATGACCATCTCAATGTGTGGTAGGATGGCTTATGCCACTGGAATCCACATGGCCTGTTCTCTTAAACACATAAATAGCCGAAATTCTGATTCTCAATGTCTGTTTCAAGAAGAAGAAGCGGCGAACACATGGTGGGGAATTGTCATCTGTGAAAGGTGGGCGATTTCCTCCCATGCAACAGATAATTGATCACTGATGCTCTTACAGAACATTCTTCTGTGAGTTGGAAACCAACAGCCAGCCGTTGTTATCCGTATTTCCTGCCGGGGACGCTAGGTTGCCAATTGAATCTCAAGTCCTCGATCAACTTGATATCTTAGAGCATGGATCGCTGCCCAACATCCCGCTTTCTTGTCTTACCTTTCCAAATCTCGGAGGATTCAGTCGAATGGCACAGGCTACCTACTTCTTGGATCAGCTTCGAAAAGCATTTGAAGTTGATGACATCGACTCTAGGCTTCTGCTTCTTTCCAGGCTGGATACCAATATTCAGGCTTTCCTATCGCTGGTAATGCCACAATGTCAAGAGGAGCCAGGAATATACTGCTCAGCCATGAATATAACCATCAGGTTAGTCTAGTGCGATTCATCACATGCAGTGCATGTCCTGGGATTAACATTCACGTCAGAACACTGTTCATACTCCACTGGCATATCATCACGCAGCTAGAAGTTTGTGCGCCAAGATATGAGCCAAGGGATGTGTGGTTAGCAAGATCGCATGAAGCGCTGGAGACTGTGGCGAAGATGGTCATTGATATTGCCGATTTATTGTTGGCTACACCTGTTCAGGGTACGACAATGTATATGGTCGACACAATGCCACCACAATACCCATACATTGCTCGTGCAGTTCTTGGATATCTCCGCACTAGAAAATGCACCGAAGAACCAGAATGGTCTAAGAAAGCTCGGGAAATTCTGCAGATGTGGCTCGATAAGTATTCCCAATGAGTACACATTCACTCATGTGGAGATGATCAATCTAAATTGTGTCTCATTTCCGTGAGATTATACCTATACATATGTATAGTGATTAGATGACACTTATAGCCTTTCTTAATTCCAAACATCATTACTCCTACTTTCCCGCTAGTTCCTTATTTCCCAACCAGCGTCCCGTTCCCATACACCTGATCTTCGTAAAATGACACCACCTCAGTCCCATTGGCATCTCCTTTCCCGCAATTCTTCGAGAAGCCCGAAAATTGATCCACTCTCTCGTTCAGATAAGTCTGGAAGGCGTTCTTGGAACATGCCGTCCCGGGTCCATCGTTGCAACCAGACAGCTGCTGCGGGGAGCTATTGACCAAGACTCGATAGTAATCGCCATCGTCATACCCATAGCTACCCGTACAGTTGAATCTCTCAATTGCAATATTGGTGAGGAATGGTAAGATATTTGAACTCTTCCATGCTCGCGCGTGATTGATTCGGTCCAGTGGCATCGTGCTGTTGATTGTGGACTCGCTACCACCAAACTCGGAGTTGTTGAACAGGCCCATAGCCACCAGTACCATCGGGGGCAGTTCTCTGTGCGTGAAGCTCACGTATAGATCCTGTTCAATCTCCCCATCCTCTAGAAGTAAATTGGCCGTCGCGTTGAACCAAGGGAGCCCAACATAGCCAGCCGCGTTGTTGCCATACCCGACATTGTAATGGTATCTGACATCCTCCGCATACTCCCATCCAAGCCAGTCATCGGGCGTGAAGAGGTCTGTGCTACAGAAGGGAGATTTACCGCGAATAACGGTCTCGTAGCCACAGATTTGCTGCATGGCGAAAACATCCGAGACAGTGAAGTTGAAACCTGGAGCCAGGTTGTTAAAACGAGCGATGATAGGTTTGGCATATCTCTCCTGGAAGACGGAGCTCTCGTCGCTTCCCGCGGATGAAGAGTAGGCAGGGCAGCTCTTGTACGGAGTGAGACTGTTGGCACCCGAACTCTCGGACTCGGAGACATTGACCACGTTGATGGTGTTGTCGTCAAGTTCGAGGCCTCGCACCAGAGATTGCGCAGACTTCAGTGTGCGCTCTGCCGACGATGTCCAGACCCGTTGGGGCAACCGCAGATTTGGATATCTGAATTCCAAGTCGACTCCGAGCTGGGTCGCTTCCAGTTTTCCCACGCGAGTGAGAATCTCAGACTCGGCCTCGGAAATGGGTGCAGACCAATCAGCCAAGAAGTTCAAGGGCGGGATTTTCGCCCAGTCGACGCTTGTCGTATTCTCAAGTTTCTCCAGAAATGGCTCGATATACTCCTCGTAGTCAAAGTCATTTGCGTATATCGTGGCATGGCGGACCAAGTAGGCGGCTCGCTCTGCTGTGCATCCGATGGGGGCGTCTGGTGACAGCGGGGGATCTTGAGGCTCAAAGTAAGGTGATATGCCAGCAAGATGCTGCAGAGGATTGAAACTGTAAGTCGAGTAGAGGGTAGATGCTGATGAACAGGCCGCCAGGGCGAGAACGAGTGTGCCTTGGACCATCATGATGTCTGACTTGTGGCTCCTTTCGGAAGAGCTTGAGAGAGGAATGAAGAGGTCAATTGCAATACCACTCTTCCTTTAATGATAAAAGTCTACCCCACGCCGTGCCTTGATTTTAAAATTGAGGCCGAAACGCTCCGTCATTAAGCTTGATGCTTATGCTTTGACATTTCGGCATGTCAGTTCCGGCGTTGACGTCACTTGCATGGGATATTCTTTATGTGGATTAGAATCATGACGCATCACGATCTGGATTTGCATGAATCGGCGTGTTACCTTGCATAATTTTATTCCGAGAGACGTGGTCCACCATTTATGGAGTCTCACAACTCATTAGCCACGCAATCAAGAGCAACTTTCCCCCTGAGAGCCTGTGTCTTGGATTTCTCGAGAGTTGGGATCGTATCCCAGCATATTGGTTCCTCGCCCCTCGACTCTCGCCATCGATTCGTAGCATCCTGTATATCAGGACATCCCTCCAGCAAGAAGCCCCATTTCCGGGCGAATCCGTCAGTCACCTCCCATGACGCCGATCTCCATGGCTCTCCCCATATCATCACGCCGGACATGTCTGCATCGAGGAATCCCTCAAACAGTCCCCCATGCAAATCAGAAACAAGTTCTTCCATGTCATAGATACCCGAAAATATGATCAGATTATTCCGCATTGCCGCGCAAGGTACGATGGAAATACGGGGATCATACACCATGGACAGCTGGAGGCTGGTCGGGTAAAGCGAGGTAGGGAATGCTGGTGGCGATGGGATCAATAGCGGAGGAAGAAGCAGGGCGCTCTGCTTGGCAGGTGGCAGGGCTTCACTGAGACCGAGAAGTGCCATGTTGTACATTATCGCTCGCTTCACATTGTATTGGACCAGCGTGATAAGAAGATGGTCAGACGATAATGGGAATACAATCCTCGTCTCAGCATCCGTGGAGAGAATAGGGGGTATAAGCAAACCCGGATCAGAGGTTTTTCGTTCATTCGAGGCTGCACCCGCTGAGGGGGATGGCGAACTCCTTGCACGCCGCCTGGGATGAGCGGCATCTCCGGCGTCCGGCTCTCTCAATACCAACATGCCATGTCCCGCCCAGGGTCCCTCAAGCTTGTGGGCTCTGGGCTGAACAGATTGCTCTTCTTTACGCTTGCGGCCTATTTGTAGTCAGCACAGATTTCGGCTGCTGCAGGGTGGAAGACGTGCGCCAAGCTCTTTGATGTAACCGATTTTGGAGTTTCCGCCTCTCTGCTCGGTCTGGCTCCTCTAGCCAGTTATCTTTGGCCTCGCGAACCTGACACACGTGTTACGCTTTAATGAGACTTTGACTGAACTGAAAGATTCGAAATTAAATACCTCGGTCCGCAAAGTGCGGTGGCGCCGCGGAAGAGACGCGCCGGTGTTAACCATATTCAAGTTCGTCACTACCGTAGCAACATATCAACAAATGGCCAGCGTCTAGCCGTGCGCGTAAAGGAAAGAATGAAGCAGAAGCACTGGACTGACGGACGGTGCTGCCCTGGATTGCTTATGTTCTAACGCAAAACGAAAAGGCAAAAGGGGGCCTGTCAGAATCCCAATCAAAAATCTCCGTGTTGATTGCTTATCCCGCTAGGCTCAATTTAGAATCCGAGACTGCCGTCAGACCAATAGACTGAGGCCATCACCAGTCACCTACGTCCAGAAGGTGACTTGGCGGTATCTACTGGCCATTCTCGCTGTTCGTCAACACATATAAAATGCAGCTTCATCTATGTAGGATTCTATGATTTAGTCACCTCATCCTCAAAAAAAAAAAAAAACACTGGGTTTTCAAGATCTATCACGATCAATCCAAAGATGCCGAAACAACTATCGGGCTTCACTGAGTTCACCCCAAGCAAGGACATCCCTTCTCTCAGTGGGAAAGTCATTTTTATTACAGGCGGTACGTCTACTCCACGAGAATTAAAATAATCGAGACCAAAACATCATAATCTGGCGAAGTCGATTCTAATATAGCTTTCTCTTAGGCACTGCGGGTGTGGGAAAGAGTACTCTAGAGCAATTAGCACAGCATCAGCCAGCTCATATATACTTCACTGGCCGAAATCAATCTGCTGCTAAGCAAGTAGTCAGCCTTGTCAAGGCTGCTCAGCCGAACATTTCCATTACATTCATTCAAATGGACCTCTCCTCCCTCGCATCTGTCAAATCAGCTGTTCCTCAATTCGCCCACGATCGCCTGGACGTATTGATATGCAACGGTGGCATTATGGACGTCCCTCCCGCTGTCAGCGTGGATGGGTTTGAGATTCATATGGCCACCAATCATCTTGGACACGCCTTGCTCATTGATAGGCTCCTACCTGTGATGCTCCAAACCGCGTCTCTTCCACAGACAGACGTGCGAATCATCATACTCAGCTCTGCAGGATTTATACTCCACCCAAAGGACGGACTCGCTTGGGACAAATTATCATCAGCCCAGAGCGGGTTCGTGGAGTCCATGACAAGATACGGGTATGTAACTAAGAAACAGGCTCGCCGTCAACGCTCAAATATTTTTGCCTTTAATTTTAGAAGCTAACAATGCATTCGCCCTACTTGCAGCCAAAGTAAACTTGCAAACCTTGTATATGCGGCCGAGCTTGCACGCCGATATCCTCAAATACTCAGTGTTTCTGCTCACCCCGGGTTTGTTGCCACGAACTTAATCCACAATTCCTCCGCTCTGGCCAAGCTTTACTCATATGGGAGGCACTGGCTGAGAGGGGAATCTATCCTTTTGCCACACCAGGGAGCTTTAAATTCATTATGGGTGGCAGCTGGGGCGAAGCGGAACAACCTTGTGAATGGTGCATACTACGAGCCAGTTGGTGTTCTTCGAAAGCCGGATGGCCTCCCGTCCAGTGAGGAATTTGCCAAGCGAGTGTGGGTTTGGACGGACGGCGTTTTGGCTAACTTTCGCTAATTCTGGACGTCTTTGTCATCTATGGACCGGCATTGTAGGAGGCTTAAAGAGAATGGGCTGGAAGGCTGGTGCTTAAATCGTTGGATCCTCCTTCTAAGTCGTTTCTAGAACAATCCGTAGCTTCAGAACTGGATACTAATGCATAAACTTTCCTGATCCTCGTATTGCTTTAGTTTCCAAAGGGGCTAGTGTAAGAGCTTGTTCGGGGATAACAGAGATTATTGTTACGTTCTACCTTATATTTACACAGCCCAGGCATAGGCACTAACGCCTCAGGTGAGAGAGTTTAAGTGGCTTGACTTGCACAGTAAAACAGCGATAGCAATTATTAGACCCAACATCTGAACACGAGGTATACGGTATACATACGAAAGGCAAAAGGAATAAGCTCTACTGGACCAAAGCTGCAACCATGTAGAAGGCAATTTCTATAAACCTTCGTACCAATGACTCCCCTGCCATCGAGACGAGCCGGTCATCAGATCCCTATATATTCCACCTCTTTCATCTGTATCACACAACTACATCCTTCGTACACTCGACTTCTGTCACACTATTTCTAGCGCGCCAGCACTTCGAGTGTCATCCCCGCCAGGATTAGCCCGACACAGCACATCACATGCTGGAACCAGAGGCTGTATGTCGGGTCATAATAAGCACGAATAAGAGGGCAATCGTCAAAAATACATTTGGCTCTCCATACGGCCAGTCTTTAAGAAGCGATTCATGCGGGATCTGCCTTTTTGTAAGCGGCTTCCTCGCCTCGAGAAGGCCCCTGAGTAATCGGTGGGTTAGATGTTTGATGAACTTAGAATAGAGCTGCTTTGCCTTCTCTATGATGATCTTCATCATCCTTTCTCGGAACTGGCTGAGTGAAGAGCCAAACCTTGCTGACGAATGCCCCTCTTGTTCTTGCTTATTATGACCCCCTACAACCTGTGCTTCCAGCATATCATATGATGTGTGGAGTTAATCCTGGCGGGGGGCCTCTTTGCTCTACCTTGTGTCAAGTCAAGTGTAATCTGACAGCTTGGCATGCGCAATTGGCGGAGGAGACTAGGCCATATCAGGGGCTCCTTTTGCGACAGCTAATAAGCGTCGATTTTCATGCTTTTTCTATGGGTTTTCCAGCCGTCAGGAGTGCGGTGAACGGGCATATTGATTATATGTTAACTAACCCTCTCTGCATCGCAAAACTGCCCCCATTTCGAGTCCCTCTCCGTTTCAACTAAATCAATCCCTCCAGCGCCTTACACAATCATGGTCAACACGGGTCACTCTGAGGGTTGCACGACATGCAAACGACGACGGGTAAAGTGTGATGAAGCTAAGCCTCGCTGCCGAGAATGTCTACGCGTCGGTTATGTATGCGAAGGCTACGGGCCACGTCCTTTTCGCATCCGGTATCAAGTTCCGCAAAACCCGAGCGACCATAGAAGGAGGAGCGGCCGGCATGAGATAAGGATGAAGGCCCAGAAGGAGCCAGCCATATATCTCCCGTCCGCCAATGAACAATGCGTATCTCCTGTTCCGACTTCGTCGTTATCAGACGATGAGAAGGAAAATGCCACGTCCTTGTTCATAACATATGTCCTTGTCCTTGGCCGGAGCCTGGAATCCTCACGGGGCCTCCTGGAACTGTTGACCCCGGCTCTAGCCCTGGAGGTTGATGATTCGCCGCTATCTCTTTCATTACACGCCGCCGCCATCCAGTTGTGGTGTTTAATAAATTCAAGATCATTCTCCTCTTCCGACAAAATACTCACTCAGGCGTATTCGCGTCTGAGAAACGCAATTCAAGACCCATTGCAGCGTCGCTGTGAGAGTAATGTTTTGGCTGCGCTCCTCTTGCAACGATATGAGCGCTTTTCGGCTGTGTGGAATCAACATGAACAATGTCACGTTCATCGAAATGGTGCATTAGCTTTGCTAAGACAGCAAAAGCTGGATGGAATCAATTCCAAGCATCGAGGCTATTTGATATCTCAGTTGTTTCACATCGAGGTTAACATTTGCATTTCCAAGAAAATCCCGTTTCAGGCAAGTGAGATCACCTGGTTGACAGACCAAGATCTTTCGATCTTGCCATCAAACCCAAGCACGGCTCTGGATACCATCGGTGCTTCTATTGCCAACCACCAGCACAAATTCTACCTATTATCAGCAGACAGATTCACCACAGCTCCAAACCCAGACTTGTCGCAGTGGCATCAAGACCTTCAAGACACTGAGGACCAACTGCACAGTTGGCCAAACACTTTGCCCAGACACTGGCTTCCGCAGACGCTTGAATCTGGAAAGCACTTTGATCAATCGATTATCACGTATGAGGGATATGGCGACGTTTATCCCAACATCCAAATTGCATCAATTTGGAATCTATGGCATACATATTGCCTTCTCCTGCTGCAAATCAAACTGGCTCTTCTTGACTTCCTCCCAAGCTCATATGAGCTAGTAGGTACTACGCGAGACCCCCTCAGACCTGATTTCAGGGTCAAGTCGATACAGTTGGCTCAAGACTTGGTTGATTCGATATGCCAAAGTGTGCCCTTTCATCTTGGCAACTATATTAAGCCTGCGTCGCTCTCTGAGCTGATGGTTCCAACGATCCTATGTCCCAGCTATCACGACATGGAACCATCCCATATACCATACAGCTTGTATCAAAAGAGCTCCCTTCTCATGTCCAGAGATGACCATAGGCGGCATGTCATTTTTCAGGGTCCCTGGCACATGATGGGTACTTTGAGCCATGTCCTGAGCATCTTCGCGGACAATGAATCGAATATTCTAGTACACGCCTTGAGAGAAGGTCAGATGAATTGGATTCGGGCGCAGTTCCTCCGGGTGCTTGGATTGCTTCGCATAGATCTTGACGGTTTGTCAACGAATAATCAGGATACCTATCAAGCAGATCCAAGCCATCTCCATGGCTTGAATACAGCTAATGCTGAGATTATGGCAAAGAAAATCTTGGCAGCATTGGCAGGGTGATTCCCTAATTCGCTGCTTGCTTGTAGGAAGGTATCTTGGGTACTACGTTTATTAGTGAAATTCCCAGATGCTTTTCAAATGAAAAAGAGTCTTTTGAGAGTGATACGTATGTGCTAGAAAATAGCTTCCCACCAATTAATAAAAAAAAGGAGCAAGTAATGCCAATTTAATCAATCAGAATATAGTCAACCCGGTTTGCTTCGATTCCCTTAAGCTATATAACTACTAGCAACTATCTTAGTGAGCTCTACGCTTTACGCGTCTTTTTTCCGTTGAGTAATACCTAAGCTTCAAGAACGATATGTTGCCTCTCATTGGTCTTTTTTGAGATTGCCAAAAAAGGAATGCGTTGAGCATCACGAATCCAATATAGCAAACAGGGCCGGGTGTTAAGTTTAGGTGAATCTCTGGAGGTAAGGGATGCGGCTTGAATCAGACAATAACCTATGGTGAAAAAGACATCAGGGATCCCTAAGGATGTTTATTTATTCTGATAGAACTGTAAGCAGTGAGATTCCACTACTGCAGCGAGTGAGACTGCCGCATGAATTGATAAGCGATAGGATAGGCATGCATAACAAGTGAACCAATCACCACCTCAAACTTGACCGATGGATACCTCCTATACACTGGTAGGCCTGATTGGAATCCTAGGTCCATTCCTTCTCCGCTCATAAGTCACCACGCATTTCAACAAACCATAATCGCGTCGTTTCAAGGCCAGACTTGTCTTAGAGTGATACACTGCCAGCTAGCTACCAAGCTGTGGTCTTTTCGAGAATCCAAGAGCAGTCCAAGATAACTGTCTCGCTCAATCAGCTCTGGTTTGCACTTTGTGAGGGGCTGGAGTCGTACAAAGACCCAGAGCCTTGTCGCGAAATCAACGCCAGCCACAAAGTGCAAGAGAAGCGGGGTTCTTGTTTCAATCACTATACATTTTTTCCCAACCCAAGATCAGGGAAAAGTGACGAGATGATCTTCGATCCTGCACTAGATGACTATATTGACTATAGCCTAACTAACGAAGCAGATGACCAGAAGCGAAGCAATGAAGCAACTGATGGTCGTCTATTTTCGCGTGACGCAATTAATTCGCGAGCTGGAAGCCCTTCCACCTTCCTGGAACATGAATCTTTTGATGTTGCCCAGGACCAAGAGGGCGATGGACCAGCATCTAAGCCGCCCTCGAGCTCACACACATCCCCAATGCATCTCGCTGTCGCTTATCGCACTGATGCTGCCGATTCCGAACTAGAGAAGTCCATTTATGGCAGAACGCTGCCAACGTTGTAGGAACCATCTTGTGTGCATCTTCCCGTCGGGATCTGAAGCTTACTCAACTTCTCTTATGTCCTTTGCAGTGATTATACCGCCTTCCCCCTTGCAGACGAACATAACATGTTTGCACCAAGGGTGAAGGACGTTGGCCCTTATCATTTCTGGTCATGCAAGTCACAGCAGACCCTTCCCAGGATCAACGAGGTATTACGAAACACCGCATGGAGCGATGAAACGTACGTCATAATTTCATACAGTATTATAGTCTTCATTCAAATCCTAACTCTTCATTCAAATCCTAACTCTTCATTCAAATCCTAACTCTTCATTCAAATCCTAACTCTTCATTCAGACCCGACGATTCCGGGTTGCAACGCCCAACTTCAATCCACACGCCATATCCCTTGAATAGTTTGGTTCAAAATAACGAGAACTCTCATTTCCAATTTAGCAAAAAAGGTGAAATAGCAGCTTCAGATCTACCTTCTTACGACGGACCAAACTTTCGTGAGCACCCATTATACAAAGATGCAGCGATCGGCAGTGATCAGTTGTACCACTGTCCCTGGGAGGGGAAGGCCGACTGTAACCATGTCCCAACCGATGCGAAATGCACTTACAAGTGAGTACCTCTATAACGCAATAGAAAGAGCGACAACGTGACCAGAAATGAGCTAATATGTGGGTAGTAAATTTGTCGATACTCACCTCAAGCCTTATCGTTGTAAGTTTAACGGCTGTGGACAGGCTCACTTTGCATCCTCTACAATTCTACTTCGACACGAAAAGGAGGCCCATGCGATGCATGGACATGGCGAGAATCCGTACCTGTGTCCTCACAAAGACTGCGGTCGCTCAATTCCGGGCAACGGATTCACTCGACGCTGGAACTTGCGAGACCATATGCGTCGCATACACAAAGAAGACGGCCAACCTCGGGAATATTCCAGAGCCAACACTGGGAAAAGACACCGACGCCGAATTAGAAATAAAAATGGGCTCCTTGTAGAGCGCAAGGTTGCGCCGAAAGCTGAGATACTGCCTGAAGGAAGTACACAGGCTGAATGTTCTGGTTGGGATCACCACCGAAAGTCACTCGAAGAAATCGTCCAACAACTCGGCACTACTGACGAAGAGGAACGATCAAACCTGCTAACTGCTGCGGAGGACCATATCTGTTCCTTAAAGTTCATTGTCCCGGACGCAAAATTAAAATAAATTCGACATTATGTATGTGGTTTCAGAAGACATCTTAAAGATCTTTGTTTTTGTTACGTTACTCTCAGTTCGAGGAAATCAATGCATACCGAGGTAGCAAATAAACATCTTGTACCTCAAAACTTGCATTTAAACTCATCATTCATTGCTTTAGTGTTGATGTATCACCGCTCCAATAGGCGGAGCATCTCCAAATCCTACCACGCCGACATACCAGAGCCCAAGGACAGTAGCGCCCCAAATCACCAATCCGATCAAGGAATAACGGTAATAATGAAGGGTATATTTCAAAAATGACGCTGGCCATGGCCCCATGATTTGCAGTTTTGACATCGCAATGCCTTCTACTTCGACGGTTTTCAATCCGAAACAAAGTCGAAGTTGTCCATGTATATCATCAATGAGTAGCTCCTTGGACTTTGAGCTGTGCGATGAAGGCGTAGTCATGGCATTGAGAAGACTCGAACTGTCCTCTTTCACATTCTTCTCAGTCAAGAACACCGCATCCATCCAATGTTGGCCGTTTCTTTGACCCAAAGCAACCAGCACTAGGCCAGTACCATTGAAATCTCGATAAACAAGAACAATTCGATAATCAGTGTACGTTTTCAATACCAGATCCAAACGACGAGCTGTAGGATCGAAAGAGAAGAACCGCAGCAGGCCGCGTGAATCGGTCATCAAAAACCCATGGAGCGTATATTTTCCAAACAAGGTTCGAGGCTTGATTGCAGCTTTCTTCATATAGAACGAATCTTCATAGCGCTTTCTAGTTATTTCGACATCTTCAGCTTTGAAACTATCCATAAGCTCCATTCGAATCTGGTAGGATGATGTCCATGGCTGATAATAGTGGTGCCCACGGATTTCATCAGTACGAGTAAGTCCGTATAGAGTGATGTCCCTGACATGCCGGCCCTCTCGTTCCAACGCTGCGATCTCATGTGGGCGAATTCGGGCGTATCGGTCATTGTCTTGACGCTGGAGATATATTCCCGCAGCTCTCCGAGGGTCTCCACCAAAACAGCACTTGAGAATCAGAAAATGACTATTGTACAGGCATATTAGTAGAGGAGGATAAATGTGCCAGGTATGGGGGAGCAGGTACCGGTGTGATGAGGTTCTAAATGTGCCCTTAGATCCTGTATTCGACCCGTGATTCGAATCCCTCGATTTGTCATTGAGATGGGTTGTTGTGGTGCTTGGAAATCCCATACCCTCACTAAATGATCGGTGGTAGACGGTGTACTCGACTCGCCTCTTATGTTTGATTCATTCGGGAGCCCGTCATAGAAATTGCTAAATTCGCGAGGAGAACTTGCAAAGAGTCCACGGACCTCTCTGGACTTTTGTGACTCCAAGGAACGCCAAGCGAAGATAGTCTGATCATCCGATCTACGCAGGATTTCTTCCTGCAAACGCAAAAATGCCTTGGAGCCTTCCCCGTATACGAGGGGCATATTCACGCCAAAGATGCCGAATAGGCAATAAGCGATGTCTTCTTTTCGCCTTGTTTCTCGATGGGCAGCCCAGCTCATCTTCTTTGCAACACTGACTTGCTCAAGAGGACTTCCTTGGATGACGAATTTGTCAATCCCTGTGATGTCTCGGATCTCCGAGGCCATCTCATGCTTCTCCCCAATGTAGTTCCACTCCGTATCATAAAACTCTACCTTCTTCGGGGCGATGAGTTCTTGTAGCGTCCAACCTCGGGTGAACCATCGACTGCTGCCCAATCCAACGGTGCCTGTTGTCGTTGAAACAACAGGTGGCGCGCCTAAGGTCCAGCCAGAAGGTCTAGATTCTCCAACTGATATGGGCTTTGCTACTGACATGGATTTCCCAACTGAGACATCCTCCAAGTAAGCATAACAGACATGGGCGTTCTGGTACCATTTGAACATAGAACTAATTGCCTCGCTCAGCTCCGTGCTGCTGCTCTTGTCAATACAACACGAGTCTATCCAGACGTACTCAAAGCCTTGGCGCCGTGCTTGTCGGCAGGTAGCCAAGATCTTAGCCATGCCCCCGTTGTCCCTATTTCGTTTTTCCCTGTTTCGTTTTCGGGTGGGCCTGTTCTTGAGCTCCTGGAAGGTGACTTCCTGGGTGCCCCAGGTATGCGAAAGAATAGCGTACGGTGGGATGGACCTACTAAACTCGCGGAGCTTCAGTGATTTGGTATGGATGAGCCTCATGTTGGCGGTCCCCGTCCCGCGCCATGCATCGGTCGATACAAAGGCTAGAGAAGTACTAATTAAGGATTCATAATGCGGGTTTAAACACGAGACCAGACATTTGCACTTTGACGACGGTGCGCTGGCAGGGTTGCAATCTCAGCCTCGTGCTTATTGCCTGCGTGGGCGGGGAACAGCATGGATTGTCTCTGATCCCTGTATGTATCATGCCACTCAGCTTATAAAAACCCTCCCAATCCATCATTACTAGCTTTCTTCGAGGGCAACATTGACCATACATTTTGTACAGTGCTGAGTACTGATTCAAGGCAACTAGATCAACGCATTGAAACAAGTCTGTCACCTCAGAGACTGGAGCAAGTGCAAAGTGTCTCGGAGGATTCTGGCCACTGAGCATTGCCCGTACGTCACAACGATCGGTATAAGACTTCAACCGGTAGCATAATCATGCAAAAGAGCAAGTCCACGGCAAGGGATCGACTTCATCTGAGATGCGCTAATTCCAACTCAACAAGAGGGGTGATGCCATAGAAGAAGAGACTATTGGGGCCTTTCTACTCGTGGCGAGGGCAAGCTCGATTGCCAAAGTCATTGGCTAACCATGGCAAGGTCACTTTTTTACTCTTCATTCTCGTGATTGCATGTTTCCATCACCAGGCACTGCTGACGCTTTGAACAACCGTGTGGTGCTAACACGATAGAATGTCCTCCGCATCCGGATGGGACGGCTGCGGGAGCACGATCCATGGCTGCGGTTCAGACCAGATCGACTAGACTCTTATCTCAACTACAAGTCAGAGTACGAATGAACGCAACTGACGATTATCAATATTCCTTCCGCTTTAGATACTTTCCCGGCAGCGACTTAGCTACGCGTCGCCCAAGGCTGTCAACAGCCACTATATTGGGAAAGATAGAAAAGCAAAAGTCAACGTAATACCTCAAGAGCGCAGCGCATGAGCTACACGATGACCCTATATGCCGAAGATACGAGATACATAATTCGGGTATGAGTGCGGGGGTGATTTGGGGTGTAAGCATACAGTTCCCATTTAGGCATGTTTCGCGGCGGGCATTATCTCCGGATCTGAGGCTATCCCCAAGATGGCATGTTTCGCTAGCACCAATACCTCCCGAAAATGCGTAATTATGCATCTGAATAATGGTGAACAGGATGGGAAGATTGTCATTGAACTCTTGTGTGCTAATAGCATACATCTCCTCACACGGGCTTACCTTTCGAATCCGCGATAACCCCGATATTCGGGTAGTATAAAAGGGTACCAATAAGCCTCCCTCATCCGCGATCTGCTTTGGACCAACAACATCAAAGTTATATCGTCTCCCAGTCTCTCAATACATAATATTTACCGAAACATAATCCAGCACAGTCGCCAAATCCTTCAAATCCATCATGTCTCAGACTCCTCCAGGCTACAAATACTCTACCGACCAGGTTTTGACGGTCACCGTTGCAAATGCCACAGTGGCTCCTGGTAGTTATGTGCCTATCCAGACACTAAGAGGTTTGTCTCTGTATTTTAGTCTCTGAGATATAACTTGAAGTTAACCTTTCCAAGAGCCGATTGCTTCCCCCGGCCTCGATTTCTCCAACATTTCCAGCACCTCCGCTCATGTCGTTGTCATGCTAGATCTTGACCCTCCTCTGGCCGACGAGGACCGCAAATACGCTCCGTTGCTGCACTGGCTAACCGCCATCCCGGCAGGCGTCTCCAGCCTGGCCGCCAACGATACAACCACCGTGGCCATCGCCCCATACGTAGCCCCCCAACCTCCCGCGGGCTCAGCTCCGCACCGATACGTCACTCTTCTCCTCAAAGACACCCGTGAAAAGTTTTCGGCTCCTGCTGGATTCGAGGGGCCGTATGAAGACCTATTTGCGCGTGTCAACTTTGACTTGGATGGGTTTATCAAGGCTGGCGGATTTGAGATTGAAGCAGCCCATTGGTTCACGACTAAGCCAGCCGAGTGATTGCATCGCCAAGTACTTTGAATGAATGAATCCAGCTTAGGTTATACTATATAATTTAGATATTTAAATACTGATCATTTCTTTACTTATCATGCAAATAACATTTTGGTAGTAGTCCCAACATTGTACAATTCCCATTGTCCCGACTAGATATGTCGACAGCTACCCTAGAGAGTTGATCTGCCGAATTTCGTTCGCCGGAGTCCATCATCATCGGTCGCGTGGCCCAATGGCAAGGCAGTTGACTACGAATCAGAAGATTGTGGGTTCGATCCCCACCGTGACCTTTCTTTTTAACTTTTGCGGGCTTGATCTCGTGTCGACGTATTTTTTTTTGTTCATTATCGTGTTCAGTAAGTTCATCGTTTGGTGTGAGCGTCTGGTTCTTTAGGGGTAACGCTGTGTCATCTGTCGCCTGCATGCGCTAAGGCAGACGCGTTTGTTATTTATATCTGCGGCATGAGAGGTGGAAGGCGTCTATTTCTTGGCACAATATCACGCACGCCGATCATGACCAGAGTTTGAGGCGGTGTGAATATTGGCGCAAGCAGAGTTATTTATCAGGTGCCCTGAACACAGTGACATATCAACTCCGGCGTCAATAATACTAGGACATATCCCTCGCCTCGTAGGAGTGGCCCAATCATCACGGGACGAGACTAATTACAGGGCCGTTGCTTCTCAAACCCTAGCTGCATGGTGTCAGTGCTACGGCGGTTACCGTGAACGCTGTTTGGGCAGATGATGAGTGGGTGGCCCCGTTCGTCGATCTCATTTAGCGTCGTCTTCTGCGAGGATTGTTGGGCTCAGGGAGTCAGCTGCACTGCTTGTTTTTATATTGCTCAGATACCTATAGTCAAGCACCATAAGATTATAAGACTATTAATAAAATAAAAGAAAAAACGAGATAGTCACGCCACATGGAATGTTGCTCATGAACGGCCTCCTGTTTTCGAGTAGGGTTGCACTGACCCAGCACTACCGTACGGCTGAACAACCCTGGCCCAAAGAGCCAATCGTCTAGTCTGCAGCACGCATATCTAGCTCTGAAGCCCCCTGCAAGAGGCGTCGTGCGTGAGGCCGCACCCTACGAGCTGAGGAGAGCTGAAAGAAGTTGCATATACTTCGCAGGAGAAGCTTCATGCCCACATGACAGGCATCGCCCATTGGTTACCCGCAGAGGAGAAGGATTCAGTTAATCTCAAGGCTTAGATTTTCACTTATCACATTGTCCGACCAGGGAAAATTACCGCCGTTGTGGGCGTGGCTGTTGATGGCCATCAATCCAATCAGCTAGGTCGAATAGTCCATCTGGCTACGTAGGTCTAGAACCGCCAGCTGAACAGGTAGTTTTGCTCCCAGCCGCTTTATGAGAATAAAAAGAAAATCCTGTGCTGATCGTCCAGCTAACGTCCGCTTCCCCAAATCCATTCGTGCTTTTGCCTTCCTCGTTTCCTACCAGCACTTATTTTTCATTCCTCTGTCCATGCCTAACCTTCTACATTGATGGGCACTAAATTTCACATTGCAACATGTCGTTTGTCCTCCCCAAGAGACTCCTCGCATATGTCGATGGCAAGTTCTCCATCATCGATCCGCCCGCCCATGGAGTGCACGAATTCCACATCGTCTCCTACACCTGGGGCGCCAAAGTCCCGCAGTATGACCCGGGGATCGCGGGCCTGAACTGGACGGTCAAGATCTCCCCAGAGAGGCTCAACGACATCAAGAGATTGATGCAAACTGCGGGGTTGAAATACCTATGGGTGGACTGCGTGTGTATCAATCAAGATGACGAGGAGGAGAAGATGATTGAGATTGCCAAATTGTACAGGTACTACAAGAGTGCGTTGCAATGCCACATTTTGGTGCACATGGACGAGGTCTGGTATCCTCAGCAGATTGTTGAAGATCTTCGGTTTGTCGACCATATCCTGTCCTACATGGGAGGCGCGGCGCTCGCAAAGGAGGCCAGACTGGGCGAGAATCTGACGAGCATCCTCAATGATTGGGAACACGGGAAATGGATGTTTCCTGTCGATAAGGGAACCGTCCGATCTGCTGGTATTGAACTAGGAATCCTCAATTGCTACGCGACGAGTATCTACCACGTCATCACACTCTTCCACAACCTGTATTTCTCCAGAGTTTGGACATTCCAGGAGATGCTGCTTGGAAAGGAGATCCTCATGTGGGGGGTCAACACCGAAATCGTTCGCGAGATTGGCGAGCTCGATACCTGGATGGATCTGGCCACAGCCTGCACCGACAAGGCGTACAAGCTGCAGGCGTGGATTGAGATACCCCGTGTCCTGAAACCAAACGCCGTCAATGCCGTCCTGAGGGTCATCGAAGAGCACAAGATCCTTCTCGGAGGCCTGCAGACGCAAGTGAAGGGTATCAGCTCTGCCAGAACCGACATCATCGCGGGAGGACCGAATTGGTGGGAAGATAACCATAAGGGCATCAGTAACATTTTCTCGGCAATCTCCATCACGCCGAGAGAATGCAACCCCGATGAAAAAGCCGACGTCTTCAAGGGGCTTCTGGGAGTCTTCAGCGGACTCTTCACGGCGGAGGAAATTGGGCAGAAAATGAACAAGAACAGAACCCTGGACGAAATTTCCTTTGCCTTCTTCCAGCAGTTATCCTTGAAGACTGACTGTGCGTGGACAAGACTGTCTATCAGCAGCGGAGAGAGAGAGTCGTGGGATTGGATTCCCGTGGTGGCGGACTCCGGCCAGCCTCTGACAACAGACTGTTTCTCCGGAGTGGTAAATCTGGGGCGTGCGAAGGCCAACGGCCTGGCGAAATCTACAGCTGTGACTGGCCTCATTGGTACTCCTCGTCCCTACATGAAGATCAAAATGATCGAGGGAGATGGCAGTTTCCGGTTTGTCTTCAAGGGCTGCAACTGCGGGAAGAAAGTCAAGACCAGCACGTTCGGAAGTGAGCGTATACCCACCATGGACCAGTGCAGAGATGTCGTCAAGGATGAGACAGGCAGAATGCTGGTTCAGTGTGCCACTCTCTTGGGAAGCATACTAGACCCAGTCAACGACGTCGTGAAATATCGGAGAAATCTCCTCCGGAAGTTGCAGCCCGATTGGAACTGGACCGACCCCAGCGCCAAACCAACTCTTTGGGCGGACAGATGTGTCAGTGGCACGACGTGGGAGAATCCCCATCCGGAGGGTGTCCGAGCCCATAACTGGTCGATGAACTACAACTTTGTCGACATTTTTGACTGCGGATCACGACTTTACAACAAGGCCACCGCTAACCTGTTGTGTGAGGTAACAATCAATTGCGGCTGTACAATTACCGGTCCGTTTGTTTTGATGATCGAGGCACTCACTGCAGTGCACGGTAGCTTCCTTGGAGACACATCGGCAGCACTGGACAACGACAATCGAATCGTTCTACGAGATGGTATGGGACTGATCCAGGTGGGCGATGTGGGCAAGGCCTTCAATGTTGTGGCATTTGGAGGAGACGTGGGTGCATACAAGAGTTACGCCTCGACATGTAGGAGCACAAAGCGGGACAAGACCGCCCCGTTTGGCAATAAACAGTTTCCTTATGGTAGAGCTCTTGTTAGGGAAGAGTTCTCGCATGGAATTAGTGACGTTGGGAGAGACTACGGGTACGTCGAGACCGGAGGTTCTGGAAACTTGTTGATCTATCGGGGCCACCCAATGGGCAAGTACAAGATTATCGGTGTCTGCATAGATGAGCATGTTGCGAATAAGAAGGGGAGGAATTCTGTAGTCATTCGTTGATATATTGGTAAAAGTACGAAGGATAATTTAGTAAATAGGAGCCCTAATCTCGCTTATCATATTCAAAAGCCCCAGAAACCAGATGAACTTGCTTCTCTCGACACTATTCTATAGTTATAGACCACGCAAAATCGATAGACTTCTCAGCGAAGGCATCCAATAGAGCATTGCAATGCTCGTCGGCTTGTCGCGGAAACACGTTCTCGGCTACATCACTATGCATGCGAAGAATGTTCTCTATTTGGACACGCCGAAGGTTCGGAAACTTTCTAGATTCAGCGGCCAGTCGCTCCAGGTCAGCCCAAGCCTGGCTACCTTCATAAAGCCTAAGGACGAGAGTTTTCAAGTTGGTAGGCAGAGTATCCGTGAGACAAGTTGATGGTACTTCCGGGTTACCGCGATGACGGCAAAAGGACGTGTCATCCAGCTTGACCGTTTCCAATGCGGTGAAGCTCTGGAGAACGTGCGACTCAATAGTCTCGCCGCTATCGCTATGGAGGGAATGTTCCGTCAAGTCGATATTGAGAAACTTGAGCGAGTTCTTGGTGCGTCGAAGGCACCGCAGGAAATCGCGAGCAGAAAAGTGTACGTCGATATGCTCGCCCAGATATGCCGCTTGTGATTGATAGGAAAAGCGTTCAAGTTGCGGCGCACGCGAGACAATACCGCTGATGAGCGAGTCGGTGTCAGCATCGCCTTCCAGAGCACTGCCCTTGAACTCGACGACGCGAAGTGAACTGATTGCTCCGTTCCTGAAGATAATCCTTGATTCTTCATCTTCCCCATCCCACTCGTCACTTAACCCCTTGCACCTATACAGCGAAAGATGTTCCAAATTGGGCGCGAGACTTAACAAAACAGGGATGCCTGGCACGTTCGCGCTCACGCCCCAGTCATCGTCTGTTACAATCTCCAGCCTCTTCAGACGGTGAAGCGATGCCGCTTCAAGACCTATTTGCCTGCGTCTCTCAGCAGTGTAGTAGTACTTTGTCCCTTCATAATTGCCGTCGTTTTCCATGTAAACCTGCAGTGCTTCGAGATTGGGTGCCAAGGCAATCAGCAGCTCAATGCAAAACTTGCCTAGGGATGTGTCCTCCTCGTCAGCGGATTCAAAGTCCACATCGTCCTCACGTTGCATTCCCAGCCGTTTGGCGACGCCTTTCACCAGCTCAACCTCCTCGGCATTGTCGTAATCCCAGCCGCCACACTCGTAGGTGTGCTGGCAAAGCCACCGTATCTGTGCTGCCAGGTCTGGGCGCTCGTCCAAGGTGCGGATGAATTTGGGGAACTGGGCGTAGTTAGGCACAGAGGCCACCACATGGTAGGTAATGGGCTGTGCGATCTCGCGCAGGACTCTGCAGGTTTTGCTGAGGGCCAATAACGCCGACGGCAGGTTTCCCCAGTCCAAATCCTTTCCATCTTGGGGTTTCGAGGTACAATGGGAGCAGAGGTTTTCGCAGATCATTGACAGAATCTCGCGAGGGAACTTCGACAACCCTCCGCTCCCAGATGAGTTACCCTTGTTGTCTGCCATCGTGTTGTGACGTGTTGAGAAAGTGTTGACCGTGATTCTCAACAGCCGTGAAGTCTCACTCAGCCCCCTCACTCCACACTGTGTGTAGGATTCTCTAGCACTGCCCTGCTATCTAGGACGAGAAAGGAAGCTTGAACGAGCTACTGATTGCTTGGCCTCAAAGAGTAGTAGTAGTTAATGCCAATTTTTCGAGCAGTTATTACCGGCACCAGCTGGTCGCAGAGTTCAAAGTCACCCATTTTGATCACTTTGAATAATTGATGAGAGCTCCTAGCAAGGCCAAGTACTTGGAGCCTAGCAGCCCGCCCCTGTGATCAAGCCTGCATTCGCAAAGTAGTGTGAAACTTCATAAAAAGCTCTATATGCTGGTGAATGAGGCCCAGGGAAGATGAATTTCTCAACGTAGGTTCTTCCTTGCTACTTGCTAAGTTTGAGGTTTTTCTGCCATTGAAAGCGAGGCTTTGATGATCGAAGAACGTAGAATATGAACTTCATCGAATCACCAAACGACGCAGAAGACCAATGGATCAGAAACATGCGACTTGCATAGCAGACAGAGCGTGGGTTGAATGCCCCTATGAAGTGGATAAACTGGATGAGTGTAGACAACCAAAGTTGAATAATCGCAGTCTCTACCTTATTACATCTCCCATCAGTATCTACGTATTGAGGTGGCGAAAAGGCCAATGGCCTGTCATGGCAACAAGAATGATATTTTTTTTGCTGATTTCCTGGTGGGGGGGTTGAAACGCGCTTTGGCCATTCGCGTATGCTCAAGACTATTCCCGTCGGTTTGTTCTTGCCGAAGTGGAACGACCGACAATGCTCATCCCTCGCTAATAAGTTGATCGTCGAAAGAGGATCGAAGCGCGCGACTAAGGCGGGGACCTGAGGTAACATAGGCCGGTGACTCATTCCCCGAGAGATTGAGTGGCCAATGGTATGAGAGAGCACATGTAAGTACATTGACACAGGATCTTTTGTCGTGCAATATCTGTGGCAACTGATAAGCGAGAGTTAGCATTGCATTGCATTGAAACCTCGGCAAGTCTATACACATATAATAGCATAGACCTCCTACTCAATCTCAGCATCACATTCCATTCTTACTACATAGCTTTGGCAGACTTCCAAGAAGATATCAAGCATTTCAAAATGGCAACACAGTCCCCCAATCATGGTAGCCGTGGTCGCTTTCGAGAAGTGTTTCCAGACGTCCACCTTGGATTTTGGAAGCCTGGCCCCAAGAATGGTATCACCGATGTACCGGGAGTCCTCGCGCACACGGTGACAATTCACGAGGAAAATGGGCAAATCAATACAGGCGTGACGACAATTCTTCCGCGGCGCGACTGGTTTCACAAAGCTTGCCATGCAGGCATGTTCCGTCTCAATGGTTCAGGAGAAATGACCGGAACCCACTGGATCGAAGAAACTGGGCTGCTACATTCGCCAATCCTCATTACGAATAGCTTCGCGGTCGGCCCATGCTACACCGGCATTTATAAATATGCAATCAAGCACTACGGTCAAGGGAAAGAGGGTGTCGATTGGTTTCTCCTCCCTGTTGTCGCGGAAACGTTTGACGGCCATCTCAATGACTTGCGGCATTTCCCCATCACACCCGAACACATTGTCGAGAGCATCAGCCAGGCGTCAGAAGACCCAGTGTCTGAGGGGAACGTCGGCGGAGGAACAGCCACCATGTGCCAAGGGTTCAAAGGTGGCACCGGCACCAGCAGTCGAGTTGTGCCTGCAGAGGAAGACAAATCTTACACCGTTGCTGCCCTCGTTCAAACCAACTACGGCCGTCTCCATCATCTTCGGATTTCCGGGGTTCCTGTTGGAAGAATACTTCAACGAAAGGCTGAAGGGGACGCTGCAGCCAAGGCCCATAACGAAGAGTACGACGATGCAAAGGACAGAAAGGATGGTTCAATCATCATCATCCTCGCAACTGATGCTCCTCTTCTCCCTGGACAACTACAGAGGCTGGCAAAACGCGCAACAATTGGTCTGGCGCGTGTGGGAGGATATGCGCATAACCCCTCGGGCGATCTATTTCTCGCCTTTTCGACTGCCAATGAGATACCGGTCCAGACTGTGACAGGCCAGCACCGATCGGTTAATCCATTCAAACCTCGGACTCTGAGCGTGGATTCAACGGACAACCAGACAATAAATGGGCTCTTCGAGGCAGCCGCTGACGCGACCGAGGAGGCAATCTACAATGCACTCTGCATGGCCGAGACAATGACCGGTAACATGGGACGCACGGTGGAAGCCTTGCCATTAGATGCAGTGAAAGAAATCGTCGGAAAGTTCAAAGAAGCTGAGGATTCGTGTTTTTGAACGTCGTTAGATCAACCAATATCATCATATACTCTTTTTGTAGTTTTTGGAATCCATTTTCCAGATTAAGATAACTCAGGAATGAATCATTGGAGTATCAGTATATTTTCTTGAATGACCAAGATGAAGGCAATGAAACATGGCTTGTTGTTGGAGCAATTGGCGGAGCCAACCACTCTGCACCAATGGCACATATGCGGAAGCAAAAACTTGTTGCCTCTATGTTGACCAGGTAGGCGGCCCGGCCGGTCGGTAGAAGCAACCGACGAGGTAGCTTGGCAAAATTTCGATGATGTTTAAAGTACCTAAATGAAGAAGACGTTTTTGATATCACGATACGATGGCCGGACAAATTCTCATCTTTCTAACTCTTCTCCACACAACATCCTGATTTAATACAGAATCATTCCATAAAGAGCACATTGTGTCTATTCTTACTGTAAGCATAAGGCTTTTCTGGCCAGGCCATCATTTCGTGAGGTTTAGCGGTCAGCCTGGCCTGAAAAGGAAGTATACGGCGATAAAACGACATGATCACGACAAAAGAGGCAAAAATGGATTCCTCCCCTTTTTTGTTGTGGATCAGATGCGTTAACATGCCTGGTCTGTTCATATGGTCCTATCTGACATATTAAGTCAGCTCAAGCAAGTTTTCGGAGAGGGGTTGGACTAGGTTATAAGTGAGGCGTCTCCTTCATCTACTTGATCCCTCTTCCATCTACAAAAACAATCTTGAACTTATTTCAAAGCATCGATATGTCTTCTAAGCCTACCATCGGTATGTTCCGTTCGAAATAAGGCGAACTGCAAAGCCATAAAACATACACAGCGGCTCTTTCCCACATCATCTTCCAAATCTAACAACTTTGTTTAGTGATTGTCCCTGGAGCATGGCAGATGCCTGCTGTTTGGACCAGCTTCCAGAAGAAGCTCAATGGTGCCGGGTACCCCACTGAATACATCAAGTTGAAGACAGTTGGAGGCGAAGAGCTGCCCTTGGCTGGGCTCGAGGACGACATTGCAGAAGTCCGCTCCGTTCTCGATAAGCTCTCCAGCGCAGGAAAGAGAGCTGTGCTGCTCTGTCACTCCTATGGCGGGATTGTTGGCAGTAACTCGGTCGAGGGGTCCAATGCTGTTGATGGGATGATTTTCCTCGCAGCCTTCTTGCTTCCGAAGAATAAGAGTCTGAAGGATATGCTGGGCGGCAATCCCCTACCATGGATGATTATGCAGGTTCGTTGAACATGCTAAACTGCACGATGACAATTGCCAGAGCTAACTTTTGCATTCAAAACTCTAGGAGGATTGCGTGGTCGGAAATCCAGATCTGATGAACGAAATCATGTTCAATGATCTTGATCCTGAAGAACAAACCAAATGGGCTAAAGAGATGACCCATACCTCTGCCCAGCCTTTTGCTATTCCCTCTACTTATGAGCCTTGGGCCAATGGCATTCCTTGCAGTTACATCGCCTGCAGCAATGACAATGGTCTCCCTTACCCACTTCAGCAGCAGCTGTGGGAGCAACTTGGATCCAAGCCCAAGGTAGTTACTTTGGAAGCAGGGCATTGTCCTTTCCTGAGCGCCCCGGATGAACTACTGGCTGCAATAAATGAGGTAGTCGCATGATTCCATCCTAGTCGGATATTAAATACTTGGTTTGAGGCTTTTGAACACACTATAATTCTTAAGAGAGGACTCATGTAGTATATACAATATGACTAACATTTTATCAATTTGAGAAAAGACAATGTTGCCAACTTTCTAGAACAAGCCTCTGTTTTCCCAAGTCCTGCGGTGTGCAATGTCATCTTAATTATCTCTAGCAGGCCACCTGATTGCATATGATACATCTACATCCAGAGAGATACTTCATAGACATCTACCATTGGATGAAACGCTTCTTGGAAGCCACAGCGCAAGTATCCTCGCATCCAGTGCACGCCGAGCCGGCTTCCTTGGTGCTGCCGCCAGAGTAGACCTCAGGGCCAGGCACAACATAGTCGCTCAACTGAGTCCAGATGTTGACCAGAATACCGGGGTCAGAGGCGGAGTAAGCACCTGGGAAGTTGACAGTCGCGGGCGATGCGCTGCCTCCGCCAGTAACCGTCAGCTGGTAGCAGGTAACGTAAGGCTGGGCGCCGTTCTGGCCGGAAGCGCTGTGCAGGGCGATGACTTCGGCACGGAGGAGATAGTCGCCGGCGGGGATATCAGCTGGGATCTTAACGTCCATCTTGCCGCAGCACGTGTTGAGGTCCTTGACGCCCCAGTAGTCGTCACCGCCCTGAGAGCTCGTCGACGCCTTCTTCCATCCGTCCTGGAACACCTTGAACCAGCCGGCTGAGCCGTCGGCCGTAGAGGCGTCATCGACCTTGGACATATATACCATGACGGGGCCGTAGTGGTTTCCGCCAATGGCCTCGTTGCTGCAGCTTCGGTCGCCGGGTTGCTATCAATTACGGTCAGACTAGCTGATCTTGTATACTAGAGGAGGCTCAACAGCGAGGTGGGCAACTAACCTGGTGCATCTCTACGGTAACCGTCTCTCCGGCAGCAACGCTGCACTTGCTGGCTGCGGGCGAAGTACCAGCATTGCATCGGATGTCGTTGCTCTCAACGCTGGTGATAGGGCTGTTGCTGAGGGGGAGACGAGCACAAGTCGAACCGTACATTCGCAGTTAGCTTAACAAAGTTCATCCCATGTGAATATAGGGCTGACATATCTTATCCACACCGTTCACCCAGAGCTGCTGGAAGGTGGCGTGGCCGGCAACCTGCTGGGCGGCCAGCGCCGTGAGAGCGGCGATCAACGTCGATTTCATGATGAAGGGAACTTGGTTTTCTTTTCCGTGCCTGACGGAGAGTAGAATGCCTGAATGATGTGGTTCTGGGTTAGAATCAAACCCATTGGCAGGTAGGGTGTTCGTGAGGTTTTATATTCTCCCTTTCGCTGGTTCATCTCCAAAAAGGGCAACGGAGGTTGATGAGGATATGCGGCCCGTGTTACACGTTCTACTGACCTGCAACATGACACAGGGTCATCCAAGGATTCCTCTGTTTCCAAATCCTTGGCCGTCGCTAAACTCACCAGTTGAATGGTCGGAGAATAGTAAATCTCCGCATTGGGTTTCGGTAGGGATGCTCCGTGTTTGAGGATATCTCCACAAAACCCAACAAATCGCATGGATCAGAAATTCTCTGACGGCTCGTGGGATAATCTTGCCGTGCCGATCAATGATATTTCGGAAAGGGGTGTACATATATCTGATACAGGGGCGATTCCATGGCGGTTAGGCAGGTAGCCACACATGACATGATATCATCTAAATTGATTTTTCAACGTAATGTATATGAAACGGTCTGATCCTATCCAAATGCGGCTCAAGTTCTCCTTCGAATATTCTCTAAGCCTTCCAACCAGAAAGGTTATGCCACTCAGAGCCAATGTTTATCTCCATGATGGGACAGGAAAGCTCCCCCAAACCCGTCTTCAATTGAGGCCTTCTCGATAACGGCCAGCATATCCTTGACTGAATCTTCTGGCTGAGCGGGCCCCTTCCAGTCAGGGTAGGCTCGCATAAAGCCGGCAGCCATAGCTCCTAATTTCTGCAATTGCTCTGGGGTAGCTATTACAATTTGTTAGCCACATGGGACGATGGAAAGGGGGCGTGAACTCTTACCATCGGCTTGGGACCCAACATCTACCACGCCAGGGCTCAGGCTGAAGAAGAGGATACCATCTTTCTTGTACTGGACGTTGAACTTGCCTACGGCAATATTCATCCCCGCTTTGCTGATTGAGTAGAGAGCGGCCGGCTCGATACCAACTTGATTGATCGCGTCCAGGTCCGCATGGCCCGAGGTAAGGGCTATGACCTTCTTCGCCTGGCCCTTGAGGAGAAGAGGAATATAGAGCTTGAAAAGGTTGATATTTCCGACGATATTGACGGTGGTGCTGTTAATCAGCTGCTTCTCGAGCTCTTTAGGATTCTCAGCTCTGTTAATGCCCTGGTCAATACGATTGTCTTTAACGCTGGTTCCGGCCATGAGTAGACTCACAAGACTCCAATTGGGTCGTAAGCATCCCACTTTGACATGTTTGCAGCGTTCGCAATCAGGTAGTCAAGACTTCCCCCGGTGATTTCTGAGGTGGCTGCCGCAGAGTTCTATCGAAAGATGTCAATAATTAATGCCAATCTCGCTGAGCGACAAAGACTCCTCACCTTGATGGCATCGTAGTCAGACAGATCAGCTTCCAGGATGTTGATGTTGGTTCTCCCGGCGAGTTCTTCGGACACCCTTTTGTCGGTTGCCTTCTTATCACGGACCAGTCCAATGACTTGATTGTTGGGGTTTGCAGAGATTTGGCGAAGGAACTCCCACTGCGATCATTTCAGTCAGTAAGTCAGCTTGAACTTGACATCAGACTATAAGGAACTCTTACTCCGATTCCTCGAGAAACGCCGGTGATAACGTAGGAGGGCATTGTGTGTGATTTGATGGTTGGTTTGGTAGGTTGATGTGCTAAGTGTGAATAGAATGTAGGTACCTCGAGTCTCTATAGAGAGAAAGATCAAAGCTTTTATACTCCCGTGAACTATTACGTGCCCTGAATCCACGGCCTTCCAAGGCTGATTGGAAATGACATTTGTTACAATATAACACCGGCCTTATCGAGTGAGGTCCACAAAGACAACCTTAAAGACCGGCTTGTGTGGACCATCTTTGCCATTTCTGGGTATTTCTGTCATCCATTGTGGGGAGACATCCTCTCACCAGCCCTCCAACCCCATCTGATTATACAGCACTGGCTGGTTTGAAAGCGGCGAATTCTGTAAAGGGAATTGGATGTCAGCGATTTTGAGATTCTGATGCAATTGATGATAAATTCAAGCCCGATGCTTTGACTCATACTGTATCATAATTTGCCATTACGTGGACAATGGACCTACTTACTTAGTGAAGGATTGAAATTTTGCTACAAATCTGGGAAGTTCGCCCTCTGCGCTTCTTGACTAATTGGGAGGGAAGCAGTAGTCAGAAATATAAGCACTTCTTTCATCAGGATCGTATACAAAGCAGAGAAACGGAACATGACAACTGGCTCGCATCATATGTACACTGATATGGTAATAGAGTACATACATATCCTTCTATGGTCATGAGATCACAGTGAAATGGTTTAAAATTCAAAATCTAGTAATTTGGGTATCTTAAATCGTGGTTCTAACTAATGATACAGATAGAGCGCAACCAAGATGGAATCTGGTTGCTCTTCGGCGGGTATTGGCGGACAACTATGGGCTTGCTGTCGGCTAATATTGGGAGGCTTCTCTCAGATGCTCGGGCGTTCCAAGGGATTTCATCTCCGAGCTGTAGAATCGCTTCTGCGCAACCTTGTGATCACAATTCGTACAGTAATGACTGATGTGGTTGCTCCATCGACCGACATATGGTGCTGCTGCTCCAACGACGGTCGTGAAGAATAATGTCGTCGCCGTGACACTAATATGTTTTCCTCAGTAAGCGATAATGAAGTTAAAGAATTCCTTGATACAGTCGCTTATAGGGGACTCACTGGGTAACGACGGATGGGTGTTTCTTGACCCGAGTTTCTGTGCGGCGCCTGCAGAAGGGACAGTCGATCATGTCGGATTGATCACCAAGTAGGTGCAACGGTGTCACAGTGGGATATTCTTCGCCCGACAAGGAATCTGAAAGAGGACTGACTATCCTCTGAGAGAACTCTGGTGTATCTGAAGGGTTAGGCGATCCAGGCAATGACGATCCCTCAAACACTTCTTTGTTGGTCGATATGTCATCTCTGCCAAATTGTCGCCGAGCCTCCGCTGTAGCCAGCTCAGGCAAAGTGTTGCGATCGACGTTCGTAGAATTCGTACTTGATTTTGGGCGAGCGGGCATCCGGATATCGTCCGGACTTTCATATGTTCTAGGCTTTCCCTCGTCATGTGTCGCCGTTGCCACGGTCGCAATCGCAGGTTCGTTGCCAGCGGTTGGTGTGTAGGCAGGTGGCTCAGGCTCAGGCTCAATGACCATCATACGCCCGGTGGTTGGGTCAAGAAATTGGGTGGTCATGGCAGCTTGATTTGTATCAACGGTTGATACGACTTGCTCATCAAGTACGACCAGAGAAAAGGGTCATGAGGAATCTCAGATTCGTTTAAGCGAGAGCGAACTGAGGGTGTCTATATATTGCGCGTGTCTATTCCTGATCACCCTCTTCCATCCCCATTCCATCTCGCTTTCGCAAGCTGAGCACCACTAAAACAAGCTGACAGGGCACCATGATTAGCTCCCCTTGCCGATATGAAGGCGATACCGAGGAGCTCCATTGGCGCGCTCGCCTCTCTGCCCCCCTTTCCGTGGCAGGGTTCCATCGGATCTTTCCACACTTGTCTCCTTTGGGTGTGTTTGAGCGCGACGATCCACGTCATTTGCTCAGGCGCAGCAACAAGGCGGGTCTTTGAAGCACCGGCAGTGCATCTAGAAACTCAACAAATGCAGTAATGGACCCGACTTTGCCCAGCACGAGCACCGCCTCAAATTAAATCGTCCACAGCTTATTAATTTTGCCAGGGGTTCTAGTGAAGCTTGCAGTTTTCCTAAGAGGATGATAACATACGGACTGAACTGCTTAATGTCGAAAGGACGAATAACCCTGTCTCTGAAGTTGAAGTCGCCTATTGTCGTCTGATGTTAGTGACAATGAAAATCTAGAGAAATATCCCTAGGTATCATCTAGATACCAAATGTAGAGAGCGCGATGGAACTCATTCACTCCACATCAACTAACAGAACTAAGAGCATGTACCAACAGTTATCACAATATAATATGGTGAGGTTGTTTTTGCGACATTTATAATTTAATTTTTTAAATATCAAGTTATACACTCTCTTCAACAAATACTCTATAGTAAATGCGAAGAGGCAGACATGGTAGTACCATCAATCATCAATCCTTGATGCTCTAGGGTAGGCACTTTTGGCTTTTCAACCGACTTTTGATCGTGAGATTCGAGTAATTATTCGAAGGGCAGGGAATTAGTTGCGTGATTACGCCTTGCCCTTATTCTTGAGAAGTTCCTGCTCCTCGGCTTGCAACTCAGCGTCAATCTTGGCGCCTTTGGACGGCTCGTTACCGTGAATTTTTGCCTATCAAAGTCAGTTTCTGTGTCGCAACGGAACATCAAATGGGCCACACTTACAGGCAATGTGGGGTCCTTCTTGCCCAATTTCGTTTCCAGATCTTCCTCGGGCTCTCCCTGGCGCTATATTATCGTGAGTACTCGTTAAATGAGATATTGGGGGCTCATGGTATCTCAGCGCATACCTCTGCAGCTGCTAGTTTGTTGGCGATGGATCGCTCATCCTCTGTGGCGTGGTCAATAACATACTCCAGTAGACGGAAGCTGCAAGGCCATCAAATCCGAACTCACTGGAATCCAAGATATTATGGGAGTTCTCCTTCCCCTCATTGTATGGGTCTGACTTGTTGATCTCTGACTTTTTGTAATTGCGCTGATCCCCGGCCTCGTAGACTGAGGCCTGTCCGACAGAAGAGTTTCCAGACATGTTGATTAGTGTGATGCGTTTGAAAATTCGAGAATTTCGTTGTGAGTTAAGAGAAAAGAATGTTCAAACTCATAATTGTGCATTTTTATATCTCACCTTTTTGCTCATTGTAAAGTCTCCACCAAAACATCATGCACGACGTCATTTCGTCGAAGACGTCATAGAAAATTCCATCTTATCTGCAGAATCAATCGTGCTAGTCATCGATCGGCAATTAATTTGATGCAGAGATACTTCTGGAACATTTTCTTCAAAGTCAAATTTGCACCGGGGGAAAATTGAGTTCGGCAACGCATGCGTCGAATGATAAACACACAACCTTGAAAACTAAGCTAACACATTCTTTTGGCTAAATACAATCAGATCGGCATCCTGGCATGTGGTCATGCCAAATCTGAGATCTAAAAGGTTGGAAGCTGATTGGAGAGTTTTAAAACATTCAAGACTTAGTTATACTTCTTCCTCTTGACTCTAATCTTAGCATCCAAAGGCGGAATGCCGAACCCGCTAAACCAGCTATTGGGTGGTCGCTTGCCTCCATACTGCTCCGGAAACTCCAGGTCGTAATTCTTGACAGCGTAGGCCATGATCATCTTGAGCTCAAAGTCGACAAGGAATCTGCCCGGACACGCGTGTCTTCCGTGGCTAAAAGGCAAGTATTTCGCCGACGTCGACACCAGGCTGAGGTGATTCAGTCCAGGCTGTCCCGTCACTTCATCAGCAGCTGCCTCACGCTCGCGGGAGAATCTGAATGGGTCAAACGTGAGAGGGTCCTTGAAATAGTCCTCATCGGTCTGGGACTGGTGGGCAAGGATGGACACCATTGTCCCACGCTGCAGGTGAACACCATCAGGGGCTGTGACACCGCTGGGAGCAACCACCAAGCGCTGGACTGTACGGCCGATGAAGGAGTTGACACGGAGGGTTTCTCGAGCTACACTGTCGGCCCGCACCATTGCAGCTACTTTGGATTTGGTCCATTGCTTTGAAGTAGTATCGTTCCCTTGTCCTAGAACAGTTGTTACTTCATCTCTCAGGATGGAGACAGTATCAAATTCAGTGTCCGAGTCAATGATGTTGAGGATGAGGTTGTGAAGGGTGAGGATAGTCTGGTGCATGGTGCCGAAATTCGAGAGTGCAAGACGTTTTGCGATGTCATCAAGACTGTTTGCCTCATTGGGGCGTTCATTGACTGCGTACTGCAGCATCATTTGGATCAAATCCTGTGGCTCGGAGTCCTTCTCAGTCACTTGGCCTCTCAAAATCTTCATCCGCTCCTGATACAAGGGCTCGATGCGCTTCGCAAGGTCTCGGAGCTTGCCTGTCATGGCTCTACTCGCCCAAGGACCAAGGAAAGGTCTGAAAATCTTGAGAGACGAAGCCATCGCTCCAGCAGTATCAAGCATACCATCCAAGACATCATAGCAGCTCTGAACGAACCCTTCATCAGCACCTAGTGAAATGTCCCATTAGTCTGGTGTAAGTTTATCGTCCAATGCATTACTCACAGAGGCGTCTTCCCTCGGGAGAATCTCCCAGGGTAAAACGTAAAGTCGCACGACCTCCGATGACCCGGCACGCAGGGAAGAGATCAATCTCTTTCCAATTATCGCAGTCGTCCCCAAAGCATGCACTAAATGCAGCGCTGAGCTCATCATTCAAAACAGCGCACACCGTCTCAATCGCGCTGTTCAGATCCGTCTTGATCAACATGCCACCCCATGGATCATATGCAAACTTATTACCCAGGCTATGGTGGGGTTGGATCGAATCTATCTGCGCATCGAGGGAGCTCAAAACGTTGTCTGGCTGTCGGCAGAGCCATGCTAATGAGCTTGGTGGTAGGATGACTTCATCGTGGGGACCGAAGACGGGGATGAGCACTGATTTTCCTTTTTTCGAGTACTGAATGCATCATTGAGTTAGCATATGTGTCAATGTAATTCTCGTTGAACTTACGTTCTCATACACGTCGTTCAAGAAGGACAAGCAGTCAGTGTTGAACTGTTTTCTCATCGTGCTCCATGCGTTCCCCCTGTCTGCTCCTACTCGAGGCAGGTTGGAAGGGTAGTAGATAACGAAAAAGACATGATATATTGACGCAAGGATAGCAATGGCTAGAGCAAATATCAGACAAAGTTGTTGAAAAAGACCCATAGTGGTCAAATAATCCAATATGTTGCCCATTGTAAGCCGAGTCTTCTATGTATCAACTTGGATCCGGTACGCATCAACAGAACGACGGTAGAATATTAGCAGATTTAGAGCAAGAAACTATGGAAAATCACAGGATTTATAACAATCTGGGTCACATATCTCGCAAAACACAAGAGGGATTTTCATGGCCCTAGATGCCTGGACTACCATGCCCACGATACTCCGTTCACTGACGATCTGATAACTTCAGTCGTCTTCGTCTTTACTCTTTGCGGCTTAGATGCATCAGATAACCAAGCCCCGGCATAAGACCGCCCCCGCCGGCAGTTGGCCGTGCCTCCTCATCTCCGGGAGGGATGGGATGCCTCCGCCCTCCCACATCACGACGTTCAGGACGGTGTGAAGAGAAGGCAGAATGGGAAGCGTTCACCACAGTAGTAGTTAGTAATATTTATGAATGATAAATAAAACATGGAAATTGAACTCATCTCTACTCAAAGAAAAGCAGCACCTTCATCAAAACTTTCATGACATCGGTCACGGGTAGCGGGCTGTAACCATGCTCCTCGCGCTGGGACCACAACTCGGAAGTACGGCATCTTTGTCTACCAACTACGAAAGAAATTGCTTCAGCTGCAGCCAATCCCCAGCTGGGAAAAAGACATCATGAAGATCCACCGCGTCAAATTTGCATTTTTTAGTTTTGTAACTGTCCCCATGGAGGATCTCGGGAGTTTCTGACGGGTAATGGCTCAACACTCTCTGGTAAAACCCGTCAGTCCTCAGCAAGGTGTCGTAAGCCGTCCCCACTTGAAGTTTCGGCACTTGTCCTGATGTTTCTGTAATCATGTCGATGCAATCATCCCGTCAACTAGCTGCTGCTTGTATGACCGCTAAGTTTCTGGCGTCCCCATCCAGGAGAGTCTCGAGGCGGCTAGTGAGAGGGCGTGATCCAATCCGGTGCGACTTGATGGTTATCAGATTGTCAGATATTACCTCCAACGTGGCACCCCAAGCTATATAAATGCGCGCAATTGGGTCAAACGGCAAGGGCTGGTAGGAGCATGCTCACAGCTGGAATTGGACGTTAATGCATTTAACATGTGTCTGGTTCTAGTTATATCCAGCGTGTTCCTAGTAAGTTGGTCGCAATTTCTAACAAGACCAAATATTAGATTCCACTGGAAACCAGGGACATAGTCAGCCACATAAAAGACGGAGTCTACAGTTAGATGGAGTCAGAAAAATCGAAATTATACCACATGTTAGATGATATCCGTTTCACTCATGAAGAAACGCCTGTATAACCCCACGGCTCTCGCCCTGACATCCTTGGAGGTTCCATAAGCCTCAAAGCTTAGCATCGCCAGATTGTGGTATTCTGAGTGGGGAAGCATCCACCTACCATACCACAACGATATGTACATATGGCATTCTACTGCCTCCATTTTTGGTGTATTCTCCGGCGTGAAAAGCTTAGCTCTGCAGTTTTCCTGTCTCCTGTCCGCGTTGCGGGGCACTAGCTCATCTCGCGTTACCGAAAGAGTACTGAAATCCGAACGTCTAGGTATACAGGGTATAGAATATGTCTCTCACAAACAGTGATTGGTGAAGGGCTGTTTTCTAGCCCAGTCTTGGTCTAATGATCGCTGTCAGATTTCGATCAGAACGTACGTAACTGGGCGACTGCCCATATCTAGATATGTTGACGAAAGGAGGGCATTTGAGAAGGGAAATAGATGTGATCAACGGGTACCCCCGGATCGATTCCATGCCATGACCGCTGAAACATTACAATGACGCCGTGCTACGTAATAGGCTGGTCTGGCAGCCTCAGCCCTCCATCCGGAGCCATGAGAATCCATAATGTGACGAAACTGAGGGATTAATTGAGAGCATGCCTACGTTCTCACAAGGCCGGTCATTTTGCTTTTGAAGGTCCACAACACCAGTCAGCCCCGTTGGTAATAATAAGCTTGCTCTTTGCCTAATAAAGTGCTGCCCACCCAAAATCAGGGCACGGCTAATTAATGCAATATTCTCGTCCGGAGACAGATTGGAATGGATGATTCATGAAGAGATGCAATTAACAGTCGAGCAAATACGTTTGGACACGCTTGAATAGGCACAGAAGATACGAAATGCGATTCAAGCTTAAGCTTCAGTGAGTACCTATGGGTAGCTATTTATGGTCATCCAAATTTACGCTCTTGAAACGGACTCGAGCCTGGCCTCCGTGGTCTTCTCGTATCGCTCCATTGTGTTCTCATCCACCGCCTCATGGAACACATCAATCTCTGTCGACGCAAACTTCCTAGCACTGATGTGCTTCTCAAACAGCAGATCCAGCTCTGCAAAGGTTCGTCCATTAGGTTCGGGCACGCGGAAATAAGTGTAAATGATGCAGAGAAAGCAGATGCCGGCCTAAAGAAGATGTTAGCAAAACAACCCTGGGTCTATGTAGCAAGGAGGAGAAGTGGAAGGGATGTCGTACCCAGAAAAATCCGGTGAAGTTCTGCCAGTTCCATGCGGTGGGGTTGAGCATGTAGGGAGTCAAAACAGCGTTGATAATTCCCACAATATTGCTGTTATCATGTCAGCTTGATGTACCATCGGGCCAATTCCTCAGGCGAGCTGTAACTTACTAGAGATTGCGACCAAGGACGACAGTCTTGATCTGAAGGCGACGCGAAGACAGCTCTCCCACCAAGGAGTAGCAGACTGTTCCAACGGTACATTGATAAAAGAAAGCCCACACGATCATCAAGGAGCCGGTAGCAATTGAGGTCTGGTCCCGCTTGGAACCTGGCGCAAGGCCCAGGAAACCCATGACGAGAAGAATGGTGAACAAGGCACTGAGACCGACGAGGTACAGAGTCCTCCTACCAACTCCCCGAGCCATGAGACCCCAGGCGATGAAAACACAGACCATGTTCATGGCATACTGTCCCAGGGCAAATGAGTATGAGTCATCAGTGTCAAGTCCGGCAGCCTTCAAGAAGTATGTGGAATAGTTTGAGAAGCTGTTGCCACTCAAGTTCTGAATGGCCCAGACCATGCAAACGACTTCAGTACGGCGAAGATCGACGCCCTTGAAGCAGTCCAGATAGGAAGCTCCCGTTGTGATCTTCTCTTCGAGTGCGGTGGTGTGCACCATCATGGCAATAGTCTCATCGGCATCGAAATCAGTCTCCCTGTCCAGGCTTGTGAGACGGAGGAGCGACTTCTTGGCATCTTCAGTGCGACCCTTTCGCACGAGCCACCAAGGGGACTCGGGTGCAAGGTAGATTCCAATGATGAGAGGAAGGGGCCAGATCCATTGGAGAGCATACGGGATGCGGAACGCATACTCGTCTTCCCTGTTAATCATGGCCTTGATGATGCCAATGCCGAGTTCTTGGCCCACGCCCCAACAGAAGTTGACATATGTTGTGAGGTAACCGCGGAGGGCGACGGGGCAGACTTCGGACGCATATGATACCGTGACCGTCTGGAAGACACCCCACGGGAGTCCGCACAGAATCTCGGCAGCGAGCAGTGTTTGCACGTTTTGAGCTGTGAAGAAGATGGCAACCGTTCCAGCGAGCCAAGTAAGAGAGATAATGCAAGTCCATCGGTATCCAAGCTTATCGGAAGCCCAACCGTTCAGGAAGAGACCAATGATAGAACCAACAGCGGCACCCTTGTTGCATGAATATCGTTAGTTCCATGGCAAGGCTTGGTCAGTAGAAAGATTTCCACACTCACGTTACTCAGACCTGCCTGCCAGTGCGCAGGAATCTCATACCCGCCTTTTCCGTCAGGCTCGCCAAATTTCTTGTTAAACTGAGGAAATGCGTCTTCAGGACTGATTAGTAACGGTACGACAACTTTTCGGCATGGCTACATACAGAAGTTGTTGACGAGACTCATGTCAAAGCCTTCCATGATAATGCAAGTGGAAATCAGGAGACTCCAGCCGATAGCCTTTGGGTACAAGCGGATGCCCTGCATCAGAGTCATCTGTCGCTCCTTCTCGGATGCAAGACGGGCGTTTACAACCACATCTGCATGAGCCTTGCTGGGGTCTGATGCATGTTCGGCTTGCTGCAGAGCAGGCTCGACAGCGTGCTTCTCGTCGGAGGCAGCCATGAGGGACGTTGTGAACCCGGGAGCTTGTATGAAGTTGGAAGAAGAAGTGAAACAAGGTGCTGAGATCTGGGATGAATTATCTGGGGAAATGATGAGATATGACGAGAATTATATAGATGTTTGAGCAGCGGTCCACAACGATAACCGAAGCTCTGGGGACCCCAGAGCAAGCCCCCAGACTTTGCCGCTCACGCATGTGGGTGTGGGTGAATGCGGACGGATGTGGACAAATGGGGGATGCAGCGCCGGCAAACGTTGGACAGAGCCACGTTTTCCAGGCCGATACGTCCCTCATTTGGGGGGCTAGAGCACGGTTTGGAGGGATAAACGCTCAATGGAGGAAACCTCGGCGGAGCGAGCCATTCATCGACGAGCAAAAGGCTGCTTCCGTCTCAATGACCGGGGGGTAGTGACAGACTAGAGTGTTTGGGTGGTAAGCCAAGCTCCGGGGGAGCGTAATTCTCAACCGCATGAAACCAGAGCGGCATCTGCATTGTCAACCAGATCGAGATTTCTCGTGGAATTCTAGAAGCTGGCCGGTTTAAGTTCAAGTTTGTTATATCTGGCAAAGGCCTTATTTGCTCCCTTTCCACTGTATCTGACTTCTCAATCTTGAAGAATGAAGACACCAGGCACACACCAAACAAGACACACAGCGAGTCAGGTGCCAACAGAGCAGGAAGAGCCTAGATGAACAACTCCTAGCGTGTCTTGGTCGTGAGGGGTTTTCGGAGTTTAGCTGCTTTGGTCGGGTCTGTTGTGGAGTTCCTCCTGGCCGAGGAGCATCCCAGCCAATAACAGGTGTTGTGATGATAACTCCAAATCTCCTCCACAGCGGAGGCCTCGACTCCAAGGTGGAGAAGCTTCTAGCACAGCACGTAATTGCCACTGAGCACGAGCCAACTCCTTACCCTCGGCAATGTCGATGAAAATCAAGCGAGTGTTGGACGCAAGAAGTACGCAAGACGGAGGAAGATAAGAGTATATGTAATCTCTTTCCTGAAAATATGTATCCGAGTGCCCTCGCTTCAAAAACGCGTGTGTACTCTCATAAACAGCAACCAAACTCATCAGTGGACGCGCTCAAGTTCCAAGCCGCCGGCGGTGAGCTACTGTATGACTCGCCGGCACAGCTAACCAAAATAGAATAATCCCCAAGCTTATTGGCCAGCGCCTGGGAAAGAGGCGCATTAGTCATTGTTGCAATGCCGTAATAGAGCTCAGACTCACTCATTATTGTCTGCAGCGACTCCACAGAAGGGCGAGTACACATGGAGCTCTCAAGTGTTCTCAAGTCTTGCCGCAACGAGTAGTGCTGTAGAGAAAAATTTCAAATGGTCATGGGAACTAATAGTATCACAGTAGTTGAACAATCTGACACCCGGATCGTAAATTCAATTCCAAAGAAGGAATCCGAAAAAGAACACTACCAAGCATCGTCATCCCAAACAATTCCATCAAGTTCAAATCCCCGTTTAACTTTAACATTACTTATACAGTATTTTCCTTATTTAGGAGTATACTGGTAGCTAAATGAGAATCTGAAATTTGGAATATGACAAGGTGTCAGGAAAAAGACGCGAACAGATGCTCGAGGATCGACTATCAACATATGGCTGTGCCGTTATGAAGGCACTTGAACAATCATACTAAACCCAAAAGCTTCACTTCAAGCAGCTAGTCTCACTCAAAGCATCTTTCAATTTCATCCAAAGCACAAATTGATTTATTTCATTTATTAGACTAATGAAATATTCTTTCAATTCCTAGGATTTCACTACTTTTTGACCTTTTTGACCTTTCACTCCAGGGTAGCCCCTCACACTTAATCCAATCTCGGAGAATGACGCCGGTTCTAAAGGAATCTTAAGCTGTGGGTCTTCTGAAATTGGATGTTGCCGGCGCTGTCAAAACAAAACGCGTTCTTGAGCTGAGCTGAACACGCTAAAACACGTCACTCAGCATCCTCCCATGTCTCGGCCCCCTGAGTTGGCTTCTCCATCCGTCCCCTTTTCAAAACGAAACGCCCGCCCTGAGCTTCGAGCTTGTCCACCAACGAGAATGTCCGGGTAGGTAGCTTCTGCGGGCCGGAAGTATTGAGTGCTTCCGATTTCCTCGGCAATCGCCAACATCCCGGCCGGACTTACACCCAATGATAAAGGTAGCTGGCTTATCGTGTTCATCAAACCTTGGCACTCGCCACGGGGCTATCCCTCCCCTTCCTGATGAGGAGGTATTTGATGCCCCAGAACATAAAAGCTAGTAATATAGCCACTGCACTGGTCCACGTCAGACCGAGGAACTTGTAGCCGCCCTGGATTTCAACACCAATATGCCTAGTGAGGCGATTCATCCTCTCGATGCCCTTCGTAGTCATCACCGTAGCAATTATGCTTGCAGCAACTAGGACACTGGCAGCGATGAGGTTGGTAAATACTGCTGATAAGACAACCTTCTTGTGTTGAGGCTTGATAAAGGCGGCCAAACAAGTGAGAATGCTGATACCGCAAAGGGTTATCCCTAGCACGTAAAGGACGAAAAAGCCTAGCAGGGCCTCATTTAGACTATTAAGGTTTGCTTGGATGTCATCAGTCCATCCCAAGTCAGGCAGCTTGATATCGAAGGGCCCTAGACTGAGCTGGTTGTTGATGATGGTTTCGAGATCTAGGCGATCTATTTAACTGATGAGCGTTTATATATTTCGTTGCAGAGAGGAAGGAAACTTGCACCCGGCCTTAGAATCAGAGCAATTTGTCGTTTGGAGTGACGCCGACTTGACTGTCCCATTCGGCTGGAAGCTGCCTTGACACCCATTCATCACATGAACTGAGTACCAATTCGAGATGCCGAGTTTGTCAGCTAATTCGTCGACGGTGCCGCCAATTAGGTCATTGAGTTTATCAATAATCGCATGCTTCGTATCGTCCCATAGATCTTTAATGATATCAAGAAACCCACCACTGTCGTGAATCTTATTAGTGTCGCTGGCCTTAATAATATCGTAGCCAATTCGTGAAACATTGACCTAGGTGATGTATTAGGCAAGGTTAGCAGCCAAACAGAGGAAAGACAAGAATGGAAGAGAGGAGAAGATAACCAGGCTCTGTAAACCCTTGCACTCACCCTTGCAAGTGCGTACTCCTCCATGAAGCCTTTTTTGTGGCCGGCAGATAGTGAAAGAGCCGCAAGGATTAATCCTATTGTGCTCAGGACCAGAGGGACGATGATCGCTAGCCTTGCAAGCAGAACCATCTTGAATGAACAGAAATGACAGAAATGATCGTGTGTTTGAGTTCCTTCAGCAGGGAAAGATAAACAGTATCTATGACACAGCGGGGTAATACTAGTTGAGATTATTTTACCTTTCGGTGTGCGATGCAGGTGGAAAATGCTTAACTTTATCTATAAGCTCACGCTGCGCCAGCACAGCATAGCCTTCTTTCACTGGACAGTCCACGCTGGAAAGGGGCAGAGAATTCTGTTGCGGAAGACGGGTCAAACAATGAGAAGGGACCAAAGAGCGATGGAATTGGCATGAGGAATATTACAACCCTGGTCGCTGATATCTGGCGTGATGGAAAGTGTCTCAAAGCACTACATACTGCCTGTCTTAAGCCAATGGTGATTGGCGCTTCAAGCCCCGGCAAAGTGTTTTAGAAGGGCGCAGTGCGGCTCGATTGGTTTGGGAAATCCATCAACTGTTGATCGTGCATTGAATTGATACGTGGGCAACAAAGAGCATTGACCAGTGATCAGGGCCGCCCCTGCAAGCATGATGTGTGTTCCATTCCGGTTTATGCATGCGACTTTGACACACTGAATCATATGCTTGCCATACATTCCAGGTCATGCTATTATAGACAGCTGTATCTTCCAACACTAAACTGATTGGAGTCCAGTTGCTTCTCCAATAATCATGGAGCCATTTGTATACTAGCTATGGCTTCGGATTCATGCACATAAAATGTGCTGTAGAATTGGGCAAAGACTTTAGGCTCTACTTCAACAAGAAAACGGCGTTATTATCTCGTCATTAAGGCCATCCTACTTGGGAAAAATCCACAGATGTCTTTGATGTGTATCGAGTTGTCTCATAACATCCTTCTGGCATTGAAACAGCTTCGGTGAGATATTGTCCAGCACAATTTATATAGAAGAGATTAACTGTATAACTGTTCATTTTGGATGGAATCTAGGGTTTCAGACACAATGGCTTCATAATATATTGTGCATCTTGTGAATTAGTATCTCTCTCCTGCAGACGATATTTGGATTGCATGTATATAGAGTCGCGCTTACTGAACAAGAGCTAATGAAATATCTGATAAAGAGGATGAAAATGCTGCGCTAAGTAAACAATCCTAGAAAAAGATAAACCACTATCTAGACAAACATGCAGTAGGCCTTAGTGAAATTCAGTCTTGGGAACGAGCTGTGTCTATATCCCTCCTACACCCTTGAAAATGGCCTTGACAATTTGCTTCTCTGCCTCTCCGTGCTTGGTCCTAAGAAACGCCATTATCGAGAGAGTCGCAAAATCATTTCCCAGTTCACCCGAAAGCACCGGGCCCTTGAATTCGAAGCGCCCAATATGCTTTTTGCTCGATGTCAATGATAGGTCGCTCATTGAATCCTCCTCAGCCGAGACTGCAGCAGCCACGATGCCAGTTGATTTACCAACAAGCTGCAAGCTCTTTTCCTTGCCTGTTAGTTTTTGGTTCAATTTATCAGTGAGCTTGTCCCCGATCGACTTTGAGGTACTGGCCCAACTCCATGACTCCATACTTCCCCTATAGGGGAACTGAAAACTGCCGTTGTACTCGGCCTCATGGCCATTTGGTAGTTTGATCAGGTATTTCGTACCCGTTGAGCCCTTCATCTTGACTTCACCGAGATGTTCGCCGTTGCGCTTGAATTTGTCACGCCGGAGAGTAATCTTTCCGCTGGACATGCTCAACTTGCCCGAAAACAAGGGCTCTCCCTTGGGTTCCATTCCAAATTCGACAAAGGTGCCCATATTGGAGTCTGAATTCCACCATGTGGACATGCTAGTTGGGAAAATCATCGATAAAGCTGCAGGGCGTGAATTTGATTGACTGTGCCATGACGACGCAGAGTTTGGTCGTTGTTGTAAGTGTTGTTGGTACGGACCGGAGGGCTGAGGACTCGTTCCATAAGGAGCGAGATGTCCGTTGTTGTAATCGAAGGGCTGGGGCTGGAGAGCATTATCGTGGCTTTGGGAAGGATAGTGGCTAGAATTGGGGCGTTGGTAAGAACCGGGACCCTGAGGCCGGCTTGAATAAGAAGTAGACAGGTTATTCACTTCTCCCCATCCCCAGCCTGGGGGAGGCCCTGTGGGTGGCGCAAAGTCGTCAACTTGTGTCTGTTGATAGGTTGTGGGATGTTGTTGGTATGGAGGCGGGTCATTTCGCTTCTTTGAGGAACAGCCCATCTTGCTAGTTAGAGTATGAGAAAAAGTTGGATTAGAGAGAGGTGTATGATATAATGATGATTGGATTTTGAATAAGCCAAGAAGTTAGATATCTGTACTTGTTCTTGGATGCTAATTGATTGTTTATAAGTACGAATCCCTGCCGCGGCATATTTCTCTTTTAGGCAAAGAAAAGTTCCTGAAAATGGCTGTGTTGGTGGGCCTCTTTGCTGACTTGATGATGTAAATAGCTTGATCGAAGTGGCGCAATAATCGTCGATCTCTACAAGTTATGGCTAGTTCTGCCATTGAAAGAGGTCATATCAATCCGTCCTTCCGCCCACATGCCGCCTAACCTTGTCCAGTACTGTGATCTTCATATCGTATGTCAAGCTACATCTCCCGGTCAAGGGTTGGGTAGACAGAAAGCTTCTTCTCCAGCTCTGAACCCACCACTGGTTTGTTTGTGTGTCCACGCCAGGGATACTTCACTTCCGAGACAGTATCTGAGAGATGTGAAAGCTGCAAAGCCATGTGATGGCTACCAGATGATGCTCAAAGGTATTGTCGTGGCTTGTACGATCGTAAACTGTGGGATTCAGATGGCAAAGCCCATTAGTCTCCATTAGGAAAACTCCGAGTACGAATGACTTGGTTTCGTGGTCTAGTTGGTCATGATTTCTCGCTAACAATCATCTCGATTGCGCCGAGACGGTCCCCGGTTCGAGCCCGGGCGAAACCACATTTTTGGCCATCATTACAATTTGGCTATGCTTTATTGTCTCTGTCTTTTTTTTTTTTTTGGAGAGATTCAAGTCCTCCTCTATATATACCGTTTGTCTATTTTATCACCTTACCAACTACAGTGCCCTTTTGACTGGCCCTTTGGAGGTACGCTCTCTACAAGATGTGGACTTGATACGTGCTCCCATCCACGCCCAACTGATTTGGAAGATATGCATCTTCGCTATACCTTTGCTTGATATCGGCTCGATCTAGGGAGAAGTCCTTACACTCATGGAAAGGAGTCGCCACGAACCGCTCTTCAGGTCTTGGGCCGGCCTTGAGCCTTGCTTCGACCTCGGTATCAGTGAGCCCGATCAACCCCGAGCGATACAAATCCTCCAACTGATACAAGACCTCATTTGCCATGGTCGAGAAGAAGTTGTCGTGAATCTCCCGAACTAGACAGCGGAGAATCACAGGCCTGGGGAGTCTGCGCAGGATGCCTCGAGAATTGGGGAAGTCCTGCATGCTCTTCCAGGTCTTGCGATCTTTGGTCCACTCCCAGCGGCAGGCTGTTTGATTCTGCAGGATTTTTATGTTGCGGCTGTCCCATAGTTCGGGCTCAAATTGTAGCTCAACGTATCCGGATTGTATGCTCGGAGAATACGCCTGGTCAATGAGACTGAGGTAGAGTTGCGCAAATGGCCGGGGGGCCGGGCAGGGCATGATATCTTGGTTGATCTGCTCTCTTGCCATGTCCAGAAAGAAAGGCAAGAATATCTGAGCCTTGACCAATTCCGGTTCCAGGAATGGATAAAATATTGACTTGTCGATGGGAGAGTTTAGAAATCGGGAAACATGTTTGAGGTCCCTGTACAAATCATGCTGTAGAGCCTCAAGAGGGTAAATTGTGGTTGGGAGTTTGGTATTGGTTGCGATGCCAAAACAGACGTTCGCACAGCACGCTATTAGTTTGAAGTGACGCTCTTCGGATGTTTTGCGTAAAATGAGATAGACCAGCGACTTTGATTTGCCTGGCTGTAGGACAAATATCTCGTCTGAATCTGGCTGGATCAATGTGTCTAGTTCCACCCGTGTCGCCAAGTATATCGCGGAGCGAGGTGAGTTGAAATATCGGTTGCTTCTCCATCGCCAGCGCGTTTCGCTCCGGTCGAGAGGGACCTCATACAAGCCCAAGTGCCCGGACTTATCAACAAGACGGGCCTTTGATGTAATGGTGACTAACCTTGTCAGTGTGATTGCCAAAGCGCCAGTATCGGAGTTCACGCTGATGTCGTAATTCCAAGGACGGGATTCTAGAACCGTGGGATGATGCTTCTCATAGGGGAGAATCTCGTGACCTTGGGTCCAGAGACTCGTTACCGTGTTCTTGGACGTGAACTTCATCAGCTTGATATACGGACTTGCCCCTGGAGAGTTTGGGATTTGTGACACCGTCTCGGTTTTCCCCCTAGCCCAGCTTGCGAAATCCTCCCAGGCTAATCTGTCCTCCACTTGCGTGTGGAAAATCGATTCCCATGATTCTTGTGACTCCCATTTAGGTACCCAAGTCAGCGTTGACGTGTTGTTGGAACAGCAGCGGGCGTGAAAAAGGAGCTCTAGCCGTGAAAGAACCAGCATACTGTAGGCGAAAAATCCAACAAATACCTGCTGGCGTGATCGCGTATAGTCGGGCAGAAGTTGTCCCTTGGTCGACTCGTCTTTCAAGAGACCCAACACGCCGAAGATTCGGTCTCTTGCATCAGAGGCCTGTGACCTGGAAGTTCTCGCTACCAGCTCAAAAGCGTTTCCTGCGGGAAACTCGCTGAAATAAGTATGTGTATTAGCCATCATCAATGAGGTTGCTAACCGTTGACGCACTTTGTAAGGAGCGTCACTTACCCTCGTGTAATGTTCTGGACCCAAGGGGCTCCTGTATCTTCCCATTTCCAATTTTTGGGTCCCTCTACACTCCATCTTTCCATCAGAGCCGAATCAGCCCAGAAAACCATGTTATGGATGGGAATGATAACTCGGCGAGACAGTATGAGCTCTTGAATAACCCACACGCGCTTGAAGTATCGACGAGTTAGGAGATGTCCTAGATGCAGTGATGGTTGATTCTCATGAGCACCACTTGGGTCGACAGGTGCAATGAGAGCCGATTCAAGGTCGTAGAGTCGATGGCGAGATGCATGTGTGCGCGACGGTTGGACAACGTCATATCCAAGCCATAGGACAGCTCTGGAGCACTCGGTGTATATTTTCCCCATCTTTGCCACTTGCTCATCCCTTTCCTTGGTGTTATATTGATTAATGCAAACAGCGTCGATCCAAACCATCCTGATGCCTCGCCAGGGGCGCAGGTACTGAAGCATCTCCCAGCAATTTTTAGTCGCGAATAATATGTCCCAATACGGTCCAACATAGACTGGACGAGTCCTTTTCAATGGTTAGATATTTGATGTATACTATGAAATGCAATACCGGGGAGATGAGAACTCACAAGGTGCCGTTTCCATCCTCGCCTGCCCACGTATATGAGACAGTTTCATATTCGGGACAGCTGTCATGTTCATATGTCTCTAAAGACAGGTGGACAAATTTTCGCGAAGACTGTTGATTTTGGCCACCCAAAGCCTTAAGACAGACGAGCCTGAACTCGTTGGAGCCAAGCGTAGAGCCGTAAATCGGCGACCACTCAGCGACTGACGCCGACATAGAATCATCCTCATTTTCTGCGGCGGGTTGGGCTGTACTCGCATCTGAGGTCTGCGTCGAGAGCCCAGCGACTCTTTCTGGCTTTTTAAAGGGCACTATGGGCGGCCAACGGAGGTTAAGGCGGTCACTCGACTCGTCGAAAGGGACAGCAGGAAGGGCGCTCGAGCCTAGCTGCTCGCCCTCAGCCTTTCCCAGAGCCCGCCTTGCCGATTCTCCGCAAGCCCGGCAGCAAGGGACTGAGTCTTCATTGGTGAATACATCCGGCACCGAGCAGGTGTTCAGATGCCATCGGCTCATGCTGCTTGTTAAGAAGGGACAGATTCCAGGACCGAGAAGGACCAGTGCTTTGCAGGTTATCGGATTCCAGTCGGGGCTAGAATTAACAGTAGAGTACGCAAACTATAAGGATGAGACCATAGCTGCCTGCCTTGCTTCAGCTACTTAACCTGTCTAGCTGAAGGGCAGATTGGGACCAGGTATGGATGGCGTGGCAAAATGTTCCGGGTCTGTCAATCAGCAGATATTTCCACTTCACTCGAGGCACAGCAGTGCTGCGGGGTAACAATCAGTCAGCCTTCTCGTGCGAGAGCGGGCCGGCCCTAAGGGCTGACTGCGTATATATCGGATTCTCAATGCATACACTTACGCGTAGACTCTGCAGGAGTGTGTGATCTCAACTAGCATTATGACTTGGTGTATTATTTCTTCATATTGTACATATTATCTGCTCAATAAAGAGGACCGTTACTTCCTCTCAACATCCTCCTCGCCCAAGGGTTCTCTTTGCCCATGAGACAAACGTCGATGAAGCCCCTTATACGCAGCCTTGAAATTGTCTCTCATTCCTATCACCTGGCCGTCGCTGCGGTACCTCTCTACGCCTTCAGCTAATTCCTCGAGCGTCTTATTTTGCAGCACCAAGCTCTCTCCTTCAGCACGCGGGTTCTGCATGGAGGGAATCCAGACCCAAGCAAAGAGCGCGCCCAGAGCCATGACGCCGCCGAAAACGAGGAAGACATATCCAAGGCTTGTACTTCCTGGCTTGGACACCTTTTCGTTTCTGGGGTTGCCGTCAAACTTCATAAAGGGCAAGATCACCTGCACGAGGACGGAGCCGAGCTTGCCGCTGGCTGCAGCGATTCCATGGGCCGTGGCTCTGTAACTGGTAGGGAAGAGTTCTGCTGGAATAATAAAGGTCAAAGTATTTGCTCCTGTTACCATCTCGTTAGTAGGTTGTAGCCATAAATAGTTATAACTTGAAGTTGCCAACATACCAAAGTTGAATAGAAAGTTGCAGAGAGCAACAAGGACGATTGTAGCAGGGAACTTTTCGGTGTACGCTACGGCCCGGAAGGTACCACCAGTGATAAACATAAGCATCGCAAGAGCAAGGAAAGAGTAGATGAGAAACTGCTTCCGGGGAATATAGTCGATAAGCCATATAACTAGTAAACTTCCCAGGAGAGAGGGAAGGCAGACGGTGAGAATGTTTCTTTTCGCATTCTCTAGTAGAGCTTCATAGATGCTGGGATTTGACAAGCCCGGGTTCCAGCTGCTGTGGTCATTAACATTCATGCCGGCAGTAGGTCGACTGGATGCCCAGACGTTGGCCAGGATCTGAGGGCTTCCAATTCCGAGTCCATAGAAGGCGCTTTTCGAAATATGGAATTAGCACAATGACAGGTGTCAGTAATCTTGGAGGATTCAACTTACACATCGAGAAGAAACCAGCAGGCAGATGTGCCGGCGAGGAGTCTCCAGTTTCCCTGATTCCAAAAGTAGTCCCTCATATCTGGCAAGGTGAGCTGAACAGGTAATGAGTCAACTCGGTGGAGGCGGGTCCCTGAAGCCGTGGCATTCTGCTGCAGTTCACGGAGATTTTCCCTGTACAGATTCTGTGTGTTCTCGACAGCTATTTGGCCTCTGTCTCTGACATCGAGGTCGTACAACCCTGGGTCCTTGATCTGGAAGCGGAAGTAGATAGCAACCACAGCTGGGATCGCCCCAACTCCAATAATCCACCGCCAGATACTGTCGACCTGGCTTTGACACCAGCGTGGATCTGGAGCTTTCTCCTCTGTACCCACGAGTATGCCCATGCACTTTGTCAGAGGATTCGTTCGGTTGTATCCAGCCAGAACGGCGAGCCCGACCAACTGTGCCACGAGTTGTCCTAGCGGCTGCATGAGAAACACTGCGCTCATCATCCGAGGACGGGCTTGGGTTGGTGCCCATCTTGAAGTAAAAGATTAGGCTCGGGCTTAATAAGATATAATGGCTTTTGAACTTACTCGGTGCAGATGGCGGCTGATAAAGGGTACTAATGATTTGCGTGAGCTATAATCACTGGAGTCTTATGCTATTGGTGACAAACCTCGCCGCCGATTCCTGAGTTACGGTTAGCAAGGAAGTCTCGAGAAAAGGGAAGGATTGGCGATTGGCTTCTTACCTATGCCCATGGCAAATCTCATGGCCACAATCCAAGCCACAATGTTAATCGAACCTACTCCTTGCGAAGCAGCACAGACTGTAATGGTAGTCACAATCACAATCAGTAACTCAATCCCATAGAGTCGCGTTCGTCCCAGGCCTGTTTCCCGTAGACTTGTCAGCTTATCACCTGGTGTGGTGCAAAGAAGAATGACTGACGGTCGGCTAAGTAACCAAAGAGAAGCTGTCCGACAAGCGCGCCAACCAGCGACATGATATTGATCAGGGACTCATTTTTATGATCATCATTGTCCGGCCAATACACAAAGGCTAGAGATGGAAGGATGACATTGGTGGCAAAGAGGTTGTATGAGTCCGTGAAGAAGCCAGAAGCACTGACTTCCCAAACGAGCCAATTGAAGGCGTTGGGCTCAAGATCAATAATCTGGCGGATATATGTTCTCTTTTCCGACCTCGTCTGGGTGTCGATGTACATTAGAACTAGCTGTAGTGAAACGTCATCGCCGGATTCTTACTTACTTCTAGGTCAGGCGGCAATTCGAGTTGGGATGTCATCGAGACTGTAGCACCGACCAAGCAAAATGTTGTGAACAATCACAGAATGAGTAAAGAAGATCGCCATCAATGGGAAATCAGATACTTGATAGCGCGTGTTGGGGTGTGGCACCCCTTTAAGGCGCAGTGGATGGTGGAAAGAGAGCAGTATCTGCTGACAAGGATTCTTTCAGCTCCTTCGCCTACTGTGCACGCGGGTGCAAGACCCTTATTGCGTCGTCCATTCAGTTCGGCAAGGCTGAATCGGCATCCCAAAGTGCACTATTGGGCGCATGCGCCCCCTGAAAGTGCCCGGTGGCAGTGGCATGGCCCTCCTCAGCCGCGTCCTCATTGGAACCGGGCGGGCAGCAAGTAACACGGGCGAGCGTCTGGCTTTAGCAATGGAGGACCAAAGCCGGAATGGCACTGCCTCTCTCGCCTCAAATGATCAATATTGGGGGGCGGGCAGGCTCGTGGGAAACAGAAGTGGTGACAGGGGTTCTTGTCTCACTGGGCGAATCAAGTGCCAACTTGGGCCCATGTGGAAATCCTGGAGTGTTGAATGGATCGGCGGCTAAATCTTGCTTATTAGCTTCAGAGCACATGGTCTGCCCCTCGCGACATTTGTGTGTATTGAGTCAGTCTCCCCCGGTTCTGGTTCCGCGCTTCGACCAGCGGAACTGCTCGTGGTATTTCCTGACGCCGCTGTTTCTGATCCGCACGGTGGCTAGTTACCTTCTACCACCTACCTACTACCTGCGTACGGACACACAGACCTCTCTGAGTTGGATCGGCAGAGTTCTGTCCTAAAGCATCATTCTCCATTGTATAGGATTAGCTAATTTCTTGTCCCTACTGGCCACGTTGGACTGGGATGAGACAAGGAAGCATTAGACTGCGCTGCCCAATATCATGACGTTGGCTGGGTTTGTTGGACTCGCAAAAGCCATAGACATATGCCATGATATCTGGGACGCCTTTGCCAACGAGCGCATCAATGCCCCGGCTCGTATCTATGCGCTCGTCACCACTATCGGGCACCTTCATGGTATTCTCAAGTTTCTAGACGAGAACTATCAAGACCAATACCCCCTGAAGAATCAGTTTCTAGAGACTCTTGGAGAATGTGAAGAGTTCATCGACAACTACCGCACCCTCAAAACTGCCCAGCCTAGCCCAAGAGACAACCCACTGGTGGATACTCTCCGTCATCCTTGGGATACCACATTGTATGGCCTCGATGGCGCTGAAAGGCGCGCCGAGGAACTGAGCCAAAAGTTGGTATCCCAACAACAAAACCTAACCATTTTCTTGCTGGCACAGTTCCTGTAAGCATAATTTTCTCTTTCTCTCTCCCTCTCTCTCTTATCCTCCATCTACGGCCCTTTCCCGTCCCCTTCGTCCCCTTCCCCTATATCCTCAAGAGATCCTGGAGCGCTCATACGCAAACCCCAAAGGAAAATTACGGTATCCAATCATGAGGGTGCTCCCCTGACCACAGGCACCCCATCGGAAACATCTTCAGAATATAGCAGTAAGGGAGCACCATTTGGCGTTTTGGAGAATCAAACGCCTTTTGAGATTTTCAGTCAAGGTAATCTCCCCCACGAACAAAAGCTCGCCAAGTTCCATGAATGCTTCCAGCTGCTCCGGAATCGATATGAGCGTGTCACTAGCAATGCGGCACAACATGGCAGAGCCCCTAACCTCACACGAATCCATGAAGAATACCGGGCACTGTGGTTGTTCCTTTGTAGTCATGTTGGGTTACCGAAAAACAAGCAACCTGCTATGCCTCCGATGGACAAACTATTTGCCAATCCATCCAGCGTTAGCAGCGATGTTCGCATTAATAGTGATAGAGCTATCCCGATAGCGCGTACTTGGTCCTCACCGATCCCGACGGAAGAAAGTATCAGCAAAAGCCCGTCAACGTTCCAGTTCCGGTCGAGTAGCACGGTACGGACCACGCCACAATCCACTGGTATACCGCACCCAGGGCCGGCACCATCAATCAGTTCAGCTGAGTCGATCATTCTGCCTGGCCCTGCCATGTTTCCAGAGGAACACGTTGCTTCAACGTTTGTCTCTCCCGCAAAGCCATAAACTGTTCTGACTGACAGATCTATAGATCGTTGACTCACTCAACTGGGACATTCACAGCACGCCTGGGGCACTGGACAGTTCAGAATGATGGTTCTCAGAAGATCATTACGTGGTATGGGATAGAACCTACAGGAGAATTAAGACATACAAGTAGGCACACATGTCATTTTTGCGATTTCTTGGAATATCACGCCTTTCTAACTCCTTCTAGTACCTCCTGGCATCTACCCCGTCTCGCTGCATTGCTCACAAAAACAGCCCCTTCATATGAGATTTTTAAATGACAAAATACACAACGTTATATGGGTAGACGAGGACGGCTTGCAACACCCCCAACAACTAACTCCTAAATACGACTTCACAACACGCGAGCGCTACGAACTCTTCCAGGGCGATGTTCGCGGAAAGAAACTACTAAAAACATACCATACTGACGCGATATTTTCCAACCGCCAACCTCAAAAACCGGGCGAGGCTCTTCTGGTCGTTCTCAAGATCTGGCAGGAGGAACGACCAGGTGAAAAGGAGTACTCCATCACCTATCTCCGAACGAGGGAGAGAAAATATGCCGATTTCCCACTTTCATCTTTCACTAGACCTGCAACTTTGGACAGTAGTAAGAATGCGGTCCGCCTTGAAGCTCGGTCCTACGCTGGTGCTTCCCGCCGGAAGTCGAGCTTCTTTAGAAAAGGCAAGTATATCAGGAATGTTTTGAAATCATCTAAAATTCTGACCCACCGAGGATCTAGAACGCCCAAAATTGGGATCCATGGACTCAAACTTTCCCTCCAGTCCAGTGGATGACCCTCTTCTCGGCGTCAAGTGGTTATTGATCCAGTTTAGTGGCCGAGCAGGTATTGAATATCCTGATTATTCAACCTCAGGGTTTGCTTAGCTAACACTTCTATCTGCCAGACGCAGAAGACTTCACGAAAGTCTTCAACGCAATGCAGCCTATGTCTACCAACTCCCCAAACCTCATACCCATATTCCGAACACCGTCGATGCAGTCAGTTGAGTCTTCAAGGTCTTCAAATTCAAGAAGACGTGTTTCCAGTACACCAATTGTCTCACCCTCCATTCTACCTGAGGAAGGTCCTCCGTCGAGGCTAACCGAGAGCCCATCGCCGAGGATACGGCCCCAGCCAGACAACATTTAATCGATGTACCTGTCCAAGAAAATTCAAAAATGTAATGATTTATAATTAGAACATACAAATAACACATTAACCGTTGCGACCTGTTAGGCATCATAATATCGGAAGGCACCGCGATTGATTTGAGATGGGCTTTCGTCTGTCTTGAAGGAAATATTTTGTTATTTACACGCCAGCTTGAATCTCATGTGGTCAGCTAATGACAAGAATCATACTATAGAAAATGTACACGTTGCTGGTGTCCAACACTAAAGAGTAAACTCCTGACTAACAAGACCCTTTCCGTTGAAAGAGTACAAAGAGAGGAAATGAGAACTGTCAATGGTATGTAGACCAGGCCAATGCGACCCAAGGCCAGACAAGACCTGAGCGGCAGACCATGATTCTCCGTTGTTGGTGCTGGTGATGATCTTCTGCTCGCCACCGTCGACATCAGGAAGCTCAGGCTTGGCCTCGTTGCTCATGAAGTTCACGACAATAGTGCCGCCAACATAGATGATCTGAGGAGCACCAGCTTCGTTGCCGCTGGTGGCAGCGTAGATCTGCCGGCGGCTTTCCCAGGTTGCACCGTCATTGGTAGATATCATGGCGTAGATGCCCATGTGTCCCGTTAGCTGGCTTTCGAAGACAACCCTGTAGATAGAGAAGTTAGCAACGAATCAATAAACTTGTCAAGAGATCACAGATTCTGCTTACATTAGCTGGTTGTTACCAATTTCAGCGACACCCATCATGCCGTCACGAGCTGTGACTGCAGAGCCAGTGACGGGGATAATTGAAGACCAGTCTTTGCCGCCGTTGGTGGACCTTTTCATGATATTATCCTGATCCCCATCATTGTTCTCGGCAGAATAGTAGGCTTGAATAGACCCGTCCTTGGCAATTCGCAAAAAGGGCTCCCACAGGCCGTTCTTTGGCGTGACCGCAGCCCGCTCATCAAGTTGGGAAAGGAAATCCCACTTATTACCACCATCAGTCGACTCGCAGATGGTGAGTCGATAGTAGGTCAGCTTTCCAGAGGCGTCCTTGTCGTGGTTTCGGAAGGCCATGAGCAGCCGGCCGTTGACATTGAGAGGAAAGGCGTTGCTCAAGTCGGTCTCAGAGGCAACTCTGTCTGTTACGATACCGAGGGGGGTCCACGACTTTCCGTTATTGGTGGACTGGGCTGAGCGAATGTAAGCTCGGCCGTTCTCGATGGTGGAGTAGCCAGCGATTAGAACGCCATCACGGAGGGTGACTCGCATATTGACGCCCCTAGAGTCGACTACGACCGGGTCAGCAACGGGCGTGACATCGCGTTTGTCAAGACCAGCGATGGGAACGACAGCGGCGTTGGTGAGAGTGCTTAGGGCGAGTGCTGCCGTGAAGAGGGATCGCAATAAACGGACCATTTTGACTGACGGTCCTTGGAAGGATTGGTAGCAAAATAAAAGAAGGCAACTTGTTGATACGTTAAATAGAAACGTCAGGGGGAACACATTTATATACCTGGATATCAAGACCGGAATAGAGCATCACTAGAAAAAGTCCGGTCCACTACCACACGACCTCCAAGTCTCACTCTTCAGTCAACAGTTGCCTTTCGTGGCATTTGCCCATGTCGGCCCTTGGAGGATCCGCTTCAAGGGGCAGCTCATCAGCCGCCTCAATCTCACCCGGATTTGTCAGATTTGCCCAGCCATCGTAGCCGGAGTTCCAGATATCAGACTACACGAGGCTTGGCGGTTACCAGCGCCGCATCACTGCAGAATGCACGGGCCGTGTTTGAGAATACGCGCCTATGAACATACGGCCGGCAGTGGCCTTGGAGGGAACGGCAATTGTGTGCCTGCAATCATGAATGGGTTTCGTCGGCTGATACTAAACCATTGCAACCTAGCGCTTACTTCTACACGTCACGTTCATGCAACCCACCATCAAGCTGGTACAAGCTAGCTGAGGATCTAAAGGCAAGACAAGGTGATTTTAGCCAACAAGCCTTCATGTACTGTAACTGGACAAGCTGGTAGAGGATCAAGCTCACGAACCCGTAATCTTGATAGAGGCCGAAGCCCTCAGTTACGAGAGTCGTTACTCAGACAAGTCAAGTTCTAATCATACCGCTACCGTAACAGGTAGTTTTCCAAAAGGTTTAGCAAGTTAGATCTGTTCTCGGATCTTTCTAGGAGATATAGCAAATCGACTTCGGGGAACTCCTCAGGCGCTCTGCCCTGAAGGCCATAAATATGATTGTAGTGTTTGCAAAAGACTGTAGCTCCCCTTCTTCTCCCCTCCCCACCATACGCTATTTATAGGTAAATCAATTCTAGAAAAACTACTAGGAGAAAATAATGACATTCATACATTTAGATTGTAAGTGGTAGGTTTTGTTTGGATAGCGCAGTTGGTGGCCCTTATTTCCGCCGTGACAACAGGTGATCCGCAATACGCAATACGCGTTTTCATGTTAAGAGATCAAGGAAGTTGTGCTGATGTCATAATTGTGACCATTGATGACATGAAGTGACGTGTTATTATCACAGTTCAAGACAAAAGAACCGTTTGTGACCGATTTCTGGCCGTATAATTCGAATAGACTGATTGATGAGTAGAGATCTAAAGGAATCTGAAGCAAGAGTTCGCATTGCCGCCGAAGAATAAGCCAAGACCTAATTTCGGAGTTCCGCACCCGAAAACACAGGAATAGCATTGGCTGTGGGCCTGCCCAGCCTTGATGCTCTACAGGGATCGCGATAATTCTTAAAAACTGCAGGTGTGATTTGAAACAAAAATGAAGAAATGAGGGCTCTCAAGGCTGTACCGCTAAGGTTTCACTTGCAACCTTCCAAACTGGGGACTGGTCACTTGGACCAAATTGCCATTTGGGGTTTCTGGTCGGCGATTCGTCGATAAATCCAACTATGGAACTATGAACCCTACTGTTAGACGAGATAAGTGTTAGAGAAACCCGAGTACGGTATGAATAGCAGACAGGCCTTAATTTGCTATCCCTTAGAAAGTACTTAATTTCCGTATGGCCAATCCTCGAAAAAGTTGGTCAGGCTTTGGCTAACCGAGCATGCTATGACAGTTCCATGATCCTCTCCCTGGTATTTGGTGATGGAGAGATTCTTCAGAGTACCACTCTTTTCTAGGCGAGAGTGTATAGCAAGTACATTGGTAATCATTTGTGCCGGATTGTATTTCTGCTTTCTCCCCTCGTACCACTCGTCCGGCTCATCCCTACGTCTTGTTGGGTCTTCCTCCTCACTTCCAAAAGAAAGCCAGAGGGACGGCGCGACTGTCCGATCATCCTTACCCTCGAGGAAGGCCTGCTCTTCTTGTAGGATGTACTTGTTGTGCCACCAGATGCTGGGGCTACTTGAAATAAAGGTATCGAACATAGTTGGCCGCGTGAAACAGAGGTGCAAAGAAAGGAGTCCGCCAAATGAGTGTCCGTAAATAGCCTCTCGCCCGGGACGAGCCCCGCGACGCTCCTTCAATCGATTGTGAACGAGTGGCCTGACGTGATCTCGAATCATGTCGGCGAACTCGTCGGCGCCACCTTCGTTTGGACCACAGCCAGGTGCGGGAGGGGTCAGGTCATGGACTCTTCGAGAATCCAAGAGCAACTTTGAATCTGGCTTGATATGAAAGCCTATAGACACAACGATGCTTTCCGGGAATGGGCCCGGTGATGCACAGAGACGCCGATGAAGGGCCTCGAGCGCAGTCAGGAACACAGAATTTCCATCTGTGAGATAACTGTAGGTTCATGTCAGTTGGTCTTGTCTTTACGTACTGTCGGCAAAAGAAAGAAATCCTCTTACCAGATGGGAACGGGAGCTTGATCTTGATCAACCTGCTTTAGACCTGGATTTGAGCCATCACCCCAAGTGCGAGGAAAGCCGATTTCGACCAGATATTCTTGGCCTGATGCGTTTCTGACTGACCAAGCCTCAGTTGAAGCCAGGTATGTTGACGAGGACCGAAGCGGTTGAGTCATGATTGTATCGAGAATGAATGGAAGGTTTGATTGAGGGAAGAATCCATCCATTTATTCGCGCAATGTCATTATTACTAGCGACCAGTGTCCAGTGATTATGTGGAGGGCATCCGCAGAAATATCTGATCTGATTAGATCCCTGCTTGCTATTGGCGCTAACAGCTCAACTCTGCATTAGTCCTGCTCGGATTCGTGGTATATTCGTATAAATTCGTCATTGTTGAGGCACTCTTTAGGTGCCCAGATATGTGCCGTTGGTCAGAGTCAAGCCTATGGTTGGTCATACATCGTGTAATCCTTGCTTGTAAGTCCATCTGAAGCCAGGAAGATTTGATAAGCCCCCTTAGCTTACTCTCAAGAAGACTTTCCATTCTGGCATTCGGGGCATTTGTGTGAGTTATACGTGTGGTTGAAGAATATTTGCGAGATCGCATTTTAAGAATGATATGCATCGAAACGATTTTCATAACGACTTCTAATTATAGCGCAGCTTATAAAATTCAATCTTGAGTCCATCGCGTTTCTTTTCTTGCTATGATTGAGTTCCCCTGATTGGACTGGTAACAATAGCTTTAATAATAGGTAAGTATCATTTTCATCAATAGGACGAAGAGATAGGAAACTTTCTGGGATACATATAGCGTCTCAACTTAATCTGCTAATATTTTATTAATCAAAATCAAGTTGGTTTATGCTAGTTGAAGCCTATGTAGGGTAGATGGTATCCATGAGGCTATTCATTATATTCCTTTATTAAGAGGAAAGAAGAACAACTGGATAGAAGACAGTTCGAGATTTTCTGCCATTTAGAGAAGCGATTTATTGAGCAGAATGATGAGCGATGTAATTCTTAGGAGAGCTGTAGGATGATTATTGTGTAGAAGGTGGGGATATCTAAGGGCAGGGCTCACCTTGAACACCAATTGTCCACTCCCAGATCCTAGTAATGGAGCAGTCGGCGGACTCGAACAGCATTTTCACATGCCAGCAAGCTCTGACGAATTATGACGTGAGTTGAATGACCCCTCTATGAGGATGTTGGTGCGGCGCGGGGGTGAGTGGCAAATGTGCCGTGACCGTATCGTAGTATTGTCCTTGGTCTCCTCAACTTTCCCCAATTCCCCAAGGGAACCTATTTATTTGCTCTGTTTATATGAAGCGGTTGGCGTGAATTGTTCCGCCTCAGTTCAGGACCATTGATCTATATCCTACGATGGAATCCCAGGCAAAGGCACATTCTGAGGCGAGTGAGTACTGTCTTCACTTTCTAATACATCGTTAAATACCTAACTCTCCCTGAGCCCAGAAGCTTGATAGTCGGGCAGAGCATCTCCAAGAAATGTATGGAAGGGCACCACATCGAGATCTCCTCAACCATCAGTTGGACGTATGTATTTAGGTGGTTCTTCCAAGAACCCTCCTAATCATCTTTCCATCTCATCCCGGTACGTATTAATTGCATATAGGAAAGAAGGTATTTTGATTCCGGTGATTTTGCTCTTTCGCAGGCTCGGAGGGACTCCGATATTGGAAAAATCAAGACTGGGACCCAACACCCACAACGGGAGAGTATATCTCACCCAAGAGCTCCTAATCCAAGCTCTAGTAACGTCGACGAGAGAGCAAGCAAGGACCGGCAAGATCGGAAGAATAGCACTGAGGTACCGAATCAAAGCCACCTTCGCGAAATGGCGGAGTCGGAGAATGGGAAGTCGTAGTATTGGACGGGTGACACAAGTATATCTATTTCAAAACAGTATTATCTTTCAGAAAGAGTCTACCAGATCTCACCATCAATTAAATAATCATGTCTAAGACAAAGTAGTGCTATTATTCGGCCTAGAACCTTCACGAGAGCCTCATATATCGGCCTAGCTAAGTTACGCCTAGCAAGACCTGTCCCTCAAATTGATAACTTTGACCTGCTCTATGACTAGCAGCTGCTTCAAGATTAAATTACTGTTGGACAAGGGTAATGAGTATGGAGATAGACGCTGCAACAACTTGCGCAAATGCAAGGCCAATCCCCCAATCTCCATCTCCCAACCCCCAGAGGACGAGGCCAAGCCAAATGGCGGCAATTCCCAACCAAACACATGAGAATCTGAATGGTAATTCTATCAGTCGATCTGTCTGCCATCCTAGCACGAAGCGTAAGCCTGTCAACCCAACTGTTTCCCGGAATGATTCATACGAAAGAGGTAATGTGACTTTGTTCTCGCCCCTAATTAGGTCAGAATATGATCGTTCCTGCAATGAGGGGGGGGGATGGAAAGAGAAGAATTGATGAATACCTTGTATCGTAAATACAACTCTCTGAAGCTATACCTTCCAATGTACGCAGTCCATTGGCCCTCGCTGGGTGCCGGGCACAGTCCTTTAGGCGCGACAGCAATATAAGCCTCTTGCGGCGGTGTTCCGCTTTCTCTGCCTCTACGCCGATACACGGCTGGTTCCAATCACACATCCCGATGCGACATTTCTCACTGTGATAATCACCATCGCATCGCTCGTCCCATTCAAAGTATGGGTCGGTTGGATGCCTTGCTATAATCGTCTTGCACTTCTCTATGACCTTCTCAATTCCAATTGATTCCATCCGGATAGGATAATGCCCATCCGATTCAACAACACCAGCAAATTGAAACTGTATGTTCAGCATCAGGTCTGTCCACCCACATGATAGGGAAAATCTTACCTTGACCTCTAGCACTTCAGTTATTCCGTAGTAGGGCAGCCATTTTTTCCAAGGGCCCAGATGCTGGTAGCATGTGTCCGTCAATCTCTGATAGATATCACTATCTGACTCACAGGCACTATCCCAAGGTATCATCTTTTCATAGATGGGTTTCGGATTGTCAGAAAAGACATCAGATTGCCCTTTCACCCGGCGGGCCTTCGTTGGTCGAAGACAAGGCACAAGAACAGCGTATTGTCCATATGACTCTCTAGACAGAGGAAACAGCTCTGCCCCGCTCGATCTCGAAGGTTAGGCACATCTTTAACGACAGGCGAAGCAGTGCCCAGGCTGACGACAGGCTGGCGCTCAATATCGTGCATCTGAATGTGAGAAGGCATTTTAAAGTAATGTAGCAGAATACTAGCTTGAAATGAACGTGGATTGAACAGGGTTGTTATGATGATGAGGATGAACCCCGCTTGATGCCCGAAGAAAAGAGTCGCATGACTATTGTGGCTGAGGATGCATCGTGGCTATGTAGTCGAACCCCCCTCCTATCCAAAGAAAGGACCAGTCACAATCAGCTGCAGCTTCTCTGCAGTCGCCCGCCACAAGTCATCGCCCCGGGACTTTGGCGTTGAAAGTTTTGACCTGCACCCTGAACTTAAGTAGATGTAGACCTGTTTGCATTTTCGAAGTGAAGGTAAAATATGGCCGTTCATGGGTTTGATTTCGACCGAGGAAAACTAAATAGGTTTGACAATTAATCTGTGAAAATTTGAAAGGAATTTTATTTGCGTTATTGCCATTATTGAAGGTCAGGTTTGGTATTTCAATTCACATATCAGGGGATCGGAACGCATGGTTCACGCAAAGATACTGTAAGTCAACTGTGCAAGACAAGCTACGACGCCAAGACTAGACCTCCCTAACACGATATTTTCCGTCCTCTTCGTACGCGTTAACGTGATATTCTTTGAACCTTCGTGTCGGCAGTTTTGCCTCAAACATGATATCAAGTTCTTCATAGCTTCGCCCCTTGGTCTCGGGTTGGCGGAAAAAGGCCCAAACCACTGTGAGGAACGCAAAGGCGAACCAGAAAAAGCCGGTCTTGCCTAACAGCTGGGATTAGCTATGTTGAAAGAATCGAAAGTAACAGCAATGCTTACCCTTCCAATTCCAAGCGCTGGGGTTCATCATGTATGGCTGGATAACATTGGCTACGATCTGAGCAACGTAATAGGCTGTTCTCGCCAGAACAACAGTCTTTGAGCGCAGACGGGTCGAGGAAACCTCGGCAGGGATCGCCCAGCCAACAGGCCCCACGGTGAGCGAGAAGGTTAGGAGCCAGACGATGCACAGCGCAGACTGAACCCACTTGACTGAGGAATTATGGGTGTCAATGGCCAAACAGCCGATGATGAGGAGCCAGAGACTCATGGCAGACATGCCAGTCATATACAGGGTCCGCCTCCCAAAGTGTCGCATTAGAATCCACGATACAATTGTGCCACAGAAGGCGATACCTGTGCCTCCCACGTTTAAATTATAAGCCGTCTCGGAGTCCAGACCCGCCTGTTGAAAGAAGTATGTTGCAGAATATGCGAACTGCGCACCGCAGGTAATCTGACCGAGAAAGGAGACGCAGGCAATCTCCGTACGCCGTAGATCGACTCCCTTGAAACAATCCAGGTAGGAAGTGCCCTCGGCCATGTTGCGCTCGGTCTCGTTGGTGTGAATCATCAGAGCAACTAGAGGTTTCGCCTGGGGTTGTTCATGTTTCGCCATGAGTCGGAGTGTGCTTTTTTCTGCTGCTGCAAACTTGCCGCTCCTTACGAGGTACCAGGGCGACTCGGGCATAAAGAATGAGCCAACAGCTAGGATAGGTATCCAGAGCCATTGCAGAGCAAAAGGAATGCGCCAGGACCAGTCGTCTTGGCGGCTGATGAAGCTTTTGAGGACACCGGCGCCTATGAGTTGGCCTGTGGCGAAGCACATATTAGTGTAAGCCGTGAGATACGCCCGCAACGAAAGAGGGCACAGCTCGGAAGCATAGGCAGGGCCAATGGTAGCAAATATGCCCCAGGGAATTCTGCAGGAGCCATGGTCAGCAAGAATAATCTTGTCTTGGATTGAAGACTAGCAAACCCTTACCCGCATAAAATCTGACCAACGGCTTGGAGTTCGATGGACATGCCAAACACAGAAATAAAGACAAAGCTCGCCATCAGCAAGACGCCAAGTATAAAGGCTGGTCGGTAACCGAAACGTTGGATGACGAAGCCATTCAATATGGCTCCCACGATGGCACCAGCTTGAGGTCCGCTTCCCATGGCGCTCTGCCACTTGGCCTCGATTTGATAGGTGTCTGTTGCTTCATTGATTTCTCCGAATCGGCCGGCGTAGGCTGGATAGGCATACAGAGAGCCAATGAGGATGGTATCGTAACCTTCCATAATGATGGACATGGACACAACAAGAGACCAGAAGATGGCCCCAGGATAAGATTTGATGGCCTGCCTCACGGTCAAGGAGTGCTCGTGCTCATTTGCCGCCTTGGCATCGTCCATTGTCGCTGTCCAAGAACCCTGCTTCCAGGTCACCTGTTCTTGACCGAAGTTCGTGTCAGAATGCCCGGCTTTCTCATCGTGTTCGGCTGCTAAGCTTATGGATCCATTCTTTGGAGCCGCCATTGCAACAGCGTTGACGTAGAACAAGACTCTCAATCGTTATTATATGGGGTTTGGCGGAAATGGACTGACGTGCAGCTTCTGTTGAAGTCAGTGCTGGGCCAGGAGTGAAAATGTGTTTCACTTTTAACTTTTGCGTTCTTAAGCTCGTATTCCTCCAAGATCTTAGGACAAGGGCGACTCATTTTAAGTCGGCGCGAGAAGCCTAGACTGACGGCCTGTTCTCAGCCGCAGTCATGGCCATGCAATGTTGTCCGGGGTAAACAAGAGGGGAAGCATGTATCAATCTTCGCCCTTGGCGTACAGCATTACCTAGTTTGCGCCTAATAAAGTGAAAGAGACCGGCTTATCACCCGATCCCACGGTCTCATTTTGCGGGGGCGGGTACCGGACTGATAATGTGGAGGAGGAGGAGGAGGAGGAGGGGGGCAATGCACAATCCACCCCCACAACATATTTCCGGATGATGCCTCCACTGATCATCAGTCCTGGTTGCAACGTCAAAGAGGAGGCACGGAGAACATCGCCCTTCGTGTATGACCGGAAGGATAGCACTTGAGTTCCGCTTCGGCATAAGTATACTCTGCCATACATTCTTCTTGCAAGCAAGTTCCCTTCCAGTCTCATCGCTCAACCATGTCTCAGTCTCACCCCAAGATGGAGTCTCCCTCACCTTTCCGTTGGTCTACTGATGCTTTTAACATCGACTTTGCTTTTGACACGAAAAACGTGATTTCCATACGCCGTATCGCACCGAAAGGGAAGAACTTAGAACAGGGAGCAACGCCAATCCCTTCATCCGATGTCCCTCTAATAAATGTTAAGCTGGTTGGTGAAGGTAACACTGGCAACAAGACATCAAAATCTTTGATAGGAAGCTACCTTTCTGCCCGGCTGCGGTACAAAAGTCATGAAACTCACGTCGAGGGCTCTGAGCAAACCCTTGTTATTGAGACTGCGGACAACGTGACGAAAGTTCACATTTCGGTGCGCCTCGTTGTTTACGGCAGTATCCCTGTACTTCGATCGTCAGCCACCATTACGAATCAATCTGATGACGCTACGATTTGCGTCACACAACTCTCGTCGTTGTCCCTGGGTAACTTGGTACCTGTCAGGGACTGGCATGAAGAGTACACCCTCCATACGGCCACTAACTCCTGGTTCAGAGAGGCCCAGTGGTCAAGCCATACACTGCCCGAGCTCGGCATTGACTTGAACGGAATCTGTGAGCTTCCTGATGGGCATACAAGCTCTCAGGCTAGCTTTAGTCTCCAAAATCTAGGCTCATTCTCCACTGGAACCCATCTGCCGATGGGAATACTGAAATCCAAGCACGATAAGGATACTTGGCTGTGGCAAGTCGAGCATAACGGTTCCTGGAGGTGGGAGATTGGCGACTATAAAGACAACCTCTACCTTGTGGCAGGCGGGCCAATTGGAGTCGACCATGACTGGAAGCTGGTCCTCGGCCCCAAGCAGAGCTTCACCACTGCCAAAGTGGCCGTAGCGCGAGTTTTTGGTGGCATAGAAGATGCCTTTGCCGCGATCACAAGCTATAGGCGCCGTATTAGAAGGCACCACGCTGACAATGACCGACTGCCTATTATCTTCAACGATTATATGAACTGCCTGATGGGCAACCCGGATGAAGAAAAGATAAAGGCTTTGATTGACCCAGTTGTGAGGTCTGGCGCCGAGTACTTTGTGATTGATGCTGGCTGGTATGCGGATGACAGCAACTGGTGGGATGATGTCGGCTTGTGGGAACCTTCACTGAAACGGTTCCCCTCAGGCTTCAAAGCGCTTTTGGATGAAATTAGATCCAAGGGTCTAATTCCAGGGGTTTGGCTCGAGCCTGAAGTTGTCGGTGTTCGCAGCGTCGTTGGCGAACGGCTGCCGCGAGAGGCCTTCTTCCACGAGAATGGGCAGCGGATCGTCGAGAAAGGCAGATTTCAACTAGACTATCGATGTGAACAAGTGCGCACCTGGATGGACCAAGTCGTGCATCGGCTGGTCATCGACTATGGCGTTGGCTATTTCAAATTTGATTACAACATCGAGGTTGTGCAGGGAACTGATGTTCACGGGCCGTCATCCGCAGGAGTCGCGCATCTGGAACACCAGCGGGCATACCTCTCGTGGGTTGAGTCTCTCTTCGATCGCTATCCGGATCTGGTGATTGAAAGTTGCTCGAGCGGCGCACAACGTCTGGACTATGCCATGCTGTCTATACATCCTTTACAATCAACAAGTGACCAACAAGATCCTAGTCTTTACGCCGCTATTGCTGCAGCTATCCCGACTGCTGTAACACCAGAACAGAGTGCATCATGGGCCTATCCACAACCTGAATGGTCTGATGAGATCAATGCGCTAACGGTTATCAACAGTCTTATGGGGAGGGTGTATTTGAGTGGTCGCCTTGACAAGTTGAGTGAAGAGCAGCTTCAACTTGTCATCGATGGCATGAACGTGTACAAATCCATACGCCAGGATCTGCGGGATTCCCAAGCCGCCTGGCCCCTGGGCTTGCCTGGCTGGCATGATGAATGGCTTGCTCTTGGGCTTGTCGCAACTTCTGGTTCGATGTACCTGGCAGTTTGGCGCAGGGGCGGAGCAACGAAGATGGATATTCCCATCCATCAACAGTTTGCCAGTGGAAAAGACGGACATGTGGAAGTTCTTTACCCAAAGAAAATGAACGGCAGGGCCAACTTGAACAAGGGAGTGTTAAGAGTAGAGCTGCCTGACGTGGTTTGCGCCAGATTGCTTTTGATCAGTAACTGAGCTGAAAATGATGAGCTTAATTGGAATAGATGTGCAGTTCAAGTCTCTTATTTCCATAGACTGACTAACGAATAATTCCATCTGGATCCACATGCTGCCTCTTGTATAGTAGAAAATGGGATTGCAATTTTGTAACCTCAACTTATCCAGGGGCTATTGCAGTAAGTGACTTGAGAACAGAAGCGTACGCTCCAGATAGAGACCAAACTTTTGGCGCTTGCAAAAGTATCGTTGCACCTTCGTGCAAGATCTGCAGCGACCCTTCCGGGGAGCACAAGTCGTCTATACCCTCGAGATGAACGCGCATCCCTTCACCCGATCGAATAAAGTGCTGTACAAGTTCATCGTCCATGGGGCGATCAACCTGAATTATACGGGGCATTCGCCTTCTGTTGCCTGCATCTTGCTGTTGCGAGCTCGAGCCCTCTAACCCTCCTGGCAAGACGTGTTGCCGAAATTCGAGCTCTCCCGACATGTTGAGCTGAGAATTGGAATTAACCATCTCCGAGGCAGTCCCAAATGTCCAGAGAACTAAAGAAGCAAGGAAGATTGTATAAGGATCCGCAAATGATCCAGAGCAGTATCGTCTAGTATGCCAAAATACGGCCCCGGCGTGTATAATGGCCAGTCGAGCTTTGTAGCGATCTTGACAGAACCAGGTAAGCATAGTTCTGCGCCAGGATGCCTCGTTCCTTGGATAGCAATACAATGTGTGCGGGAGCAGTTGCGCCTTGGATGCTTGTGTGACTTCTGTGACATGTTCAAGTAGCTCTCGCACTGGGGCCAGGATCACAAGCCTTGCCAAATGTAGATGAAGAAAGATCGGGCCTTCCAGGCCGCCAGCCTTGATCGAGGCGCTCAAAGCCTCCCAATGTAAAAGGTCTAGTGAATCACAGATCTGATTGCGCCACCGCATATACTCAGGAATAGCGCCGCAATACTGCGACTTTTGGCCAGTCAAAGGAAACAAGTCCGTGATGTAATTAACCATAGTCCAGCGCTTGCGTAGCAAGCCAAAAAGGAGAATAAGGGTGGCAAAGAAGGGCGCTCCAGACGGCGGGGGTTCGCCGCGCCATAGCCTTTGCGTCAGATCAACTGCCATGTCTCGTGATACTTCCTCACTGATCATTGCGACTCCAGAGTTCTCCTTGATCGACTGGGAGTTTCGAAGGCACCACTTCTGAACGGTTTCGGCCTGCCACAGTCTTTCGCAGCAGGGTATTCGTAGCTTTAACGCATGAGGGGGTAGGGTTGGTTGGTTCTCAGACATAAAGGCGAGGTAACAATCAGTGAGCTAGAGGAAAGTAAATCAGCCAATCTACTTCCACGAGACGCACGTCTACTCTACTTACCCATATGAAGAATCCAGTCCTTCGACGTGTTTCCCGAAATCGCCACGCTATCCAGGTCCTATCCAGGTTTTGTCCCTCTTCGTAGGCCCCAATGTGGTCATCCTCGCTCAAAATACGTAGCTGCTGGCAGGAATTCGTAACAAGAGCCCACGCGGCGATGCCAGCTCTAAGGACGTCAGGTTGTTGGCTCTGGCACATACCAGAAGCCGCCAAGGCCCGCGCCTGTAGATATGGCAGTGAATCTTGAGCCTTTTGGAAGTGTAGCTAGAACCGATGAGTGTGACTGATCTCCCTGTTGAAGAAGGGGCACCTACCTCGCCTAGAAGCAAGTTGTGGAGTGCATGGCAGAGCTCTTCGCTTAGTTGAGTGAGCGGTGTTAGGCCAAGGTACCGAGCACCAGTGGCAGCCACGGCCAGAGTCAGACTCCAGCCCCATACAGGCATAGAAAGAAAAGACCAGTCGATGAACGAATAGATCTCATGAAAAGACTCGAAGTAGGACTTCACAAACAGGCTCAATGATGACTTGTTGAGCAGTAAAGATTTGTAATTAAGAAACGAATCCGAAAGTGCTTCACTCCCTGGCTGGGGGTACAGCCTCAAAAGAATCTCCTGGAATATGTCCTCTGGTATGATGAAGCGAGAATCAGGGTCGCGCTCATTCTCCTCAGCCTTTATAGAGAGGGTTATAAGCCATGACTCCTGTCCGTCTTCAGCAGTTGGCGATGTCTCGACTGTGTTAGCTACATGGCGACGTCGGAAGCAGCGATCAGCTTGACTTGACCTGAATCCAGCTCCGTTGGAGTAAAGATTGTTAAGTCTGTCTAAGGACGAAGTAGCTTCCAAGGCATACGAGTCATTGTTCTCAGTCCATCGCTGCTGGATACCACCCATGGATTGGATCAAATCAGAGAGATGATTATGGTGCGATGTGAAGTTGTTATCTGCACTCAGACGCTCCGAATGATGTTGTGATGATGCAGTCTGGCCGCGCCCTTCTCCTAGCGGCACCGCTGAAGCCTCTGTCAAATACATTGGTGGTGTAAGGTCAAGTCCACTCAGTAGTGGATAGTCGGTGAGAGAATCATCGAATGGTAGCCAATTCATTGCTAATGGTTGCTCAAGCGGTACGGACGGCGTGGGCGTTCCGTCCTCATCCCTCGCTCCTGTGACCGTGATTAGGTTATTGGGAGGTTGCCAATAGTCCATTGCCGCTGATGCCATGCTGCGTGTGTCCTCAGAGGATTCGCCATGGTCGGTGTCAGGAAAGGTCTGGACTCGTATTGATTGTCGTCCCTTAGGCTTGCGAGGCATGTAGATACACTTGAAGTTCTTGATGGCGCAATTGGAACAGGGCGTTCCACCTGTGCACTTTATCCGCGCTTTCGCACATGCCGAGCAGCTCTTGCAGAACCTGCCGCTTGACTGCAGGCGAATTTCTGTTGTATGAGTCTGTTCATGGCGCTTTGCCGAATCCCTCAACACAAGATTTCAGCTTAAGCATAAGAGGGTGTCACTGAATGCTCACCTACGGCCGAAAGATTTACCGCAAAAGGTGCAGGAAATGGCCTTTTCTTTGAGGTGTATGCGACTATGTCGCGTGAGATGATCGACTCTTGAAAATTCCTTTTGACACTGCCGGCATCTGATCGTAGGTGTGTGATCATCCACACCGGATGCGCCTGTGTCTATTGAATTTGCCATTCGTTCTCAGAGAACTTTGAAAAGCTGTCAAGCGTCAATCGCAAATCGTATGCCTTGAAAAAATGAAGAAACAAGGTGAGCTGAAGTCGAGCCGAGTCGAGCATGTCAGGAGGAAAACAGGCATGGGCGCCCTCAAAGGATAAACGCCCAGGGTCTGACAAACCTGGGGTAATTCCCTCGAGCCGCACCAGTCACGGCTCTTCACCTTGGGAGGGATCTGGGCCATTGTGGAGAATAATCATGTGGTCAGTCTACATCCTGGTTTCTTCTTTCAATAGTCTCTCCACACGTTGACATAAGACGAACAGAGGCTAACTTGACTGGTTCATCTGATTGCTTACTACGATCTTAATTGTTGTAGACCCTGCTGTTTGATCGAAACATTTTGAAAATCAACTACCTTTCATTCTACGGACAAGAATTCTCGCATCATGGAGCAATTATATTAAGAAAGAATGAAGGGGCTAAGCAGGCACCACCACTTTAAAAACTTGTAGCGGTCAGAATAATGATGGCAATTAGGCAGTTCGTTAGATTCTAGCTATTCTGCGAGAGTTGTAAATCACAAAGATAGAAGCTGCGTTCGTACTTGAGACATCTGTTCCAAGTCCTCCTATCGTTGTAGATAGTCAACATCGCACTCCTGCGTTCTCAAAAACTACTAGTGAGATGACTCGCGATAGAATCGATGTTTATGCGAGAATGATCTCGTAAGCAAAAGCCGTAGAGTTTGTTGGTGGATCATGGGGGATGGTGAACTGAACGAATTTATTAGCGGTTTCGTTTCTTACTTTGTGAAGAGCAGTCTTACCTCGTTGCCAGAGTATTGGTAGATATACGTTCCGACATCTAGCTTATCGTGAATATAAACATCCTTTCCAGCCCAATCGAATTGGTACCTTTGGACGGTGACGGAGCCCGCAGCTGGAAGTCCGAGTTGATCCAGTCCTGTAACCTTGATATCATAACGGGCCTGGACAGTCCTAGTGCCCGCAAGAATCTTGAGACGATCAGAGGTTTTAACGGCAAACGCGTCAAACTTGAGATCAGCAGCTGCCGACGTGACAACGCGCTCTCCCTCCATATTTCCGTAGTACTTGTACAACTGCCACTCTCCATTGGGGAAATAGCCATTTCCATTATCCCAGATCAAATAGCCCATGTAGTTATGAAGTGTAGGACCTCCACCCCAGTTGGCGCGCAAGCCACGAATGTCGTGACGCTCGAGCTGGGCGAGATAGTACGCCGAGTTGGCAGGGTTCTGTTCGTCGGGCCACGCGTACTCGTTGACGTCGATCGGTCTCTCCGGGAGGTTGTACTCGGCAAGAAGGCTTTTGAGGGCTGGGACAGTCGTATCAGGCTCTCTCTCCCAAGCACCAATTTGGTGCCAGGAGTAGATATCGGGCACAGCGTTGCCTGCCTTTACGCCGGAGAGCCAAGCGCGCCAGTTCTCACTGTCTACATGTGGCGAGTGCGCCGAGGATGGGCCACTGATTTTGACCTCGGGATATTCGGCTCTAAACATGGTATTAGTCTTATACACAACCTTGATAGACACCTTTAACCGGGAGCCATCATCGGTTTGCTTACCTTAGAAGTTGAGTAGCGCGTACAAAGTATTCAACATACTGAGACCACGGACGATCCCAGAAAGTATCAAGATCAGGTTCATTCCACAGGTCAAACACCACGCCGTCAATCATGTTATGCTCTTTGACGTCAGCGATGATTTGACGTAGGAACTTCTCCATCTCGGACCAATCTCCATTATCGCCAGGAAAAGGGAAACCTGCGGGGGCACCGCCCTGGGCACCCCAAAGATCAGACGGCATCAGTAGGTATCCATCTCCACCATAGTTGATGGTGGAACGGTAGTTAGACAGCATGGACGCGAATCGGCCCCGATACTGTTCCAACCCCCCAGTGGCCCATCCCTCATAGGAAATCTGTGACCCCCCGCCACGGCAGGTCCGAAACTTGATGTCTTTGAGAAAATGCTCCGGAATTGAGGTGTCGGCACTGTCATTGTTGTCCGGGAAGCCGTAGATGAAGCCGGAGCCGAGAAACTTGGTCTCGCCCTGCCTCTGAGCTAAGTTGACAACGGCGGTGCCCGCAACATCCCTCTGTACAATGTCGGCTGGGTGGGCAACTACTGACTTCCCAAAAGAGATGGCGATGGCAGACAAGACTGAGACCTTCATGATGAAAGGCACTATTCTTTGAACAAAGGTGTAGAAGGGCAGGCTTTGATTGTGCAGAGTAGTGAGGAGAAAATGTACTTGCTAGCAGGGTGTCGTCCAGTATTTATCCTCCAAAAATTACACGCTGCTCTTTGATATCAAGGAGTATATGGGACTGGCTCATTTCGGTACTGTATTCCAACCTGTGGTCGGCGTCACCCCGACGGTGGACCACTACCCCGGCCAGGCAGTTTAATCACATCCTTGCTACTCCCGTGCCTGTGAAAGAGTAGTGACATGGTTACGAGTTTCCTCTAAGTTTACCCGCGAGATTGAATCAAAGGTCACGCTGATCATTTTGCCTGAAATCTAGAGTGACAGAATGCAGTATCCTCACCAATAGACTCAAGAGGAATCGGAGAAATTCCCCACGGGGATGTCAACCCCGGGCGCGAAACAAGTTTAACTGGCCGTCTATGGGGTGCAAGTGCGACTATTTGTCCCAAGTGGCATAACAGGGTCATATAGATCTCCCCCCACCCCCGCAGCGAAACTCCGGTGGGGTAGATCGTGTGAGCAAAGTAATTTTCAGCAACTACCGGTAGATTGTTCCCCTGGCACCCTTGAAGCTAGTGCCATAATTAAACCGCCGGGAACTAACAAGTGTTGATGCCGGAAAGCTTCAGCCTCTGTTGGGCTCGTTTTAACCTACATATGGCCACCTTGTCCCGGTAGAAGCATGGGATAGGTTCAAACGCACCTTACCCAATCATGTGTGCTAGGCGAGCAGCGAGCAATGTCCTTCGGAAAATCATATTGCTTCTAGAGTATCCATATGGCATCTGCGAATTGATGATTCTTGTTAGATAGAGCCAGCGAGATGAATTGAACTCTTCAATTGCCACTACGAGACCCCTATATCGCTTGTGTGACTACAAACGGCACTTTTATGGAAGATTCTCCAAAATTACTCGTAACATGGACGCATTTATGCGATGATATAACCACTACTTATGGGCAACCTTCCGCTGAATGGGAGCAGTCCATTGATCTAGATGTATGCACCTAATCAACTACCGCACTACAAGGCAGTAAGTAACCTTATGGATCTAAAGCATCCCAACATGTATCCAAACCAGCACTAACGTACACGATACAAAGTGCGATGTAAACGCGGCCTTTGCATACTTGAGGTGCTGGGGGTGAGCTATAGGGTAGGCCAATCCTACTAACACGGGTGATGATATTTGATGTGACTCCCACTCACATTAACGTCCTCTGTTTCATTGTGCCTTTGCACGGGTTCCCTCTCTATGTAAATTTCTGGCTGCCGGCATCTCATTAAAATGTAAAGCATTATGTATGAAACCGACAAAAGTGTGCACATTGTTATCCAGATATTGATCCTTGGTTTTACGATTGGTCCAATGGGTGCTTACTAAAGGTTACATTTAGCAGCAACCCTCTTTATATAAACGACTGCCATATACCTCCGTTCCAAAATCTTACATATCTATTCTAAATCTCAATCGATTTGTGCCAAGATCACTTGGATCGACTAACAGCTCTCGGTCGACGCGATGGTAGCTATAACGTTCATAGTCGCGATGGGGGTCGCTGCTTATCTTTGCCTCCGACTTCTATTAAATCTAACGCACGATAAAGACGAGCCGCCAGTAGTCGGGACCACCCTGCCTTTTATCAGTTCGCTAGTCGACTTGGGATGGAAAGGGCTGGAGTATTGGAGTCTTAAAGGGTGAGTCGCCACTAGCAGACTTACCTCATCGTTCCATGCTGAGATTTCGTCAATTTATTGAAGATCCTCTCTTCCCATTTATACCATGCGACTGCCTGGAGCAAGAATCTACGTTGTCAATGAAGCGTCTCTGATTCCTGTTGTGCAAAAGCGTATCAGGTCCCTGTCATTCTCGCCCATCTTGGTTGAAATGTCTGCTCGTGTTGTTGGCGTCACTCGAAAGACATGGGATATCATCAATAGAGACTTTATGAACGACGACAGTCTTATTTCTGGTATGCACACGATTACACACCAGGCCATGAGTCCAGGTCCTAAACTCGACCTTTTGACCAGGAATGCAACGAGATTCATCCAAAAGCACCTAGACGATTATGCCAGTCAACGCAATGTCACAATAAGTTTGAAGGCCTGGGTCGATCACCAGGTTATCATGTCAACAACCGATTGCTTCTACGGAGCGCACAACCCTTTCCGTGGTCCTAATGTTGAGGCCCTCTGGCAGTATGTTGGCCCAAATATGTCCCGGTGCCAAAATCTATACTGATAATAGAAGTGATTATGAAACAGGGATTGTGCCACTCTTGATAAGTATATTTCCGTCAATAACAGCAGCAAAGCACGTTCGAGCGCGCAGAATTCTGGTCGAAGCCTTTGAGTCGTACTTTACCCACATCCGCCAAGCTGATACCTGCGATGCATCGGCATTAATCACCGAACGATTTGAACTGTATCAGCAGAACGGTATTCCAATACCGGATATTGCCCGCATCGAAGTTGGACAAGCCTTAGGGCTTATAAGCAATATGAAACCCGCTGCGTTTTGGTTGCTCTATCACGTATTTTCCGACAAAATAGTTCTTCAGGACTGTAGAGCGGAACTTTCTAGGATCTGCACTGAAAAGAATGCAATTTGCACCATCAACATCAGAAACCTGTCGCAGTCGTGCCCTGTTCTTGCGTCAACGTTCCAGGAGGTACTACGTTTTCACGGAACCGGAGTATCGCCACGCATGGTGGTTGAAGACGAACGTCTCAATGGCCAATACCTCTTGAAAAAGGGAGCCGTCGTGCTGATACCTGCCTGGGTTCAACACCGCGACAGGGGTAATTGGGGAGATGAAGCTGATGTATTCAATCATAAGCGGTTCGTGAGAGAGCCATGCAAGAAACGAAGCCACAACCCCGCCGCCTTTCGAGGATTCGGGGGTGGTGCAACGCTCTGTCCAGGCCGCCATTTCGCGACAGCAGAAGTTGTGACCCTGGCCGCACTCGTTATTCACCGATTTGACATGGACCCCGTGGAGGGGAGATGGACATACCCAAAGGCGACCAGCTCTAAACCTGGCATTGCTGTCCACCAGCCAGACGGGGATCTACGCTTGACACTTTCTCGTCGTTGTCAGAAAGAGTGGGCAGTGCAAGCCTAGGACGGGTCGGATGTCGAGTTGGATGGTCAGACATCATGTTCCTTCGGTCCCTCTCCGAAGGAATGCATGAGGGATTCTCACTTTGTCATGGGCTGTGGGGAATACTTTTCTAAATGTAACCCTAGTTGTCACAATCGGAAATAGAAGCTCATTTTATACATACTTTATACATGAAATGGAGTCTGCTGTAATTTCCCACGGAACTTCAGGTGTAATGCAGTATTAAGGACATATTGTATGGAGGGTAGCATCGTCACTACACAATACAACATTGTTCCATGTTGGTCCTGCGTAATACTGGCCAAAGTGGCGTCATTTTCTACCGAGTGTGTTCCGCATTGATATAGAAAAGTGGATGGGTGTGGTAGTATTATTGGAAGGCAACAGAGACAGTTACGAGGAGAAATAAACCCACAGTACAGTGTACGTCTTGGTTCGGAGCCAACCGACAGATGCCCAGACCAGCTGAACCACCCGCTCGAAGGATTTCGGCACGGCACTTTCGCGTCACAAAAGTCCTTCCTCCGTGATGTTGTTGGCAGTAAGATATCCAAGCATTGATTAATTTCTCCATCTACAGCGCAACCCGTCCCACACTGTAGGTGAATTTGTGTACAGAAGCTACCTTACGGGTTAACGGCCCCTTTGACTCTCTGTAGAGGAGCCCTCTAGGAAGGGTTTCCAGTCCTTATTCCTCCTGCCTTAGCCAATGCCGAGAGCCAATATTTGCGGCCTTTCCCTACAGTACATCTCGAGACAAATACCAGGATATCTCCGTATATCGTGCGGATGGATCCGTTGACTCTGCTTGGCTAAGAGTGTAGTCAGCTCGTCTCCAAGTTCTCTAAACAGGCTCGTGGTATATGATATCAGCTTACGAAACATTACCCCTTCTAACTCTCTCTTGATTCAGGCCAATTTTCATGATGCCAGGCTTTTATCTTTACGGTGCATGGAATATCATGATTTTGGTGACTTGGCTGAGAGAAGCGACGTGACAATGCAGACTTTCAAACCATTTCGGCCTTTGAAGCTTTGTAGATGGTGCACTATTCACTGCATTGAGTTGGTCGGGCCCTGGCAGCTTCATTGTTGTTAAACTTTATTCTCTTTCTCTTACGCACGTAGATGGTGCAGATATCGCCAGACCGTATGGCCAACGTCGCCTCCGTCAACTTTGTCCGAGTCTTCTTTAGTTTGCGAATGCGAGTCTATTCTAACTATACGTACAAAGTGTACAAAATGTCATTCCGACCCTAGAGCCTTCGCAATCGCCTTCGCGTTGAGCCATTGCATACACACAGCAAAGGGCATAGCCACGGCCAGGGCAGCCAGAGCGAAATACATGGTATCACGAAAGGCGTAACAGTACGCTTCTTGAATCAGTCTGATGAGCGCGCTGTCAGTAGTTAATTGTCGGATAGCTGTCGGCCCGACTGCTTCAACTTGTTGGGATGGGATTGGGATGCCGCTATTTGTGATTTCGTCTTGTAAACCCTTCGAGAATATGGATTGCCCAATGGCGACAGCAATCGCTCTTCACCCTGGTCAGATCAACATGTAAAAGCCCGGGATGATAAACTAGTAACTTACGCGCCGAGCTGCTGGAAGAAAACAAGAATGGCTACGGATGATCAATCAGTTCGTAACTCAACATGGGCGAAATGGTCGCATGCCATACCATTCCCGACTGGCGCATCTTCCTTGCTAGGTTGGAAGTTAGAAGAAGTATAATGGACGGAAACGGTCTGTTTAGTCACCTTAATACAAGCTGGACTGCGGTAAAGGGCATTTGTAGCCCCATACCAGTTCCGATACCGGTTATCACAAGGTATGTCGCCCACACAGCTGTTGCAGTATCGACGGAGATTCGGGAGAGCAGCACATTGCCAACTATGGCGACCAATTGGCCTGCCACCATGAAGGGAACCTAGCACCATCAACCAGTTAACCAGCTGTCAGCGGTAGGAAAGAATCATAGGGTTTACATAGTAACCAAAAACAGTAACGAGGTAACTACAAGTTACCACAGCAAAAATTTGGGAGAGGCCAAGGGGAATGGCCCGAATTCCACTCTGCTTGGCATCAACCATTTGGGCTGATTGAAAATAGAACGGCAAGTAGAAGAGATACTATACGTCAATCTTGTTAGCCCGAGGCCGTTGAACTACGAACGTAACTGGTAGAAACTCACCACATAGATAGCCATCTCCAAGAAAAAAAGAAAAAGTGCGCCCATGAAGATGGATCGTTGGCGTAAGATTCGTAGAGGAATTGTCGCGCTCTCCTGCTTCCACCATTGGCTAAGCCCAAGCAGGATCAATAACAAGCCAGCGCCGACAAAGAGTCCGATTATTCTCCTCGAGTTCCACACTTGTTCTTGTGATCCAAACTGCAAGGCCAAGACAAGACAACATACGGCTGCAATCGTGAGTACAATGCCGAGAAAGTCCAACTTTGCCACCTTCTCCCTAAAGCTAAGGTTTTGCTCTGGCTGAGAAGACTGTGGCATTTTCATTATGAAGAGCAGTAAGACGAAAGCTGCAGCACCGATTGGAAGGTTTCTGATTAATCTGTTAATTAGGCTCCTAGGACTGGAAGGGAAAATCTTACATCCAGAAGCACCATCTCCAAGTTACATCATCAGTCAGGATACCCCCAACTGGAGGCCCGAAACACACGGCCAAGCCAAATACGCTGAGCACGATGCCGATAATCATCGGCCGCTTATCTAGCGGGACAGTGAAGCCAATGATTGACAGTGCTCCTTGATATAAACCCGCGGCACCAACACCCTGTACAGCCCTTCCCAATATGAAGACCTCGGAGACAGGAGCGGCGGCGCAGAGGATGGAGCCAACTGTCATTTGATAGGGTTAGTATATTCAAGAGCAGTCATAGATTCACGGCACAATGGCCCACTTACCTTCGAAGATGACAACTGATCCCAAGTATGCCCATTTGGCGTTGAAAAAGCGGAAGACGCTCCCAAACGCTGGCTGAAATGCCGTGACAGTAAACAAATATGCCGAGCCATACCAGCCGACGTGACTGAATGCAGTGAAGTCGGTCGCAATCTGAGGTATTGCGACGCTGATAATGGTGGTGTCGATGGCCACAAGCAGTGTCCCAACAGTCAATGACAGGACAGTGAGGATGGTTCGCCAGTGGGAGACAGGCAGGTATTTGGCAGGTGGTGCCACAAGACTGTCAGCCGCTGCCTCAGTGTCAGAGGCGGCTTCCTTGGCCGTGAACACAGTAGTAGGCATAGTTTCTGGCAGGGCTTTCTGTGGCTGAGAGTCTGCGGCGTTGACTGCTGTCGACTTTGGTGAGGTTATGGTTGCGTCTGCCATGGCGTTCACGTTCAATTTCTGTGCGCATACGCAAGAGCTGAGTATTCTTTCGAACGATTCTAATAAGATCTGTGGATGGATGCTAATTTAAGGAGGGGTGCCAGATGACCGAGAGGTCATACCGCCCCTTCACAGAAGGGAGATGGGGACATATCAGGTTCAATGCCAGCCCCGGATCGGATGTATTCGGGTCAATAAAAGTGCAACTCTCATAAAAGTAGAAGCATTTGGGTGATAAAGTATGCACGGCGTATTAGTGTGATGCATATGTAACCCACAGACTAAGTTCTAGACACCCCTCCCCCCCTTCAAATGTGCTCCCCTGTCTTCCTACAGGGTGTGGGTGTGGGTGTGGGTGTGGTTAAGATACTGCCTTGGCTTACTCAGGGATAAATCCTGTCTTCTTGAATATTGTTATGATGAGAATCCAGAAAAGTCTACGATGTCACACTGGGCTTTATAGTAGGATGGGTGAGAAACTTCATTTGATTCGCGTAAATTGCCACAAAGCATCGACCAAAGTCTCCATCAGATACAAATTCCACCATCCAGTGTAGAAGCATTTTTTGAGCGTTGAATCTACCTTAGACTACGCGTCACTTCGCTGGGTCACTTTCCAGCCACTAGGTTACCCAACAGCCTGATGATACTGATAGGCACCACTCCAGCATCATCTGGACCCTTTGAGTTCAAGACTGGATACAAGTATGCTGGTGCCGTCCATGCCATCCACAACCCGAACCAAACCGCACCAATGCACCGTTCTGTAATCGACGGCGTGTGGTCAGGATTACGTCCAAGAGAGATCGCGATCTTGATTATGAGATCCTCGACCATGAGTCCTACTGGTTGTATAAGAAAGAAGGGGATAGCCCCAGAGTGTTTTGCATCGATTCCTGATATCTATGAGTTATTTTAAATGATGATACCTCTACATGGGGGAGCGCTTACCAGATGAAATATCGATCGCAACATGGAAGAGGCCGGATGCGAGAAATACAGACCAAATGCGCAGAGAGCGAGTCGGCCATGATTGAGGAATACGAAGTACCTTGAACAGGACAAAATTTGAGATGGTTATAAGCCTATGGGTATTGATCTGGTGCCAAAATACGCTATAGATTTGTAAGCTACGATCTTTCTGTGAAGCATGGCAGAGATAGAGAGGAACAAACCTCCAGAAACTTCTTAAGCTGTATATACTGGAAAATGGGCCATTGAAGGGAGGCCACTGACTAGGGTTCTGAAGACCCGATGCCACACTGATAAATGCCAACAGGGAGTAAACGCCACGTTGCACAGATATAAGCCCAGCGCCTAGGCCCATTGCCGCGAAGAATCTCATCACTAATTCTTCGAGTGATACCTCGCGTAGTCTAGAGAATAGACCTACTTGATCTACCCGGTAGAATCTTGCAGTGATATTATCGTCTGCTGATACATCCATCAGATCAAGTACCAGATAGCATACCATGATGGTGATTCCAGTGTTGCATAAAAATCGCGAGCGAGAGTGTGTCCGTTTCCGTCTGAGTAGAGTAACCCCGCGTGCCTCGTAAGGGGTGTCGACAAATCGCCATGATGAAAATGTGGAAAGCGCAAAGGATAAACGTGAGATGAACTGGCCGTTCTCTTTCTGCGGCTTATGACTGGGGCTCGCCGCCTGGGACAGGCCTCGTACCAAATCGCGCTTCGGGCCGCGAAGATCATAGCTCCACTGGCTGATGACACCCACATCCACGTAATGGAAGAGAGAAGAGAGAGTGTATCCCCCAACAGAAGCGGCCCATGAGCTCCTGTGTATGTAGACAGGACAGTTTGTGATGCAATGCCATGTCAAGGCAGTCAAGATGGGAAGGGGGGCCAGCCGGATGAAGGTAGAGGCTGGGGTGAAGGCGAGGATTAGGATGATCAGCACAGCAACCAATATGGCTTCAATCAATGGGTGGTAAGTCATAGTGAAAGGCCTCAACGATGGGGAGCTATGGTAGGAAGTGATTGAGGGCGAGGAACGAGTGGTCAGCAATGCCCTCAGGTCTTGAGCGTGTGTGTGGTCAGGTTGGGGAAGAACAAGAGATGTTTGGGGATAAAGAGGGGCAGCGGGAAGTGTCAGTGCTTTTCAGTACCTCAGCACCAGCCTCGCTGCATAATCCGCCTTTCCAAGTGCTACGTAATCGATTGATATTGAATATGGCGTTCAATGCAGTGGGGGGGCTGAATCAATTACGGGGCGTTCCTCGACCAACATGCATTCAGCCAGTGGGGCATTGAGTAGCATTGTGCAAATGTTGTAGGCGTGAGTGATACTTGATGCATGCTGCCTTACGGATGAGGTCAGACTGGTTCGCGTAGCTTTGCAGACATGCAGACAGGGCTACATCGGTTGCTGCAGTGAAGATAATGGAACGGAACAATCTGCAAGTAAGCTGTATCGCTACGGCGTGTGCAGGAGGATGGCATCCTGACTTGGGCTTCTGCAATGTGATAGTGATAATGAGCCGACAAAAGGACCAAGTTATGAATATGATTTTGCGGTTATACGGCTACCCCATTACGACCCAAGTGTCTCCACAAAGCTGGTCTGTTCATAGTTCTTTTATTGACCATTTCATTGTCATGGTCTGCTCGTCCATTTGACCTATCTCTGGATATTGTATTGCATTCGTTGTTTACCAAAGTGACTGCCACCTCCATCTTCCTCCACCGTGTTTCTCGCAATGGATCTCCTACCCACGGACTCAATCGTCTTACCGCCAGTTGTATCACAGGGGGTACTGCTTGTAAGCATACTGACGTTGTACCACTGCTTAATATCAGAAGCTAAAAGATGGGTGCATCTCGCAGGGTATCCTCTGGACTGGAAGCTGTATTTCAATACTCACGGTCATATCTCGCCTCGCCATCCGCTGGAGAGTGCTTGCTAAATTTAAAGCTGACGATTACCTTGTGATTGCTGGCCTTTTGTTTTCATTAGCCTCGACGCTTATATGGACAGTCCTTATTGGCGACCTCTACGCGCTCCTTAATGCCGGAGCCACCCTTGGGACCGGAGACTTCTCAACATTGTTTTCGAGGGCTGGAAAGGCATTACACGGCAACCTAGCTAGCTACATCTGCTCCTGGAGCTGCCTTTGGTCTATCAAGCTGGCCTTCATTGCCTTCTTCTACGAGTTAGGCCGTCAAATCAGGTTCCAGCAGATCTTATGGTGGTCAATCTTAGTGTTTGTTATATCGACATATATTGTTTGCATTGGCATCCTTGACTACGGCTGCCTGACAAGCGTGGGCTTCAATATCATGGGTCAGCTGGACACCATACTCTTAACTGGGCGTTGCAACTAACCAGCTTGTTGATAGCTAAATGCATGACCGCGGAAGTCGTTGAATACGAGTATAGCAATACGCGAATCACCACGGCATTTGACATTGTTACAGACTTCATGAGTAAGACTTGTTCCCCGGGCCCCTCGCTATGTACAATCTTCTAATTGTCGAACCAGTCGTGGGCCTCTCGGCAAACATCGTTTGGCGAGCCCAGGTCCCGTGGAAGAAAAAGGTTATGTTGGCCTGTATCTGCTCTTTGACAGTGGTCATGGTAGTTATTGCCGTTATTAGGATCACTGTTGGGGCCCCCAGCAAAGGGGCACCCGATCTCTCTTGGCTCCTGCTATGGAACTCCGTTGAGATGAACTTAGGTATGTCATAGCGTATTGCTCAATTCTACTCTTCATAACGAGCTGCTAACTGTGTTGAAGCAATATTTGTTGCCTGCATTGCTTCTTTTCGAAGCCTATACTGCCAGTCACGGAATGCAACTCGTGCTAGCGAAGGCACGCCCGGTCGTAGCAAGAAGAAAACCTCGGATCGGCGCCAGTTTCTCACCAGCTTCGGTCCTTTTACCACATTTGGCGCCTTCACATTGCTTGACGATGAAAATGCACAGTGGTCGAGGGAAGATCTAAGAGATAATGATGAGCTGCCTCTTACCCCGGGCATGATAGACAGCGAACGCTATCCAACCGACGTAGGGAGCGTTATGGTTATGGCAGACATGCAAAAGCCGGATCGTGTCCATTAGAATTTAGGAGAGCAAAGAGGCGTCACAAGTCGTGCCTAAATATTTCTCGCATTCTCATTTATTCTTGTCATCTTACACTCTCATATTTACAAAGACAATATTATTCATCCAGAGAAGATGACAGTTCATCAAAAGAAAGCATCACGATGTGGTTGAGGATCAAATTGAATGGCTAACCCTGGAAAGCCTGATATTGGAGGAAAAGGCGATGTCTTCACGTTCGGGCGCGTAACTGCCAGGATTGAACACACGTAAGTAGACAACAATGAACGGGTTTGTAGGGCATGCTATTCTGCCACTACTGGCTACCCAGGTGTTGACGGATGGTGCACGGTTGACACGTTAACCCAACAAGCCAACGACGGAGCTCCAGGCTAAGGAAATCGTAAGCATCAGGTATGAGTAAGGGTGAATCTCTTTGAGGCTGTGTGTCATACAAGGCTGACTTATCTCTGGTTTGTTTTTAATGAGCCGGAATAAGAACATACCTGCCTCGTGCGAACCAACCCAGGTAAGGAATCTCCTAGCTTCTAAGAGGAAGGACTTTCTGTATGCATCAAAGTGGCCCTTTGATTGCCTAGGAGGAAGGACTTTATGTGTTGAAAGTGATCGATTGCTTATTTGTCTCCGCCGCCATGCAGAGAATATCGCGTGACAGTAATCCGCCTTCAGCCTTAATGAGTAATACGCGCGGCTTAAGTCGTTGTGTTAATTCACTCACTGCATCAAGCTATCGCGAAGTTGGCCGGACGTGCTTTCTACTGCATAAGGATGCTACCGTATCAGCTGCCAACGCTGCCTATCACCCAATATCTGCAACTTTTTGAATCCTCCAATGCTGTCAGCGAAAATGTGCCGCCGAAGTCATGATGAAAGTGCATAATGGCCTGATGACGCGTTGAACGACAAAATGAATCAATACACGCCCCTCCTTTCAGTATGCCACCCTCTCATTCTGGAGCCGAATGAAGAAAGGATCCCGAGAAGATGTGACCCATTCTGGATCTTGCAATGCAGTTGGCGGCATAAGCTGCCTTAGCATACATGGGATTCAGCGACTTTTTGGAATGATCATGGTGTTCTGAGTTTCTAGGTAGCCTTATCAGCTTTCATGGCAGACTTGCTGTCTTGTATGGATATTCATATATTGGAGTTTATTCTCACTCTAGGTTCTACGTACTTTACGGTTCCCTGGGCACATTAACCGCTTCTCTCCGACAAGCATTACCATATACTCTATCTAATTACCTCAACGAGCAACTCAGGGCAGAATGCTGCTGGGCGCTTTCGAGTACGTACCAGCACGCAACGAGAGCGTCATCCTGGCTCTGCTGGTTGTTGTTGCCTGGCCGTGTATCAGCTCTCTCAGAGTTTACTGGAGCCGTCCCGTATGTGGCACTGACCTCCCTCTGCATGTAATGCCAGTACTAACCCCTACGTAGAAAATCGCTCTAGAAGGACCTCCACTGGCATTCGGTAAATGGCTGAGCTCTGTTGCTTTCCTAGCTCAAGGAAGCAAGAGCATTTTCAACTCCTACAATAAGGTTTGCTCCCCTGAAATCATTCATTGCGAATGGTCCAGTTGATAAACTAATCCATAGGTTCGGGAGAGTCGCTCACTGTTTGCTATCCCAGCACTGAGTGAATACCAAGTACTTGTATCGCATCCAGATCAAATCCAAGAGCTAGCGCGCGGGCCGAAAGATGTTTTGTCGTTTCATGCTGCGATGAAGGACGTAGGCCACAACTTTCCTCCCACTTCCTATGCCCGAGCACATCCCTGACGTTCCTCCAGAGGCTTAACCATCGCCAAATCATGTATGGATTTGAGCACAACGACGTTGATCCTCATGACACAATCCCAATCCACTCTTTGAAAACTTGTTTGCGGAAAGCTTTGCCAGATCTCGCACCAATTCTTCAGGAGAGAGCGCAAGAAGGCTTCGATCAATTCCTTTCCGAATCTCCATCTCAAAATGGTGTGTGAATCCGAAAATCCTTGCTTAATGCTATTCTAACGCGCTACAGGAACAACGACAGTCTCAGTATTTGGCCTTGCCAAGGCAGTGTGCGGGCGAGCTAGCAATCAAATTCTCTTCGGTACCGAAATGGGTAGGTTTGCATAGCTTTGCGGTCATGGGAAGTAGTTCTCATCTAGTTATTATAGCAACGAATGAAGAATTCAACAAATTATCTACTCGGTATGGGTGGGAGGGCGCAATTGTCATGGAAATTTGCAGGCTAGTACCTGCCCCTCTTTCTAGGTAAACCAGCTGACACATTCTCACACTCGATTTCTGTTATGCTGAATGTTAGTTGATTGTCTCTAGATTTCTCGGCTGGTCACTCATGGCCTGGGGTGGCGCTATGAATGAGGTCGGGGCAAGGGTCACCAAGATGGTTACCAAACGTTATGCCGACCTCCAGGAGAAGCCAGACGCGGTATTTGTGAGTCCGACTACTGCAGTGAATAGCTCAATCAAGGAACTGAACAAGATTATTAGAATGATTGTACACAGTATGTCATCGACGCCTCTCGTACACCACAGCAGAGATCGCCCGCTCGGGTTGTGCAGCAGATGGTTGCTTTGCAGTTTGCGTCTGCTCATCAGCTACCTATGGTAAGAATACTTTTGAACCGCCGTTTATGGAAGCAACTGACGAACCGTCTCATATTAGGCTCTTGCGTGGGCCATTATTATGCTTTGCAAGCATAATGGGTATATTGACATGCTACGAGAAGAAATACAAGAATCCAAAGAGGCTGGTGGTTTGGTATCGACCTCGAAATTACGTTTGATGGATTGCTTTTTGCGGGAGACAGCTAGGCTTAATCCACTAGATGGCTGTAAGTCTTTAAAACGATAGACAGATCCTAATTCCCTCGCTAACATTATGTTGATTATAGTATCTATCCAGAGAAAGGCCGTCAAACCTTTCACATTTGCTGATGGGTCGCACATACCAGCTGGAAACTTATTGGCTGTTCCTCAAGAAGCTATATTGAGAGACAAACGTTATTACCCGAATCCGGGCAGTTTTGATCCTTGGAGATTTTATAGTCCAGCAGACTCGGACAAGGCAATCGTCAGGTTCACAGACGTTAACTGGAAGTTTCCCTTCTGGGGATCGCCAACTCAGTCATGGTGAGGACTATTTCATTTTATAGTGAAAAGGTTCACAGCTAACAATTTATTGCTAAAGCCCTGGACGATGGTATGCGTCGGACGTCATTAAATATGCTCTAGTACACTTGTTGGAGAACTACGATATGGAACCTGTGAACCCCATTTATAGGCCTATGATTTGGACGACGGCAATCGCTCCTAGCCTCACTATGAGAGTCATGCTAAAGCCATGTGCAACATCATATGGGAAATAATGCTTACAGGAGCAGTCTCCGTTATAGTTCATGTAGTATACTTGGTGTGGAGGTAAATTTGAAGGAATGATGTTCTAGTTCCTGTCTATACATTGAATCCTATCCCTGTTTGAGGGTTCAGCTGATCCTAGATCTAAATCGTCAATCCCCACGCAGGAGCTCTGTCTAATGATGTGGAATCGCCTGCATGCGCTCAACTTCTGCTATCAACATTGGGTCATCAAGCTCTCTGATCACATTCTTCACCCAATCAATATCCTCCACCGACATCGGATGACCCTCTCTGTAGTACACTGACAGTCCCTGGGGCGAGAAGAGCGTCTTGGCAGCAGCCACCACCAAGACTGGCGAGTCTCCTCCCTTGATGGTACCAAACCCAACAACCTCCCACTGCGCTGACACCATCCTCAACCACCCCGCGCCTCGCCAATTGAAGAGACCCGGATGCGAGTCTGATGGCGTACTAACCCCTTTAGTAGTTGCCTGTTTGAACGAGCCAGTAGTGGTATATGTCGTTTGATCATTGAGCGAGCTTGTTGTGTTACTACTTTGAGTTGTATCGACATAGGTTACTGATATGCCTTGCTTTTGATCGAGCCATAATGAGCTTGAGCTCGCCGCCATAAGCCACTTGTGACCTAAGTCGTTAAGGCTGGGTAGATGATCAACTTTTCCAGCTGCATTGGCCTTTCCAAGAAGGGAAGTGGATCGAGCAGTAAAAGGCTGAGGCATGGTGGAGGTACGTTTTGGATAGTTATCCGTAGGGATATCGTATATCTGGTCAGGTTTTCCAATAATCTGGCAGGATACATTTCCTTCAAAGACATCTAAGGGGATCCTCTGTGCCTTAAGTACTTGAGGTAATGGGGGGGTAGGTAGTAATACCTACCAATAGGCTAGGGTTATATTTTTTTTATTGGCACAAGGGTGTGTGAGTAGAAGATACATTGAAGACCTTGCTGATATTTTAGGCAGGAGATGATGTGAGGTGTAGCATTCATTCTACTGTCCAGGGTTATTAAAAAGTCTGACGTAATTTTAAAATGCATCTATTATGGTGCAAGTCTAGACGTAGAAAAACAGGGTTTAGATTTAAAGATTTATTTTACAAAGATAATATATATTATTCAATATTTATATATATTGAGTGCCGGTGGGATTTTCCAACCAACAACACCACAACCAAAGACCGGGTGGGTCCGCGATCGCAATATCAGCATCAGTCAGAGAGGAAGAATTGCAACCAAGCTGCGTAGTCAAGACCAACAACCACAATCAATTGACATGTGTTTGGTGTTATATTGGGGACTCCCGTAATTGATCAATTGAATGAGACCATCTTAGTCTTCATACGAGCCAAATTAGCCGCAGAATAATAAGTCAAAGATCACGATTTTAAGAATAAAGAATATATAAAAGGCAAGAATTATCTGTTTTTCATTAAGGTGGGCAGTCAACCTGCCTTATAAAGAAAGGAGCTGTAACTAGTAACTAACAAAGGAAATTCCACCTGCTCTCAATATATAATATTTAGCTAATTTTAAAATATACTTTTAAGTATTTAATATAGAATAAATAGATATATATAAAGTTCTAGAAATATTTAAGAATTACTAATAGTGAATTTAAGAGTAAGATATAGTATTATAAAGGCAGGGTTTATAGAAAGTATGAGAGATATTGGAAGGCTAACTTAGTATTATTTCAGTAATTTAATAGCTTATAATATTGTTTAATATTTTACTATCCAGTTAGTCAGGCTATTATAATTTCAATAGTTACTATAATTTAAATATTATATTAGCTATAAGCTCAACCAACTTTTATTCACCTATAATACTCTAAAGAGTCTAGCTCTATTAGTATACTAACAGTATATCGAGACTAATATCTTGTTAGGCGCAGCGATGATAACTATTCTCTCCCTCTCTTGTGCCTTGCTTTCGGGTTAGAAAGGCAGGTTCCTTCCTAGATTATCTCTGTAGAGCACCTAGTTAACTCTTTAATCTTTGTTCAGAATAAGCGATAACTATGAAGCCGGCTAATGTACCTTTGATAATAACAAGCGATCGCTACGAAGCGGGCCTAGTTGCCTCCTGTCGCGACAGCGATTTCTACAAGCATGTCCCAGCAATCCCTCGTCAAGACGGATAATCACCGTGAAGGTAATCTAGCTACCCTCCGTCAAGGCGAGCGACCATTGAGCATCTGACACGGCTATCCACTGCTGCGACAAGCGATTAATATGAACCTGACCTGTCTGTCTAATGCTATTCTGGATGATCTTCCATTCATCCAGCCGCAGTTGTAGCCGTAGCCATAGCCTAGCTAAGAAGACGCCATAGCCCTCAGCTAAGACTCCCAACAGTATACGACCCTGAAAGCTGAACCAACCAAACAGCTGTTAGCCCTCCTGAAGTCTTACCAAGTAAATCGAAATGTCTAAAACATTTACTACCAAAAGTGAAAGTGTTGATCATAGTCAGCGCTCAACAGACTGTCATAGTACTGTCCACGAAGCCTTCCTGATGAGGACCACTAACATAACTTTCTATGTGTCCCGGCTCACATCATCCGAGCCACACGCTATTTGTCAGGATGACATCACATCTCGGCCGAGGGGTCTGATTCACATTAGATAGGGTGCCACCCTATTTTAATTCTCTATCGTCTCAAACTTATGATCTAGACCCGGGCTGATCACGGTTCTGAAAGCGTCTACCCCTTGACTTCCCAACATCATCCAATCTAGAGGACGCATTCCAAGACCCCTTTCTAGACTATGTATAATGGAAACAAAATACGTTGACCGAAGCATTCCAAAGGCAAACCTCTCCGCACGGTGAACGTCCAGAGCGGGGGCTGACGTAAACATAGATATCGCTTGCCGACTTCGAAATGCGCATCGATGAAATCACGCAGCAACTGTGCTCTGCGGCTGAAGATGTAGGGTTCTTCAGCATTGTAGACCATGGCATATCTCAGGCCCAGGTAGACACAATGTTTGCCACGTCCCAGTCCTTTTTCGACCTCCCAGAAGATATCAAGCGCACTGTCCCTTGGAATCCTCAGAATGTAGGATACGAGTGCCGATCACAGATCCGGCCATCCACGGGAGCACCGGATCAGAAAGAATCGTATCAGCTTCAATTCGGTGAGAACATGAAAGGCCTATGGATGTCGGATGACCATGTTCCTGGATTCAGGACCAAATCCCTTGAGTTTATGCATAGCCTTCAGAAGGTATCAGAGAGATTGATGATTTGCTTCGCCAGGGGGCTGGGCTTCCCAGATGATTTTTTTGTCAAGGCCCACGACTTCACCAGACCAGACTGTCAGACAGTTCTCCGCTTGCTACATTACTTCGAAACCCCAAAGGACAAAAACAGCCAAACAGCCTATCACCGAGCCGGAGCCCATGCCGACTGGGATCTTCTCACTCTTCTATTCCAGCGTGAGGGCCAAAGTGGGCTAGAGATTTGTCCGGGCAGAGAAGTCGTTACCGACTTTGCGTTGGGAGATTCCTGGACAAAAGTGGAATTTGAGCCTGGAAGCATCATATGTAACATCGGTGACCTGCTCATGAGCTGGTCCGACGATCGCTTCAAGAGCACTTTTCATCGTGTCAAGGCTCCGGAGGAGGAGGGGGACTACTACGGGGAGAGGTATAGCATTGCTTTCTTCAACCAGCCTTGCAAGGACACACTGATCCAAGGGCCGAAGAAGAAGTATCCCATGGTGACAGGCCAACAATTCACCGCTAATGCTATGGAGCTTCATTATAAAGCCCTAAAGCGTACTTTGGAACAGAATGCCACTGCGCAGGCGATTCAGAGCCAACCAAAATTGGAATCTGCACCTTCTGTTCAGTCTGAAGCTTGAATATCTATAACTAATTGCTACTTTGCAAATCATCGAATTAGTTCATCTTCAGAAATGTCAATTTTAATATACGAGATCATGTGCTCTCTTCTTGGTCATTAATAGAAACCGAGATAAATTTACTTAAGTTTAAATCCATTAGGCACTAATATCAAGTCTTCTCACCATGTAGACGAGTTGGAATCGGTCGGTTTAGAATCGACGATGAAGGTTGTACGGTCGGAATGATCACATCCTCTCCACCAAGGCTGCCAGGCGCAAGTTGCTACCCGTACCAAAGCAAGAATGATTGGTAATCGTCGATATCGGACCTGATAGCAAGTGACCTTTGATCAGATGGTCAGGGCTGCAATATCGCTCGAATGCTCGTTGGTGATAAGCAAGATCTCGGGTTTCGGGTCTCTTATCTCGGGTCGGCCGAGTGACCCGAGCCACCCTATAGTGACGGATAATGATGCCCGCCTTTGGTCCGGCATGCGATTAGAAACATCAGTATACTGGCAATTGATGTCATATTTGTAACAGAGATAATCAAACCTGAATCTTATTTCTGCAATACCTTACTCTTTCCATCCGCATTGTGATGAAACATTGAGCGCGTACAACATATTTGATTAACAACATGCCTTCTGCAATCAATCCAGACAGTACCACATTTACGGTTGAGCCTCTTCCTAAAGATGTAACAAAGAAAACAAACTTCGGCGCGGTGATCCATGGCCTAGATCTAAACAATATCAGCGGTATGACTCTTGTCAACCGTCATTAGTCTCCCCCTGCTGACCAAATTGAGGCAGATATCGATGTAGATACTCTCAAAAAGGCCATTTGGGAAAAGAAAGTGGTCATTGTCAAAGGCCAGAAAGACCTTCCCCCACTCAAGCAGTGGGAGCTGGTCACGCGTTTCGATCCGGATGCACCTAAAGTCCACTCGCACGGCAGTCTGAAGACGTTCAACAAACAGGGTGGCATCTTGTCGGTAAGTTGCCTTTCAAGTGGAAAGATCAGCTACCATCTAGTAACTATCCGATGTGGTGCTTTAATGTACTTACTATTCATCTATCAGGCCAGCCGTGATGTGATTGGGATCCCAGGAGCTGAAAACGTGCGCCTGATCGGTAAAGGATACCAAGGAGCTGATCATTATGGAATCAAGGACAAGACAGTCAAAAAGCCTCTGAGCCATGACTGGCATGCCACCGAACTCCCAGCCGAGGAGTTTGAGAGCGGCCACACTCGCTTTCAAAGGTGGCACCTCGATGCTCCCCTATACGAGCGTGACCCCGCGTGGTTTACTACTCTCCGTTGTTTCAAGCGACCTACGTCGCCCAAGGTCACCATTCACTGGGATGATGGATCTGGGCAGACACTGGAGACAGAGCCAGGATTGACGGCATTTTTCAGTAACGTGCAGACGTACGACTTGATGACACCTGTGGAGAAGGCCTTGGCCGACCACAGCTGGGTTGAATACGCCCCGCACCCGTATCAGTGGATGGGTAGTTGTCGAGGCAATCCGAATGGTCTTGGCGTCGCTTCCCAAGGCTACGAGAAATCGCTTGAAGAGCTTGGAGAGTGGAACCCCAAGTTCGTGAAGCGTTATCCAATGGTCTGGGTGAATCCGGTCACTGGAGAAAAGGCCTTTATGGTTCACGGCATCTGTGTCCGTAAAATGTTCCTAAGATCTTCAGCAAACGAGGAGCCGAAGATGGTTGACAACGTTGAGGAGATCAGAAGCTGGCTCAAGCCTATTCAGGAACGTATTCTGCGTCCAGAATACATCATGCTTCCAGAAGTGGAGGAAGGCGATATTATGATGTGGGCCAACTGGCAATGTTTCCATACCGCGATCGATTACCCGGATTCATTTGGTCCTCGAACGATGCATCAAGCCAACGTGAGTGCCTCTTCGTCACCTGTTGGTCCTGTCCCAATTCCCACTTATGGGTGAACGGGAATCCTGTTGGCCAAGAAGTCCAATATTAGCTTGATAATTCAAGAATTTCTATTTTAGCATTAGTATTGGTCTGCAATGTCATCGAATTACGTTTCAGTATCACGAAAAATATGTGCTATGTATGAATTGGGATTAGAATGTTGATGTCTGATGAGAATATTAATTACTTCTACAGATGGCATGTAGGGAGGTAATAGAATCAACAGTATCTCAATTATTAGAGCGACAGACCTAGTTGAAATTACACATTTCACGCGCATTATGTTACTCATGATTGTGGTGTGGCTATTCAAAACGTAGAGAAATGGATAAATTGGTCCTTCCATGTAATATGTTATCTGAAGACCGTGAGTATCATTATTTAACTCTTCGCCTACTTTGGCTATTTTGATTGACAATCAACTAAGAACTGTCTTATCCAACTACATTTTTACCTACTTGATCATCCATGATGCAAAATAACAGCACAGGTTGGAAAAGACAAGCAGTTAAATTCATAGCTCAACTATCAAGTTGTGTTACTTCATATGGAGATCAGTTCGCGGAACCTCGCATAAAGCTATTCGTGAAGAATACCACCTCATCCGGAGGGGTGATCACTTGCGGCAACGTTACACTGGTGCATGATTCTAGGCCCGTATGATTTGGGGAACTCCGTCTTTTGGCAAGGTATATGTCAGCCAGAGCTCTCTCATTTTCATTCTGCAGACTCACAATAGAATGCCACAAGGCACGGTTGTACCAAAGTATCACGTCCTGCTCTTCGTGTCGATGGGCGTATATGTTTTCAGGCTCCAACGCAGGCCTCATGATTCTGTTCATTGCAACCCGGATTAACTTTAGTTCGGGGCTGTAGACATTTTGAAGCTTACCTGTTCATGAAGGCTCTCACTTCTTTAAGGTCGTCCACCACTTTCTCCTCTGCATCCGGTGCGCTCTTCAGATACAGCTTGAAGGCTCCCTGCCCATGCACCTGAAGCGACTTCTCACCCGTAACGGGGTTAGTCCATACCATTGGATAGATACACACATGCTCTGGTTTCCAAGGTGGCAGTTCGTCCAATGGTTTCTCCAAACCCTCGGTTTCGATTAAGTGCCCCAACCGGGAGCTATGCGCTGTCGACATCCAAACGAAAGCATGGGGCGCGTATTCAATCCGGCTATTCAAGACAATGTTACGAGTTTCTTCGTCCAAGATATCCAATGCACGGGAGCCCTCGACCATGGCGGTAGCTCCTGGTGCGATGGTCATACTTGTGCCTGTACCGTCATCCCAACGCACATTTACGTCGGGACCCTTGGGTGTTCGCACGGCTAGCAGGCATCCAACTCTGGGAGGGGGAATCTTATAGAGCGCACCATCGAAATGCCACTGGTAGAATCTACTAGCGCCCTTCTCACGTTCGTCGGAGGGAATATGAGGGGGCAGATGGAACTCCTCATGATCAATTCCTTGGATTTCGAAACCAGGGGGGAAAGAATAATGATTCTCGGGAACGGGACCACGACCCAAGATATGAACTTGCGGCTGCACGGGGATGGCTGGACGTTTCGGAATTCCATAGATGTTGACGCCGTTGTGAGTTGCCAGCAATGGGTCAGCACCGTGGGCAAACCCGCCGGTTTTCTCATGAGGATCAAAGCTGCATGGATCTCAGCATCTTCACTTATAAGTCATGTTTAACGGGAGTATACCTTGAAGTGAGTTTGTATTGTTGTTCGGGCTTCAGCATAGCTGGCTGTTCCTTGAACACAAGGAGTTTATGGCGATGCAAAGCGTCATGAATGAAATCAAAATCGGCGTCAGAAAAGTTATTCAAGTCGATGCCGTACACTTCGGCACCGAAGTTCACTTTTTTGGACGGGTCATGCTGGATCGGCACAATCTTCCCGTTGGACTTCTCGGCATGAGGAAGCTTGAAGGTTGTTTTCTGAGGCGCAAGCAGTAAGCTGGCCTCTTTTTCTGTAACCACGGCTGTGATGACCATCGTGTCGTTAGTTTGAGATTGCTCCAGTGCACTAGATTGAATGTTAGGATGCTTCAGAAATGCTATGGTAGAAAGATATACGCTAGAGGCCGGTTCGCATGAACGAACTTTGCTCGACAATATCAACAGTCTGTCTATCTTACCCAAGCCATCTGCCGCGAGGTTCCGTATACAGTTCGGCCGAGGTGGATACAGATACAGATAACAAGAGATTGAGGACACAATAAAGCGCACCTGTTGGAGGGACCCGCTCAACCTCGGGTTCGGCCGAGCCATCTCAAACACCATCGTCCATCACCACGACCTCCTTTCTCTTTCCCTCTTTCTTTTGTTGATGATAATCTTTGTTAGAGATCACCTAAATGTGCCCTTGACCCCTTGGAGGCATTCACCAAAGAAAATCAAAGGGATTAATCATGGCATCCAGATTTGTCGAGACAGCCTCCTCAAGGAAACTGCATTGTCTTCAGACTGGTGATCCGAAAGGACAGCTCATAATCTGCCTCCATGGTTTAGGAGGCTCCACAAATACTTTCAAATCTCTTTTACTCAGATTACCGCAATCCTACAACATTATCTGTTTAGACTTTCCTGGCTTCGGTGCAAGCCCTGCCCTAACCGAGCGTCCCACGGTTGCCAGCTATGTTTCCGACCTCCATGATATCGTCACATTTTTTCAAGCAGCCGATGAAAGCCCACGAGAGTCGAAGGTAAGCCATTTCTGTGTACTATATGGTCATGTCGTATCTGTCTTGGTTTCCCTTGATTAATCCTAGCTAAAGATAATCTTGATCGGACATTCCCTCGGATCGGCCATTGTGCTGCACTTTTCCACCGAGTATCCTTCACTTGTCGCTACGATTTGCCTCCTCGGGGCTACCCGATCGCCTTCGCATATTCCCGCCGTGCAGGCTAGAATGCTAGACATGGCAAAGAACACTCGGGAGAAGGGTGCGGCTTGGGCAGCCGAACTAGCCAGCAGATCGAACTTTCCGCCGCCGGAAATGCGCGACGTGGATGAGAAGCTGCGAAAGGAGGTATATGATGCGGTGGCGGCGTCAGACGCTGAGGGCTATGCGTTAACCTGCGAGATGATGGCAGACGAATCGCACAAGGATCCAGACTACACCAAGATCAAGTGCCCAGTCCTCCTGATCGCGGGGGATCTTGATGTCATCAGTCCAGTAGAAAGGTCAAAGGGTCTAGTTGATATCATAGGATCGGATTTATGTACCTTAGAGATTGTTAAGTCTGGGCACCAGCCTGTTCTTGAGGAGCCGGATGCTGTTGGTCGAGCCGTGGGACAAATGCTCCAGAGAATCCAGGCTTGATGCGGTATATAGAGTTATCTTTGACTAAGGTAATTTAAGTTGGTAGAATACTTCGAGATTACAGGTCTGATAGTTCCGTTGGAAATTGGGTGGTCCTTGGATATTGAGTCTAGTGTTTCTAAAAAGACAGTGCTACATCGATAAGTCTTGACTAGCTAAATAGAACAAATTCTCTATGCTCTCCTCATCAAATGGACCCGCGTCAAAAAAGTTGTCTGTAAGTAAAATAGAGTTGGGCACGGCGGGAGCTTCAAGCTGTGAAGTTTGGGTAGCCTGAGCTTTTTGCTCATTGCAAAATGCCTTTACAAATGCCGGCACATTGAAAAGGCGTGGCTTCTTTTGAGAGCGCATGTTGCTTTCCTCAATGTCGTCGCTTGAAGTCCTCTTGGATCCCTGAGGAGCCACAGTCCCAGACACTTCGTCATATAGAGATGTGAGAAGCTTAACACCCCTAGCAGCAATAGTGCTATTTCGGCATTTGTGGAGCATTCCAATCATTTCTTTAATAAGTTGTAAATGCTCAGAATTGCTTGGCTCGCCTGGTCCAGAGTGAAATAGGTCTAAGATCAAGATGATCGAGGCTGCGACGGCAAACGCCTGATGTATCCATAACACAGGGCCATCTTCTTCAAACACACACTTATATTCCTTCATGATTGTCTTGGAAGCTGCCATGCAGGTCTTTCTCGTGAATGCGAATGCTGGGTTCGAGAAGCTCTTAGAAAGGAAAGATCGATGGATCATGATGATCTTGTGAGACGATGAGATCGCCAACGACCTTCGGGCCCAATGAATCCACACTGGCCAGTCCGGCTCCAGGGGTACATTGGACAGATATCTTGGTCGGTTTGCAATAGCGATCGTCCGCAGTTGCTTGTCCCATTTCAGGACCTGTTCATATTTCGTGAACAGTGTGTTGCAGGACATGAGCCCATCCTGTAGTTGAGGCATGATCCGTGCAATCTTGCCTAGGAATCTTGAGTAGCCGGCAACCGTGGGTATAGAATCTGGCAGGGACATGAGATGGCCATCATGACAATTGAGTGGCGGCTCCGATTTCGAGTACGCCGGATTGATGAGATATGTGTCAGAAAATGGGAGGCTGAACCAGTCTTGACAACATATCTGGGACCAAACACGGCGCCCTGCCTCCTTTTCTACTTCTACCCCAGGAACTGTAGCAGTAAGGCGATGAATACCAAGGCTCTGTGCAATGCGTACAGAAGCGGCGAGGTAAGTGGACTGGAGGTTAGAGAAACCAAGCATATGGGCGGATAAGGTCAATGTAGTGATAGCCTGGATGGAAAGAATCGAATGGTTGGAGGCAAAGTCGGCTTTATTGAGACAAATGATTGCAGCTTGGAACCATCGCCTGGAGAGAATGTCTCTTTCTCTCTCGTCAAATCCAAACCTTTCGGCCGCTTCGGCAGGTAGGCATATGATACTCCCCGCCAGGACGGAGAATAAGAAGGCTACCCATTGGAGATCGATACCTGGATGCTCTATTGAGCCGTCGCACTTATCGTAGAAGCTTTTCAACTGGGTCCTGAGAGAGGGGCCATAGTAGGAACAATGATACCATAATAGACAATTCTCGTGCCAGAGCACTAACTCCCACGTCTTCTGTGGCTCGGGAAGAAGCAGTTGGAGGACCGAAGTCTGCGAAAGGTCATCGAAGTTGCCTTCATCTGAAGCTGCGAGGTCGAAATTCGGTTGAGGAATCTGGACATCTCCTACGGTCGAAGCTTGGGTGATAGCTTCAGGCGATGTTACTGGCAATAGATCCGGATTCTTTCTTCGTCCCCAAGCCAGAAACTCTAATATGAATGCAGCGTCCTCAGCTACAGTATCCCCCGAAGGCGATTGGGACTCGTTTGCGGTCTATTGAGGTATATGTTGTTCGTCGGCAGCATGAACTCGGTGCATGGTCGGCTCTGGATATGGCTCGTGTACGCTCGGAGATTGGATCGGCCGACGCTGAAGTTCACTTTCAAGATCAGTGATCCGACGCCGGAGCATCATCAATTCTGATTCATCTTGCGCATCGACGGGATTTGGCGATGACAAGGTCGCTGGCAACTGTGACACAGTTGCCCGTCTCCCGTGAGTCCGAGTTTCATGTGAAGCAGGATCTATACAAGTATTTTGTTCGCCTCTGAAGAATAATATCAGCAGAGTTCGGTGATATAGAGAGCATAATCCGAGAGAGGCTGCAGTGCTCACCTTCTAATACAGTTCGAGCACGGGACGGTTTTGGAGCATTTCACCTTGCGCCTTGTGCAAGAGGCACAGGCGAGTCGATTCCGCGGACTATTCATCTGGCTGAATCACGAAGCTTGAGAATTCATAGAGTACAATTGTTTCCGACAGACGAGAAGCTCGGGCTCGGGCTCGGGAGGCGGAGGACAGCAGCCAATTATCATGGACGCAGAGTCATTTCCTTATCATTGCCGTAGAACGTTTATCTCTGTGATGGCTATGAGCCAATCATCACAGTTGCAATTACCCTCCAAGTCGCCTTGGCCGTATGGGGCTCCTCCACATTGTTATCTCTGATGTTGGAGATATCGATAGGCGAGCCAACAGTCCCCCTCCAGTTCCCCAGTTAATCATCTCACATTCCGGGGGGTGGGGAGGAAAGACATCCATATCTTCGTCGGGCTGGGGCGGGTTGGACATATCCCTGGTGATGGTGACGCATGAAGTAGGCATCGGTTATCAGGCCGGGGTATGTTCTACCCATGATATATCTTATGATGTCCGTGACAATTGATGCTTTGAAACCGCAGCTCCCCATTCGAGTGTCCATAGCCTGTAATCAACGCCGTTCTTCTCCCGGCCCATGACTCTATCTTCTCTGCGCAGCCGTGGCTCGGCCACTCTATCTGCAGCTAGGAAGAAACTTGAGCTCCGGCTCACTCAACCTGAAAGCTGGAAACTCCCGAAACAACACAGTAGCATTGCACCACCGGGTGTGTGGACCAATGCGGACCAAGATCCCATTCCGCCAGAGTTACGAACATGGACAGAGATGACTTTCATCACGTACTGGTACAGTGACCTGGTTACAATCAGTGGCTGGTCTGCCGCTGGCGCCATCTTGACTGCTGGTCTCTCTGCCACTGATGCAATCCTCATCACGTTGACTGCAGGTATTTGCAATGCCATTCCCACCGTATTGAATGGCGCCATTGGGTCGGACCTTCACGTTCCTTTCCCCATCGCTGTTCGCGCCAGTTATGGTTATTGGCTCAGCTACTTCTGTGTCATCAGCCGAGCCATTCTCGCCATGTTCTGGTTCGGAGTCCAGAGTGTCGGTGGCGGGCAATGCGTGACTGCGGTAATTAATTTGATCCTATTCATGCAAGATACTGGGCTAACATACATAGATGATTCTAGCTATCTGGCCAAGCTATGCGAAACTTGAGAACACCCTGCCCAAGTCCATCGGTATAACGACTCAAGGCATGGTGTCGTACCTCATATACTGGCTGGTACAAACGCCACGATACAAACGCCACTTCTTCTGATCCCTACACACAGACTGCAGCTGCTGTTCAATGCAAAAGCGGTCCTCGTCACACCCATGGCTCTCGCCATCGTGATCTGGATCGCGGTCAAAGCTGGTAATAAGTCCTCGGGCTTCTTTTATGCTCCGGCCACCGTCTCCGGTTCGACCAGAGCCTGGCTTTGGTTGTCTAACTTGGTAAGCTATTTGTGTACCGAACCTGGACTCCTCATTGTCACTGACATCTGAGAAATAGACATCTGTTACTGGAGGTTACACTACGTTGACAGTCAATATTCCTGATTTTTCGAGGTTCAGCAAAACAAAAGGCGCAAATCTCTGGCAACTTCCAGCAATCCCCTTCTTCAAAACGATTGTCGGCATCTTTGGCATCGTTGCCGCAGGGGCTGCCAAGGAGGTGTACGGTGAGGCGCTTTGGAACCCAATTGATATCATCAACAAATGGCAAGATAACCCTGGTGGGCGAGCGGCTGCCTTTTTCTGTGCGCTCATCTGGCTCCTGGCACAGATCAGCGTCAACATCAGCGCCAACGGCGTTTCCTTCGCCAACGACATAGCTTCCATAGCGCCCAAGTGGTTCAACATCCGCCGAGGAGTAATTCTTGTCTCCTTCCTCGGCGGCTGGGCGTTGTGCCCTTGGATCATCTTGGCTTCGGCAAAGGCCTTTATGAGGTTCATGTCCGCATATGCCATCTTCATGGCCCCGATAGCGGGTATCTTGACAACCGACTACTGGCTCATCAAGCGTCGCAAGTATAATGTCCCTGCGCTCTACGATCCGCATGGAATTTATCGCTTTGGGTGGGGTGGTAACTGGAGAGCCTTGGTCACAACGGTTCTCATTATCACGCCTCTTTTGCCTGCTCTTGGGCACGAAGTAAACCCCGAGGGCGTGCCTGTTCCAGATGGTCTACAGAAGCTGTTTAAGTTTAACTGGATCTACGGATTCGTGACCTCGATCGTGCTCTATTACACACTGAATATAGTTTCACCCCATCGAGAGACCCTAATACCTCGGGTTGTTTATGGAGATCAACGCTCAATTGATGGGGTAAATCCCAATGGAGGTTTCTCAAAAACCGGTACAGAGGGCAAAATAGATGAGATTGAGCCAGTTTAGCGTTGGAAAATGAGATGTTCAGACATTGTACCAACCTAGCAAAGGTCCTCTCCCAAATGTCTTAGGTTACAATCCCCATGAACCACACATTCTTTCCATTTCAAACACGGAGTTTTTATTTGTCGTAATTCTCAAGTTGACTTAAACTTAGCTGCGATTAAATAAGAAGAGAGCTTTGGTACTGGAATGTGTTTTTCACAACTTCAGAAGCTCACGGCTTCTATGCTCATCATCAGCAGGGGTCAGTCCACACCCCAGAGTCGAATCTTCACCCCAGAGGCAAATGGAGGTAAAGCAACCGAAATACCTTCTCCTCAACTTAGTTCAGTGAGCTAGTCTAGGTTCCAGAAACAATCGTCAATATTCTGTAGAAGGGCCAAACTGCCTGATTCTGGTCCCCCACATATGCTTGACTAACGCCCGGATAGCGTGTGATCCACGGGAACCTACCTAGAACAGGCAGGTGAATAAGATCGTAGACAGCCCTCGCGCCTCCGAAGCCTTTCGCTCTGGGAAGATAAAGCGTGAGGCAAGGTTAGACCTGTGCTGTTGTTATCGGTAGCGATCCGATTATCCGGCTAGGGAAATTACCTTCTCGATGCAGACTCAATGGGTGGAATCAAAGTATGAAATGCTGATTGTCGGTCAACCTTGGTAGCATTGCTAGGATCAGTCAGCTAATGGATGCTTAACGGTGAATTGCTGTCTGATGCCCCTTATGCTATCATGACACAATTCAGCGGGGAACCTTCTATACCTGAGTGGTATAACCATTGGTAAAGCATTCCTTTTCAGTGCTTAGATCGGCATCGCAACGCCACTCCTTGGCCCTTGAAATTCAGCTTCAAGATAGGACACGAGCACTCCATCTAAGCAGAGTGTGCCAAGCCCATCTACCCAACGCTCGGCAGGGCTGTCCCGAATACTCCAAGCAAAGAACAATTTCATCTCCAGCGTTCTGGTCGCTGAGCTGCAATTTGACGCGTCGTTTTCCTTCTGTTGTGAGCACATGGGGGCTGAGGGCGATGTGACAGGCCCACGGATGAATCGGCATCTGGCCCGCTTAACCACATTGTTTGGTCTCCTCTGGTTGCTGATGCGCCTAATCCTTCGTGGAAGTGCCCCGTACTTTAGTAGGGAGTCTTCAGTAATTAGATGTGCAAACACGGGCATAGCCGTTGGCGGTACAGGCACGTTCCTGGTGTTCCTGGTCCCAACACCACAGTACGGACCCGCCTCATCAAAAGGTCCCCGGCCATATGCGTTATCTTTGCCATGTTTTTGAGTTAGGGCGTCGCCAGTGTATTTATTGATATGTAGGTTGCCGATCCAAGGTCAAGGTCCCGCGTCTTGCGAGAGTGATCATCTGCATTGCGGCCTTGGGAGACACTCCATCATGAAGTCGGTTCTCGCTCTCACCAGCATCGCTGCGCTGCTCGGCAGAGCCATTGCCTGCGGTGGCGATGACGATGGCTGCTATGGCCCAATTGACAAGGTCGAGCACGTCCGTCTTGTCAAGCGTATCCAGCCCGGTGCCCCCGACGCTCCTTATGGCCCAAAGGGACCTCTGGAATGGGGCCAAATCAATTTCATGCACACTGTATACCATCTCCCTTGACTCAATGCTTACGAAGAAGAAAGAAGCTGACCAGCTGTGCTATGAAAAGACCGACACTCATGGATGGCTAGCTGGCCATCTGAAGGAGGAGAATTATGGTGCTGATTGGGGAGATTTCGCAACCTTCACTCGTCGCATGAGGCAGAAGGCCGATGATTTGGGCGTCGACTTTCTTTTGGTCGACACTGGTGATCTCCACGATGGTGCTGGTCTCTCTGACGCTACCACCATCGATGGCACCAAGTCCATGCCCATCTTTAGCGAGATCGAATATGATCTTCTCACGATCGGTGAGAGTCATCCGCGAAATTGGGACGAGACGCAGAGCCATAACTTACTAGTCGAGACCAGGGAACCACGAGCTGTACGTGACTGAAGTTGCGAAGCAGATGTTCAACGAGTATGCCAAGAAATGGGGAGATCGCTATCTCACCTCCAACGTCAAGGTCTACAACGATGCGACCAAGCAGTATGAGCATGTGGGAGCCACCCACCGATACTTCACCACCAAGCAGGGCATCCGTATCATGGCTTTCGGTGTTTTGTTCGACTTTACTGGTATGTAATCGGTCGATTCGCCCACAGTGCATCATCCACTGACATGCTTGCCTAGGAAACTCGAATGCTTCTCAGGTCATCAAGGCCAAGGACATGGTCAAGGAGACATGGTTCCAGGATGCCATCCACACTGACAAGCCAGTTGATTTGTTCGTCCTCTTAGGACACAACCCTGTCCGCCAAACCGACTATGCCAACACCTTCACCACTGTGTGGAACGAGATCCGGTCTGTTCACAAGAACACTCCCATCACTATCTTTGGCGGCCACTCCCACATCCGCGACTTCGCTGTCTACGACCAGGCGTCGGTAGGAATCGAGGCTGGTCGCTACTGCGAGACCCTTGGATGGGTCTCGCAATCCGGCTTCAGCAAGTGCAACAGCGGATACCACGGAGCCAAGAAGCCGGATGGCAAGAAGCTCACACGCAAGGCCACGGACAACTCCACGGCCCCATGGGCGTACTCTCGCCGATACCTGGACTGGAACCGAAACACCTTCATGTATCACACCAGTTCTAACAAGAACTTTGACTCTCAGACCGGCCTCGAGATCACCCAGGAGATCACCACCGCCCGCAAGGACATGAACCTCGGCGAAGTCTATGGCTGCGCTCCTGAGACATACTGCATTTCTTGCGTCCCATTTGATGACCCAAAGAACATCTTTCCTGGTGTGATCAAGCCCGCGGTGAACGCAATTGTTCTCAATGACGCCCGCAAGGACAAGGCCCGTATGATCATTGGGAACACTGGCGCTATCCGCTTCGACTTGTACAAGGGGCCCTTCACATACGATGACAACTTCGTCGTGTCGCCCTTCCGTGACGTTTTCCGTTACATCCCCGACGTTCCTTTCGACAAGGCCAGCCAAGTCCTTGCAAAGTGAGTGCATCCTGAGCTCCGAGGGTGAGCGATCAGAATCAACAAGCAGGCTGACATTTATCCATAGGCTGAACAAGGGCACCGTCGCTAAGCGTGATTTTGCCTCCATGCCCATCGCCCGTGATGACTGTGTTGATCCCCTCATCGGTGCTCTCACCCTCCGCGATATGCACCAAGAGCGTGGTATTGTCCGTCGTCAAGAGACCATCACCCCCGGATATGCGACCAAGGATGACTGGGGAACCGATGGTATGATTGTTAAACAAGATGATGGCGGCGATCGTTTGCTAATTGCATGTTGGATAGGTGACGACACGGAACATACAGGTATTCCCAACTACAGCATCCCCAGTTACTGGGAGTCTCGTGCCGGGTTCCCCACTGGATCTGATCCTGAGAAGGTCGATCTCATCTTTTTCGATTTGTGAGTGATACAAAAATGGCGGGCCCAGCCTAATTATCAAAGTGCTAACGAGTGAGCCAGCATTGAGAAATATGTTTTGCAGGATCTCGGCTCTGGCTTCACTTCCGATATGGTTTCGTGCTACATCAACTGCACGTTCACTTCTCAAGGTAAGTTTACGCTCTGTCCATACTGAAAGAAAACGAATATAACGAATTTATGACAGATTTCATGCTGCCCTATGCCAAGCTCAAGTGGCAGGACAACATTGACAACTGCCCCATCGGTGCGTAGGTGGTTAGGCGGATTGTAGTCTAAGGAATTGTATATTAAATTGATGTAAATCGATGACCAAGTAGATAATATTAATGCTGTTGATGAGATTGGAGCCTTGTTGATCTGAATGTGGTATCTGTAGTGACAAGATCGTGATCGCGTTGCCTAACTACACCAGAGTAGAGAAAAGAGGATCATATGAACCTTTTTATAATGCGCTCTCATACGCCCTCCTAGTGCTGACCTCTAAGAAACAAAATTAGCATTGCTACCCGCTCAATTTCGGTACCGAGTTGACATCCACAATAATGGTAGTCCAACAGTAGCTAAGTGCAGAACGGCTCCTCACAGCCAACGACGGTAACATAGCCATTATAAGCCATCATAGACTCTCAATCTTATTTTTTTTAGCGCAGTAAAAGTTCATCAAGCATTTGCACAGGTATTTGGCCTAAGCGAATAAAAAAGCTAGAGTCTGGTTCGTGTTAATCGATGAGGTGAGAAATGACAGGGGCTTTAGGGACTAGATTCCGGCCACCAGCTACCTCGTGCAACTGGACAGCATAAAAAGGAGAACTACGACACTCGGTTAGAGGAATTAACATGCCGGTGACGTGCTGCATTAGCCTGAACCCAGACGAGCCAATGACGGGTCAGACTTTGTAATCTCCCCACACTCTTGTCCTCGTCACGGCACCCTGATGGCCTCGACAGCTGATAATCTGGCACCTTGATGGTCTCTTGTGTAAGTCGATTCGATGTATCTTGAGGCATGATGCGATAAGATGCTGTTTTTTGGTCAGCATGGCTTGATTTTTGTGCGTACAGCCAATGCTTGTGCTTTAGGGTTCGCTTTGAGACGAGGAACAATGGCCACTCCTGGGATCTTAAAATGGCCAGGGCCGAGGCCAGAAATTCTATTCTTCTCTCTCTCTTTTCTTTAGATGCTCAGAGTTCATCCTCCTCTTTTCTTTTGACAAATCCATTTCAATTTGGCTGGCATCCTTCTCCTGTGTTCAACGTCGCCCCAGACTACCCCCCATCAGACCACACAATGGGCAAACGCAGAGCCCAAGCCAAGCCAAAGAAGGCTGCTCGAAAGACAAAAGTACCACCAAAAGCTCTTCCCGTCACATTGCTTTCAGGATTCTTAGTATGTGGCCATGCCCTATAACCCCAGCTGGCTTGCTGAAGTTGTGACTAACTGTGTTGCTTGATTCTAGGGTTCTGGCAAGACTACTCTCTTGCAGCACATATTGAA